AGACAATCATTCTAATATATTATAATAAGTCTTATAAATTCTATTAAAATATTATCTTTCATGCAAATTTTATACCTACATATAAAATACAATATTTTTCATAATGTATAAAATCTGACGAAAAATCAAAGAAAATATTTAAGTACTAGCTTTCCGCCCGCAGCTTCGCCCGCGTGGGGTTCGGTTATATCGCGTTACCAAGAGAACCTTTCAAAAGTCTGGAATAAAAACTATCCTATGTTCTTTCTCAAGGTCAACTCTATCTCTGTACCAAATTTCATTGTACCATTTATAATATTACTAGGGATATATTTTAGTCAGTGGTGGCCTCGTGGTTAAAGGGCCCGCCTCTCGTTGCCGAGGGCGCGGGATCGATCCTGACCCGGCCAAGTACCAATGTGATTTTTCCGAGTCATATGTACTTTCTAAGAGTATTTAGACATCACTGATTAATGCATTCCCAAAGAGGGTTGATGTCAGGAAGGCAGTCGGTCGTAAAAACAATTAGCCAAAACTATTCACAACATGTAAGGCAGACCCTGGCTATAGCTGGGAAATTGCCAGGTCGAAGAAGATATACAGGGTGACTGGTGAATTACTATCGATATTTGAGGACGTGATATTTGACGATCGTATATGACAAAATAAAAATTAATATAACATAAATATTAATAAACTTCTGAGTAAAGTTAACCAAAAGTTGTGTAATTAATTACGCATCGTGTGAACACCCTACAGATTAGGTGTATACACACACACACACACATACGCGCGCGGCGGCGTGTTGTTGTATCAGCACGCCGCCGCACGCGTCCACACTTGGAACACTTGGAACGTGTCAACACTTTATTTATTTATACGGAAATTTTGTCAAAAATTAAGTGCCTATTTTTTTTACATAATTCGAATGAGAATCATGTACCGAGTATTCTCCTTAAATATTGATAGTACTTCACCAGTCACCCTGTATATCCCTTTCAACTTTGGTTCTGAATTTTTAGGTGACGACATACACGACAAATTCCTCCCCAAAAACTTGCAATCAATCACCATATTTATACAATGTGATAAGTCCGCGTTATCAATATGACAGCCAGTGATAAGGATGTCCGAAATAAACATCGGAATTGAAGTGAAAATAAGAAAATAGAATATCAATTATCCCTACTAATATTATAAATGCGAAAGTAACTCTGTCTGTCTGTCTGTTACGCTTTCACGCTTAAACCACTGAAATGATTTTAATGAAATTTGGTACAGACAGAGAGTTGACCTTGAGAAAGAACATAGGATAGTTTTTATCCTAGACTTTTGAAAGGTTCTCTTGGAAACGCGATATAACCGAACTACACGCGGGCGAAGCTGCGGACGGAAAGTTAGTATAATATAAGAACCATTACTAAATATTATGTAATAGCCATTTAACTATTATGGCAGTTGTTGGGTTTTAATTGAGTTTTCATTGATCAAAAATCTAAAAAGGTCGTGGTGGCCTAGTGGTTAATTCTCGCCTATCATGCATGAGAGCTCTGGTTCGAAACCTGGCAAGTACCAATGTGATATTTCCGAGTCATATGTACTTTATAAGAGTATTTAGACACCACTGACTGGTGAAGGAAAACATCGTGAGGAAACATGGACTTATCAAATTATAAGTTTGAAATCACCAACCCGTCTTGAGCGAGCGTGGTGATTAATGCTCTAATCTCCATGTGAGAAGAGGCAGCTCAGCAGTGGGCTCCGATACTGTTAACGCTGCGTATTTAGTGACGATGTACACTTGTTATAAGTGAACGTATTTCGATGGACTAACCAAAAAAATATTTTGTATACAAATATCAGCGGGAGTATTAAGAACAAAAAAATAATAAAATTAAATTAAGTTTATTATATATTTATATACGTAATATTTAGTTGAAAAAATAGGAAAATAAAAGAATCTCATCAATATTATTATTTACTAGTTTTTGCCCGCGACTTCGTCCGCGTTAATTTCGTCATTAGTAATATACAGGGTGACTGGTGAGTTACTATCAATATTTAAGGACGTGGTAGTTGACGATCATATATGACAAAATAAAAATTAATATAACATAAATATTAATAAACTTCTGAGTAAAGTTAACCTAAAGTTGTGTAATTAATTACGGATCGCGTGGATACCCTAGCTGCGTTATCGACACAAAACAGTTATGTACGTAGGTATATGTAGTTATCGCGCGGTAGTTTACCTACATCCAAACGCCGCGCGCCGCCGCGTGTTAGACCTTAGATAAACAAAAATGATCCATTTCCCTTCATACTTTAATCCTGGCTTAGGACAGGCAAAAATACCAAGATATTTCTTTCGTTTAAGCAACCAATTTATTGACTAGGTAAATGGTGTGACCTTGACACAAAAAATAATATGAACTGTTTACCTATCTTGGTATTTCCGGCGTATTTAAAAATGGAATCATACTTATTTACAACAATTGTCAATCATTAAACTACCTATTTACCTACATAACTACACTAACCTTAACAAATGTTCAAAGGGAGCTCCTTCTCGTGTGATACACAGTTCGGCACGTTTACACATATTGTCTTTCACACGATTTAATACGAATGGGTCACTTTTAATAGTTTTGAAATCACTATTGATTTTTAATTTCAACTCCTCTCTGTTTACATACTCTGTAGCATACACAAGACGTTTCCTTGGGCATGTGTTGGAACACGGAACTGTCCGAAGTCTCGTAATCTTTGATTAGCGTTTAAGATGACGCTGGCTGTAGGTACTCGACGATTGGGGAACATCTCCCGGTACAAATTGATTGCGCCCGGCAAGCTTTCATTTGCACGCGCATACGCATGAACCATGTCCAAGTATTCTGCATTTGTGTATTGAAAAGCCATATTTAATTACTAATAAGTAATAACGGGTCACACGCACACACGACAGATTATTATTAGGTATACGCGTAAAATCGATCGCTAGGCGCGCGCGCGGGAAGACGAACGTACGGACCTTACGGCGGCGCTCGCGCGACTAATAGCCGACTAATGGCCCGCTAGCCACGGGGCGGGGGTTGGGGAGTAGCGACACACTGGCGCCGGCAAGGATGAGTACGTATCCAAACTTTATTTATTTATACGGAAATTTGGTCAAAAATTAAGTACCTATTTTTTTTACATAATTCGAATGAGAATCATGTACCGAGTATGCTCCTTAAATATTGATAGTAATTCACCAGTCACCCTGTATATATAGCTGACCGGGCGAACTCTATTCCGTCTTCAATAACCCGGTATTGGTATTTATTAAATTACTACTGTCTCAATCGAACAGAATGATTGACATATTAGTTAGTTGTCAAATCTAATGTCAATAAAAACGTTTGTATGGGAAATAGAAAAGGGCTGTTTTTATGGTTTTCCCAGTAATGATTCAATTTTTTTCAACTTTTATACCTTCCCTGAACCTCCACGAACATTTCAAGACTATGATAAGATAAATCCGTTCAGCTGTTCTCGAGTTTTAGCGAGACTAAGGAACAGCAATCCATTTTTATATATATAGAAGATAGCCTAATATACAAGAATATTGTAAAACATAGGTCAATTTAATCTATCAACATTTTTGTGAAAAGTGCCTTGAAATGCTCACTTTTTAAATCATACGTTTTACCATCACTTGATAAAGAGGCATGGTTTTATAAAAACTATGTTGTATTATATATTTTACGGATATCCCTTTCCGTATATACGAGAAGCGAATGGGTTTCGTATCCGTATATTTATTTTACGGAAATAATCACTATATAGGGATATAAAATTACATCTATAGGTGTTATAAATAAATGAATCAAAAAACTTCTCTTTTTTAACATAATTTCGCGAACCGATGAATATTGAAGCGGGATATAAAATATACATTTTATATAGATAAAGTTATTATATAGATAAAATCAAATTAGTAAATATAAATTGAGTAATTCATAAATAGGCCTGGATTTGAACCTGCGTCCTTTGAAATAACGCGTTCAAATGACTTTGCGAACTAAACTATCGTGTCTTTACTCGCCTACCCTCCTGACAGATCGCGTAGATCAATTTTCCATTCTATATATATATATATATATATATATATATATATATATATATATATATATATATATATATATATATAAATTAAAAAAATTGATATAATAGCTACACATTGCGTTAGTATTATATAATCTAATAAATTTTATCAATATTTGTTACTAATGTATCTTTTAAGGTATAGTTTTCACTAAATACTCACTGTTTCACGTCATCACGATGGTATCGATGAGGGTATATTGTGAACAGGGGACTGTTTGTATGTTGTGTCGTCAACTCGTTTTAAGGGTACAGCTATACTTGTTTTATATAAGAGGAATTGATATTAGGTATATATACATATGGATATAATTCTATTGTACGTACATATATAGGTCACTGAACTCCTAAATGGCTAGACCAATTCAGATGAATTTTCTTGTATGGATACGTGACCCCCGATGGTTAAGATTCACAAATCATCCCGGTATATGGCGCAGTCTTTATCTTGGTTATTCAAAATGAAAAGCCTACATAGCTTAATATTTGTATTGTTCTATTTCCCACTTTATTAATTTTACACTGGATGTAATTCTGACTGTCACGCGGACGGAGAGGCGGGCAAAAAGTAGTATATATGAACAATTTAATTTTGCTAATTTTGCTATCAACGAAATATTTGGTTTGAATCTATCTCTTAAAAAAATTATAATAGTATCATATTCTAATATATGCTTCTAAAATTCCAGGTTCAAACTATTCCATTCCCATCCATTCCATAAATATATACAGAAAAAATAATTGATATATTTATACAATAAATTAAAACATTCCCAAAATATATCCTTGTAATATAATGATATATCCCTAGTACTAATATTAGCTGGTTGACCATACATTATCTGGTCATGAGGCTGTAACCTAATCCACCTACAATGAGTTCCTCTCCCGCTGTAGAGACTTCAACCCCCACAGCTACACCCTCGTCACCAGCCCTAAGATCTTCGGACTACCAGTTCCATACGTCAACACCGAATTATCTAAAGGTAAGAACATATTAAGTAAGAACATACTCTAGTTTAGTTAATTACTGGGTTTGGAAAGAAACGTCTTTGTAGCTTTAATTATATTAGAAGATTTTAACATAGCATTATGAATTGGGCCAATGGGTGGTCCACAATATCTGGATGTGTACATGAGAAGTTTTATAAAGGTGACTTTACACTGGACTTAGAAATAATATAGCATACACACTATATTTATTACACTTCAATACTATGTAGCAGTCCATTCATGGACATGGGCCACAAAAAATCTCTGAAAGGATTAATCTTGGCTTAAAATCCAGTGAAATTTGACCTGATATTAGGTCCATCTAGTAGACTAGCAGTAAATTTATGGACATAGGTCACAAAAAATCACTGAGACAATCAATTTTGGCTTAAAATCCAGTGAAATTTGTACTTTATATTAGGTCCATCTAGTAGACTAGCAATATATTTATGGACATAGGTCACAAAAAATCTCTGAAAGGATTAATCTTGGTTCAGATGCCAGTGAAATTTGACCTGGTTTTTGGTACATCTAATACACTATCTATCTGTAATAATTAATTGGCAATATTCAACTAATTTTCAAGCCTATTGCAGTATTTACCAAAAAGACTATGAAGTGGAAGTTTCTTTGAGCCACTATATTATTACGTTTACCATTCGTTCTAACTGACAGTATTTCGACCATTCCCGCTATTTAAGTAGTATTAAACTCATACGACCTTTAACCTGAAGATGTGTTGGTACTTTCAGAAACAGCACCAGCCACTCAGCGTGGTTCTGTCAGCGACCGCGCCGAATACGCCACCCACTTACGGTGAGTTACCTCATAAGTAAGGCAGACCCTGGCTAAAGCTGGGAAATTGCCAGGTAGAAGAAGTAGAAGAATGGAAACGTTTTTCCCATTGCCATGAGAAATGATCGAATTATTTAACGCAGTAAAACTTTTTATTGGGATTTAAAAGAATTAGAATCTGTAAACATTCCTCAATATGTATCGTCATTGAATGTTAAACGTAATGACTTATATTATATACTAGCTGACCTGGCGAACTTCGTATCGCCCTATAATAAAGAAATATCTGTTACGTTTTTTTATTTATATTTTTGGAGTTTACCTATTAAAGCCAAAAATCTCCGTGTTTTGAAGTGTGACAGAATGACTGACATATTAGTTAGTTGTCAAATCTAATGTCAAAAAAAACGTTTGTATGGGAAATAAAAAAAAGCGCTGTTTTTAGGGTTTTCCCGGAAATTAATAAAATTTTTTCAGCTTTTATACCTTCCCTGAACCTCCACGAACATTTCAAGACTAAGATAAGATAAATCCGTTAAGCTGTTCTCGAGTTTTAGCGAGACTAAGGAACAGCAATCCATTTATATGTATATAGAAGATACTATTTAACATGATATAATAAATTAATTAGAATTATGTATCGAAGGTTTGAAAATATTTTATATATTTACATTAGTACTAGATAAAAAGGTTAAAATTGAAATATCTATAATGTACCAACAACTTTCAATACACGATACCAAAGTAATTAGTTTGGGGAATTCCTTTTCAGGTCAGATTAATTTAATAATTTTTATTATTTATTTGAAATCCAATACATACATGAGTGATAATTTTTTTTATCTTAAAACGTTATTTTTGCGTTAAATTTGTGAAAGTTGAATTATTAAAAGTTTAGTCTGTTGCGAGATACAGCGGAACAAACAAAGAGACTTATAGAAAAATTATATTATAATATTAAGTATAGGTATTAGGGCTTTATGATCCCTGAAATTACCGGTTGTGGTTATTTAAAACAGTATGGGTCTAAAAAACACTTGATTAGTTTTTGATATAAAGATAAACAAACATACATACATCCTTATGTAACCATATGAAAAAGAATAACAATAATATGATTAGTGGAAGTCTTTGAAATACCGTCTAATTAAATATACGTAAAAAATAATGATCATTAAAAATATGATATTACAGTAATTATGAGAAATTAGAAAAAGTAACTTGATAAAATAGAAGGTATATATATATGTATGTGTTTTTCATTAAATAAATGTAATAAAAAATATTTTAAAATTAATAAAAACGTATTCCGCCCCCGGGTGGGCTCGAACCACCAACCTTTCGGTTAACAGCCGAACGCGCTAGCCGATTGCGCCACGGAGGCCACGAGCGGGGATGGGGAATAGTGGAATGTATGATAGTGAAAATATATATATATATATATATGTATCTAGCTTTCCGCCCGCAGCTTCGCCCGCGTTTCCAAGAGAACCTTTCAAAAGTCTTTGATAAAAACTATCCTATATTCTATCTCAAGGTCAACTCTATGTCTGTACCAAATTTCATTAAAATCAGTTCTGTGGTTTAGGCGTGAAAGCGTAACAGACAGACAGACAGAGTTACTTTCGCATTTATAATATTACTAGGGATGATGTATATATGTATGTTTCCAGGCGAGCCAACCCTCACCCCTCCCCCGCGTTCCCCGGGTGCTCCGCTCGCGTCCCCCGCCCCGGGCTGCGGTGACCGCGCGCACCCCCCGGACGGGACATCCTCCGATAAGGTAATAAAGCACCCCCCACTACATAAACCAATCATCGTTCATTAGATCATTCATTCATTCATGTCATCATCCTATCAGACCCCACTGCCGAACGACCTCTTTCTCACATGGAGAAGGTTTGAGCATTAATCACCACGCTCGCTCAAGACGGGTTGGTGATTTCAAACTTATAATTGTGAAACTATAAGTCCAGGTTTCCTCACGATGTTTTCCTTCACTGTTTGCCAGTGATGTCTAAATACTCTTATAAAGTACATATGACTCGGAAAAATCACATTGGTACTTGCCAGGTTTGAACCCGCGCCCTCGGCAACGAGAGGCGGGCCCCTTAACCACTAGACCACCACTGACTCATTCATTCACAAACCATCAAATATGACTAACATAATATACATCATCGACATATACTAATGGACATGCCTTAGAGACGAGAATTGTGGCACTCTGAAAGAAAGAGAGAAAACGAAGTTTCGGTCTATGTTTATCTCTCTCAAAATATGGATATATCTTCTGGATAATTTATTATTTCCTACTGTCATATACAGCTTTACGTTTAACCTCACTTTCTCTGATTTTTAGCATTTTTAGTATTAATGACGTATGAATTATACGGTTAAATTAATATTTTAATCGATAAATTTATATGCCGTGCTTGTCATGAAAACTGAGCGCCAATCATCTATGAGGAAAGAGAGAGTGCTAGACCGAAAGCATAGGCCATCTCTCTCACTCTTTTCAAAACAAAAAATTACTGCAGATTATATGCGTATGGCATGTCCATTAGTATATGTCAATGATATTTATACATAATACACTGACAGTAATGTTCTGTCAGTCAGCTGTCATAATTTTGTTTTAATATCAACAGATTAAAAATATTTAGAATAGAAAAATACTTTTTCATAAACGACATCTAAGACCTTTCGAGTATTTAATTGAATGAAACTAAATTTCGGATAATACTACGCGTACTTTATTATTATAAAATCTATATACTCGCGACGTTTCGGCTACTTTTCAGCAAATTTCATCACGGGCAGACGAGATGATTTCTTACAATAATATAGTATGCTTAGTATAATCCGATATATATTATTTTCATTTACTTGCCCAATATTTTGTCTTTAATTGGTCAATAATAATAATTTCAACTACCCTTCCCCCCTTTCCAGTCATCAGAAACAGCAGTGGGGGGTGTTTCACGTACCCCAAGCACAGCTCTCACACGTAAAGAGAGTTACAAAGCACAGAGGCAACACTACAGAAAGGAAAAGAAGAGGGCTGCGTCTGCGCTGTTACACTCTATAGAAGATCCATCTGTTATAGTACTCGCTGATTGGCTGAAGGTAAGATTTGACAGAGTACTGTAAGTAATAGAGACTACATACTGTTAATAATAGGTTCGAAATAAATTTGTATTCAATAGAAGTGGGAGCGAGAGGTATAACAGCTAAATCTCTCTACAACCTACTAAAAGACTTGCTTGTCCAGAACTCACATTAATTAATTCTTGGAACGTACTTCAAAGGCAGTCGTAGTAGGTTCGTTTCAAATTAGGTAGAGAGGGGAGCTTGTACGGTCCCTTAAACCTACACCTGGGTCACAAGTCCCAGTCACTGTTGAAGCTCCTCTCACTACAACGATGGACCCGACACACGCACTAACATGTTGATAGCTCATACAAGCTGAAACTACTTAACGGATTTTGATGAAACTTTACAATAATGTAGATTAGATATCAGAATGGGATATAGGGGATAATCTATCACTTCAGATCGTTTAATTATTACAAGATAGAAACATAGTAGTTAATTTTAGTATTCATTTGGAGTCACGCAAGATTACTATATCTTGATCTTGTACTAAAAAAAAATTAGCTCTTGTAAAAACTATTTAAAATTCAGTATCTAGTTTTAAATGATATATTTATATGTATCAGTATGTCATAGTAGCCAATACTATCTCTATGTTTCCCCATATCAACTTCAACATCAAATTGAGAATATTTTGTTCTACAAGTTGTAATATATACTTTAGAATATTCTTATATATTAATAGTTGTTATAATTTCCAGGTCCGAGGGTCTCTCAAGTCGTGGACAAAGCTATGGTGTGTGTTGAAGCCAGGGTTACTGCTTCTATACAAGAGTCCTAAGGCGAAGGTAACTAATATATATAAATACATATATAACTTTGTAGTTTATATAAAAAAAAATAGCAATACATACAACTAGCGCCATCTAGTATTGGGTAGATGAATCATCTATCTTAGTGTATATAAAATACATACAAGTAGTGCCATCTAGTGTTAGCTAGGTAAATCATATCTGTAGATTGTAATAAAATTCAGTCTGTTCTTAGTCTTAAGCAGTACATTATTGTGTTACTGCTCAATATATAATACTATATATCTGTATCTTATAATATATGTAATAGGTTTATATTTGTATGTTTATTATATTTTAATACTATATTCAACTTATTATATCTTAGTATCCTCTATATATCATGTTCATATGTCTATATATTTAACTACATATCTCTATAGCTATCCCTGTCTATCTTATTATTCTCTCTCTCTCTCTCTCCTGTTCATATGTATATATCTCCTCAGCGTAGTCACTGGGTGGGCACGGTGTTGCTCACGTCGTGTCAGGTCATAGAGCGGCCGAGCAAGAAGGACGGCTTCTGCTTCAAGCTGTATCATCCGCTGGAGCAGAGCATCTGGGCTCCTAGAGGACCGCACAACGAGACTATAGGTACGTATATACATACGTACATACATACGTACATACATACATACAACACATACATACATACATACAACATACATACATACATACAACATACATACATACATACTATATTAATTTAAATGAATATAATAATTTCTTATTATTATGCTTTATATATTACTAGCTTTCCGCCCGCAGCTTCGCCCGCGTGAAGTTCGGTTATATCGCGTTTCCAAGAGAACCTTTCAAAAGTCTGAGATAAAAACTATCCTATGTTCTTTCTCAAGGTCAACTCTATGTCTGTACCAAATTTCATTAAATACAGTTCAGTGGTTTAGGCGTGAAAGCGTAACAGACAAACAGACAGAGTTACTTTCGCATTTATAATATTAGTAGGGATTTTAAACTACATACTCCTAATATTTCAATTATTTTGCGACGACATCTAGTCTTTATGATCACGGTTTCTGCAATGTACCGAAACGTCGGGAGTATGTAGTAAAAATAATGAAATAAAGCGTAGTATACGAATGTATTAGTTTAATTTACACTACTTTATATTCAAATGGTCTTTGTATACAACACTATATTATATCCAGATGTCAATTACTATCCGATACTAACAATATATGTATCCTTATATTATTTAATGAGATCTAATATTTTCGTGAGTATTCATTTGAATGAAACTCATATTTTTCCTATACAGGGTGACTGGTGAATTACTATCAATATTTAAGGAGAATACTCGGTACATGATTCTCATTCGAAATATGTAAAACAAATAGGTACTTAATTTTTGACCAAATTTCCGTATAAATAAATAAAGTGTGTACACGTTCCAAGTGTTCCAAGTGTGGACGCGTGCGGCGGCGTGCTGATACAACACCACGCCGCCGCCGTATGTGTGTGTGAGTGTGTGTATACCTAATCTGTAGGGTGTTCATACGATGCGTAATTAATTACATAACTTTTGGTTAACTTTACTCAGAAGTTTATTAATATTTATGTTATATTAATTTTTATTTTGTCATATATGATCGTCAAATATCACGTCCTCAAGTATCGATAGTAATTCACCAGTCACCCTGTATATAATTCTTCTGTGTGTATGTCACTGAACTTCTCTCAAACGACTTGACCGATTTTGATGAATTTTTTTGTGTGTGTTCAAATGGATCTGGGAATGGTTTACATTCACATTTTTGTCAGCTGGACAATGTTTTTTTAATAAATTTTTAATTTATTGTTAGTTGTTGTTGATACAAACGTTATTTTGACATTAGATTTGACAACTAACTAATATGTCAATCATTCTGTCGCACTTCAAAACGCGGAGATTTATGGCTTTAATAGGTAAACTCCAAAAATATAAATAAAAAAACGTAACAGATGTTTCTTGATTATAGGGCGATACGAAGTTTGCCGGGTCTTCTAGTATATATATATATATATTTCTCTTGTATTTTCCCAGGCGCGGTAGTCCAGCCCCTGCCGACCGCGCATCTCATCTTCCGCGCCCCCTCCCCCGCCGCCGGACACTGCTGGCTGGACGGGCTCGAACTAGCGCTGAGATGTAGCAATGCTATGCTAAGGTATATATTAATAATATTAACACTAGGGTCAATGAACTTTATGTACAACGACATCTTGTGTCAAGTTGAGTAAAGTGATGTGTCAGTAAACAGCGGATGATGTAGCGATCCCATGAAGACACATAATACATTTTATTGTCAAATCAATTGATATGTTGATAAAGCAGATTAAATTAATATGATCGATGAACTATTTCGTCTTAAACTTGATGAGCGAGCTTTGATTCATGTTATTTATTAACAACGCCATCTATTGTCGAGTTGAGTTAAATATATTTATTATATCAAAACCAGATAGTACATTTTCTCAATAAATCTTCTCCAGGTGTATGTTTAAGAGTATTTGTTATCTATTATCTATTTCCAGATGTTCCCGCTCCCGCCCAGAACAAGCGGTAGAGGACACTCCGGCGCAGACAAACATCTCGCACGAGGAACTGGAGAAACACTTCAATGAGCACGGTACATACATACACACACACACACACACACATATATATATACAGTAATACCCCGCTTTACGCGAGGGATACGTTCCGAAGAAAATCACGTTAACTGAAATTCGCGTATATCGAGGTTTATGATTAAACACAGTCAAAATTTAATACACAAATATAAAAATCATTTTGATCAATCACTTTAATTCTAAGAACACTATACAATACATAGGTACTCCTATTTTTTACGAAAAAATACATGTATTGTCTTTTGGGTAGCGTTTTGTTTACGTTCTTGTAACATACGTTCATAACACCAAACACTGTTTTTAATCATTTGACACACGTTCAAGACACGGTCATCATTATTGTCTATACTCTGCAATATGTCCAAATCTGAATAAATTTTTGAAAATTGCGTTATAGTGAAACCGCGCACAACGGGGTCGCGTTAAGCGGGGTATTACTGTATATACAGTTAAAGCTCCTTATTCGCGGGGTATATGTTCCGTAAATATACCGCGAATACAGAAACCGTGAATACGGAATGGTAATTTATATGGGATTATAGGGGATACGTTCCTAGGTGGCAAAAATAAAAACAACAAATTTATATAAAAAAAAATATAACTGAAGTATTTGAACATTTTAATTAATTGTCTTAAGGCTTAGGCAATGGTTTGAAGAATTTTGTAATTTTTTCTTGCTTGGCAGTTTTTAAAAGCTCCTTCAATTCAGACTGATACACAGCAGTCGCATTAGCAATTTGCCTCTTAAAAATAAGACTTCGTTCCATAAACGGATCAATGTTCATAAAGAAATCGCAAAGTAATTAGGTAAAGTTGTAATAAGATATATTACTTTTTAATTAGTCAATTTGACAAGGATATTGTGCTGGATACCTATTTGGAAAAATTTTATTATTATGTATGTACTTATTAGATCCGCGAATAAAGAAATTTTTAATCGCGAATATAGGAATTGGTAGCATTTTTTTAATCCGCGAATAGTGAAAACGCGAATAAAGGAAGCGCGAATAAGGAGCTTTTACTGTACTACTACAAAGAATATATCGTCGTGGATAGTGCAAATCCGCGTATCTACTAAATTAAACACTAAATAATTACTTATTGTGAAAAAAATATCTTAAAAGTCGTTAATATAGAAAATATTTCAGCTTAAACTTACTTCTGATAATCTGTTTCCAATGTAGATACGTGGAATCATGCAATGGTAGTTACGAGGATTTGCACTATCACCGACGATATATTAATATATACTAGTAGAGAATACATACTATTACTATGGAAAATTTTTATTTGTTTGAAAATAAAAACATTTTATCTCTTTAAATTGAACTATTATATACTTTAATATACATTATATGTTTTAGTTTTTAATATTAATATACATATTTAATTTTGTTATTCTTTCTACTATATACATATGTATTTAATTCATGTATAACGCACGTATGCTCGTTATAACACTATCATTAATTCATTAATTCGTTCAGTATTAAAATTATCGGAGACTTCAACCGTTTCTCCGTCCCCACTCCTATCAATAGCCGATTACTCACCAAGTAGCATTCGATCCGAACGGAAAAAAGTCAAATATAATACCGAATATGATAAAACTAAAAGTTTAACAGCCAGCCCGTTCAGGATAGACTCGAATAAAATACTTAAATGTTTCGAATTGCCCAAATTAATTGCTGATAAGAAGGAATTATCCTCGCAATTAGAAGAGGGAATTAAATTGGTGTTCAAAAGACGGTCATCAGCGCCATCTATGACTAAAAATAATAACAAAATCAAAGCTTTGAGGGAATCAGGGTCGAAAACAGAATCTGATGATGAACAGCCTTCGAAAGTATTATTTAGTTCGCCGCAGAATTTTCTGATAACGAAAACAGCGCCATCTGTAGAGCGTTTTGATCAAAGTGATGGTACTACTACTAGTGATGATGGAAGCGGGTGAGTGAATATATTAGACACCATTTTCTTGAAAATTACGTGAATTTAATATTAATAAAATTCGTGAAAATCTTAGATCTATCTATGTAATGAGGATTTCGTCTATTAGCCAAAAGAATGTTAAATTATAAACTACTAGCTTTCCGCCCGCAGCTTCGCCCGCGTGGAGTTCGGTTATATCGCGTTTCCAAGAGAAATTTTCAAAAGTCTGGGATAAAAACTATCCTATGTTCTTTCTAAAGGTCAACTCTATGTCTGTACCAAATTTCATTAAAATCAGTTCAGTGGTTTAGGCGTGAAAGAATAACAAACAGACAGACAGAGTTACTTTCGCATTTATAATAATAGTAGGGATGAAACCATAATTTTTTAGCCTTTCCAAGGCATAGATATGTACAAAGCTAGTCAGAAATGGTGTCTAAGTTTCGATTTATCTTATTATAAATCGTTCAAAAAACGATAATAATAAATATATATATTAATTCGTTGTAGAAACTCGATACATAAAAAATATTCACTAATAGACCACACCAAGTTGCCGTCTGCTAGCTATGAGGCGGTTAAATTGATGAGAAGAGACGAAAGACTCAGTGAACATAGCGTTTATCTCGCTGGGAAGATAGTCGGAGGCGGTAAGATGTGGTTGCGAGTTAGATTTGGTTGCGAGTTAGATCTGGTTGCGAGTTAGATTTGGTTGCGAGTGAGATCTGGTTGCGAGTTAGATTTGGTTGCGAGTGAGATCTGGTTGCGAGTTAGATATGGTTGCGCGTAAGATCTGGTTGCGTGTTAGATCTAGTTGCGAATAAACTGCATATAATACCATCGTTACAAAAAATTACGATAATAACCAAATACATGGATTAATCTTTAAAATTATGGCTCTAAATCAATATTTTTTATACATATATCGGTTTCTCAAAATAATATCGAATTTATAAGTCTATGAAATTATTTCGCCATCATAGTATTTAAGGATTTATCAAGATATGAGGAGTTAATATAAAACATTTAAACAGTATTACAAAATAACGAAAAATTACACATACTAATATGACATCTTATACGACGATCTAAAATTATTAGAACATTATGAGACTAGCACTTCATTTAAAAACCCACAATCATAAATTACGTGTGAGAAAATAAATTTATACATGAAAGTCATTGAAAATGTAAATTAAATATTTTATTCTGTTTCGACCTAAGATTTCCTAAATTTAATTAATTTATTTAAAGTATTTATCTTCAAGTCTGAATTACTTAATAAAATGTTTCTAGACAACAAAATTATCTGAAATTGACCAAAAATATATATATTTTTAAAGAAAACTAAAACTGGGTTTTCTATTCATAAGCGGCTTATAAATCATTGACAGATAAAGAACGAGGTCATTATGATTAATTGATTATTTTGATTATAATTCTTTTGTCAAGTTTTAAATAGACATAATTATTAAATTTATAAATACCTAATATATTTATTCTCTTAATAGATACGGAATATTTAACATTCGCGATCTCAATACAAATACCCACTAATACATAATAAATTATTTTATATATATATTATTTCAAATAATAAAATTCGCAAGTAAAGCCATACGAAAATCTTAGTATGTCCAAAGTCAATAGTCGTTTAAGGATAACGCAAACACATAGCCTTATCAGCGCCAGTTTGACAAGGATCCCGCGAAATACACACGTCATGAGAAAATATTTCCACAAAAATATTAAAGTGATGTGAAAAAAATAAGCAAAGCATGGATAAAGAGGTTGTGTTGACTAGACGTCGTTCTAGCATATTCTCTTTGCTGAAAAAGCAGAAGAAACTCTCGCGGCAATTGTCCGAACCGGTGCAAGTTAGGAAGTTTTCCGTGGATTCGGCTATCAAAGATCGTAGATTGGATGCATTGATACTAGCCAGTGATGGTATAACTAACATACTTACAGTATCAACGTGAAAACCACGATTATTAAGCCATTTAAATCATTCTTCTACCTGCAATTTCCCAGCTTTATCCAGGGTCTGCTTTACATGTTGTGAATAGTTTTGGCTAATCGTTTTTACGACCGACCGCCTGCCTGACATCAACCCTCTTTGGGAATAAGTAATTTAAAACATTATGCATACATAAATGGTATAACAATTTTTACATTAATATATGAAACAAAGTCTCGTACTATCATTGTAAATGTTTCAAAATTTTTTACGTATTTTTTTACGTAATATTTATTCATACGTAAATACGTACTTGACAAAGTAAATAATGAGAATAGCATTGAGTTCTCTAGTACAAGTAAACATGTAAAATTCATTAAAATTAATTAAGTTAATTGTGTGACAAACATACATACATACATATATTGTATTATACAAAAGTAAAGCAATGTAAGTCAGTGGTGGCCTAGTGGTTAAAAGTCCGCCTCTCATGCACGAGGGCGCGGGTTCGATCCTGGCAAGTACCAATGTGATGTTCCGAGTCATATGTACTTTATGAGAATATTTAGACCACTGACAGATGAAGGAAAACACCGTGAGGAAACCTGGACTTATCAAATTGTAAGTTTGAAATAGTCAACCCGTCTTGAGCGAGCGTGGTGATTAATGGTCAAACCTTCTCCATGTGAGAAGAGTCTCAGCAGTGGGCTCTGATAGACTAAAAAAAGCCTTATAAATATTAATATACCTTAGTAAATGTTTTAAACTACTAGTCATTCGTCTAATACGTTGTGAAGTAATGCCATCAGATAAGATTATGCATGATACTTAGTGAGCTCAACCTACTTACAATAATGAAGGTTATGATTTGCCGTCTGTTTGTATGTGTGTTTGTGTTTAATCTGCCTACATAGATAAGTAGGTATGTCTACTAATTGTGTTCTTATACGCGAGTGTATATATATATATATATATATAAGCTTTCCGCCCGCAGCTTCGCCCGCGTGGAGTTCGGTTACATCGCGTTTCCAAGAGAACCTTTCAAAAGTCTGGTATAAAAACTATCCTATGTTCTTTCTCAAGGTCAACTCTATGTCTGTACCAAATTTCATTAAAATCAGTTCAGTGGTTTAGACGTGAAAGCGTAACAGACAGACAGAGTTACTTTCGCATTTATAATATTAGTAGAGAGATATATATATAAATAATTTTATACTGAACTATGTAACTTATCATTGAAAAACACGTAGGAACAGTTTACCTACATGTTTATCGATAGTTTATGTCGAAAATAAAGAAGCTAATTGGAATGACCTTGACACGAAGGTCATCCAACGCTTATCACTCAGCCTTGTATAATCTATAGAATGAAATTTAGACAAAACTAGGAAACACTTCTTCCTGGCAATTTCCTAGCTCCAGCCAGGGTCTGCCTTACATGTTGTGAATAGTTTTGGCTAATTGTTTTTACGATCCGCCTGCCTGACATCAACCTTCTTTGGGAATGCAATAATCAGTGATGTCTAAATACTCTTAGAAAGTACATATGACTCGGAAAAATCACATTAGTACTTGCCCGGGCCAGGATCGAACCACTATTTTCTAATAATTTTAATTAGATCAATTACATAGAAAACCTTATTTTTAAGGCATTTTTATTATGAACATGAAGTCGTAAGCGTGGTTTTTTGATGTGGTGTTTTGCTATCATTGCTGTCAAACGGATGATCAGTTTTTGATGCCGTTTTTTTCATTCGATAGACACTTACTTTGAAGCGGTTCATAGCTATGTTTGGTTAATATCTGTTCGTAACTGTAAGAGTATTATCTCTTCTCCAAAATTATGTTAGACATTTGGACATTTGATTATTTAATTTAAAGTTACACGTGCCTCAGTACATTCTTTAAATAATAATGCGTGCGTAACTTTATTTTAATTTAATTTTCTCTTAACCAGATGTCATAAAAGAGAGTTATGTTAATTTACAATGAAATTATATCTTGTATTTATACAAATATTTCTGCCTTATCATCTAAGTAACAGATTTTTTTATATTCCAGCAAACTCCTTATAGATAAGATAATTATGTTGTTATAATATTAATACTAAAAATTATGGTGCTATCACCTTACATAAAACGTAAAAATACATTAAATTATCTTACAAAAATTTTCTAATGTGAAAATCATACAATTCACTTTTAAAATAAATTAAAATATCCTATAAAATAAACTAAACAAAAAAACAAGTACGAATATTTTAACGAATCATTCATACATTCATTCATCCAATACATAATTCATCGAATCATTGACGCATTCATGAATTCATGCATCTATTAGTCACTAGTGCATTCATCTATCGCTAGTTGTGTAGACGCTAACCGCACTCTACAGAACTAGCTGGTGCTGCATCCGACACTGACAGCGAAGAGCCTGGCATGCAAGACACTCAGGTGAGGGACGACGTGGTCAGAAAACAGGATATCCTGGAAAGAATTAACAGCCTCTACGTGGAGGACCCGGATAGAGAAATCGGCGTGGTGAGTAATATGACTTAAAAAATACGACCTATATATTGAGTGAGATAGACTATTGTATTATATTCATTGAAATTTAAATACTAAAGAAGTTTTTCTAAAATATATATGAAAATAAATTCTTGATTTAAACTACGGTAGACTGAAATCAAGGTAATATACTAGCTTTCTGCTCCCAGCTTTGTCAGTTATGACTTTGGTTATATCGCGTTTCCAAGAGAACCTTTCAAATGTCTGGGATAAAAACTATCCTATGTTCTTTCTCAAGGTTAACTCTATCTCTGTACCAAATTTCATTAAAATCAGTTTAGTAGTTTAGGCGTGAAAGCGTAACATACGGACAGACAGAATTACTTTCGCATTTATAATATTAGTAGGGATAAAGGAAAATTGATTTACTCTAATAAGAATCAAATCTCTATTTGCTTAAATATAGTATATTTATATTAAAAGAATATAGGGAAAGTATTTTATTTTAATTTACATTATATATATACATATATATATATATATATATATATATATATATATATATATATATATATATATTATTGTCACCATACAGGCTGGTGAATTGGTTGAGGAAGTAGCCGAAGAAAACAAATCTTTGCTATGGTTTCTGTTGAAACAAGTCCGGCCCGGTATGGACCTGTCAAAAGTCGTCCTACCCACATTCATATTGGAACCGAGGTCCTTTCTGGACAAACTATCGGACAATTACTATCACGCCGATTTATTGAGTCAGTGAGTATATAAAAGTTTAAATTTTAGTTTAAAAGGTGGTAGAGCCTAGCTGTGGTCAAGTTACTGCAGCTCGAACATGGGCATTTATTTTTTATTTTTATTTTTTTATTTTAGTTTATTGGTAATCCAACAGCGTCACAGTAATTTTAGAATAGTAACAATATAGCTATAAACAAGGCCAATTTAGGATTACACAAATTTACAGTTCAACAGTTACACTCGAGCATACAATTAAGGATAAAAAGAAAAGGAAAAAACAAGCAAAGTATATGTAAAGATTTATGAATGAAATATTATTAACCGATGATTTTGTCCGTATGTACAATATATGTATGACAAAAACTTCCTTGCAAAGTTTTCCATATTTCAATTCATATTAATTTTAATATATATATGATAAATCTTATCAATAATAATTCAATCCATAACATTTAACACAACGGATATATTATCAAGTCAATTAGATGATAACGCCATATTTAATAGTAAGTTTATTATCATATACTAGTTCAGTGTCTTATCAGAATGATTCACGTATATAAAGAAACTAAAAATATAAATAGTATAATCAATAAATAAGTTAAACTCATATAAAAAATGTTTAATAATTTACAACATTCTAACACAATCAACGAACAATTCATTTAGACATTCATATACTCAGTCAATGAATAATTCATGGATACATTCATCCAACGTTACATTATCATCATCATCATCATCATCCTATCAGAGCCCACTGCTGAGCAAAGGCCTCTTCTCACATGGAGAAGGTTTGAGCATTAATCACCACGCTCGCTCGAGACGGGTTCGTCATTTCAAACTTATAATTGTGAAATTATAAGTCCATGTTTCCTCACGATGTTTTCCTTCATCGTATGTCAGTGATGTCTAAATACTTTCAGAAAGTACATATGACTCCGAAAAATCACATTGGTACTTGCCACGATCGAACCCGCGCCCTCGGCAACGAGAGGCGGGCCCTTTAACCACTAGGCCACCACTGACTATTCAATGCTACATTCATTCATATATTTAATCAATAAATAATTCATGAATGCATTCATCCAATGTATCATTCATTCAAGGGCCCATTCTACGGAGGATCCTTACCAGAGGTTTAAGTGTGTGTTGAAGTGGTACCTATCGGGTTTGTACCGGAAACCAAAGGGTCTGAAGAAGCCTTACAACCCGGTGCTTGGAGAGACGTTCAGATGCTGCTGGCGACATAGGAACAGTGATACATACACTTATTATATAGCTGAACAGGTAATATATACATATATATAACTAGCTGCGCCCCGCGGTGTTACCCGCTCATTTTCAGGATGCAAAGTAGCCTATGTGTTATTCCTGGACATCAGTTTCCTGTATACAAAATTTTATCAAAATCGGTTCAGCCGTTTGAGCGTGAAGTAGTAACAAACATACACACACTCACAAACGTTCGCAATTATAATATGTATTAGTAGGATTAAAATTTATATTGGTAATTTCATATTAACAACTATTAACTAAAAGCATAAGAAAGTATATAAGATGAGAACATCAAAAATGCATTTTTTTTATCTACATATCTGCATTTTGTCCGTTTCGGCCAAAATCTGAAACGGCTGAACAGATTTTGATGCGAATTTCGCTCCCAAGTAGGTGATGTTATAAGGACTAACTTAGGTGCTTTTTTATTGACGTCAAAGTGAAGAATCATGATTTCATCGAAATATATAACAATCTTGTGTCTTAGAGCCAAATATGTTTATATTTACCTACAAATATACATATATGTGACATGTGTATGTCGAAATGTTCAAATCATAGTAAATATTCATTCAATCAATCACAAAATCATTCATTCATTCATCAAATTATCAATTAATTTATTTATTTATTTTCCAGGTTTCCCATCACCCTCCCGTATCAGCTTTCTACGTTTCCAACAGGAAAGATGGTTTTGTTATCGAAGGAAGTCTCCTGGCAAGGTCCAAATTCTATGGTAAATATAAATATATATACATATTATTATTTTAAAGTATGTTTGTATCAAATCAAAAAATATTGATAGTTTATTACGATATACACTCTAATCTAAACTATATAAGAAATAAATAAATATATATAAGAAATTCAGTGGTGGCTTAGTGGTTAAAGGGCCCGCCTTACGTGCATGAGGGCGCGGGTTCGATCCTGGCAAGTACCAATGTGATTTTTCCGAGTCATATGTACTTTCTAAGAGTATCTAGACATCACTGATTAATGCATTCCCAAAGAGGGTTGATGTCAGGCAGGCGGCCGGTCGTAAAAACAATTAGCCAAATCGACTCATAACATGTAAGGCAGACCCTGACTAAAGCTGGGAAATTGCCAGGTAGAAGAAGAAATTCTGACATTATATTATATAAAAAAATCAAAAGTACTTTACAAGTTTCATCAATACTTGTTTAGCCCTTATTTATAATTCACACATAATGATAATGAAGTAATAATTATATTACTAACTAAATAACTTATTAACTCACAGGTAACTCAACATCCGCTATACTAGAAGGCTGTGCTCGAATACATTTACTGAATTGGGGCGAGACTTACATCACGACCGCGCCCTACGCGCACTGTAAGGGACTTGTGATCGGGACACTAAGTATGGAGCTCGGGGGAAAGGTGAATACAATCAATCATTCATGCATTCATTCATTAATTCATTCAGTCAATAAAGAATTCATTAAAGAATTGATTCATTAAATACAGAGTTTAAAGTTAGATTGGATATAAAAATTACTAGCTACGCCCCGATTATCAGGTCGATCATTTTCCGGGATGTAAAGTAGCCTATGTGTTATTCCTGGACGTCAGCTTCCTGTATACAAAATTTCATCAAAATCGCTTCAGCCGTTTGAGCGTGAAGAAGTAACAAACATACACACACAAACTTTCGCAATTTTAATATTAGTAGGATTATGTATAGTAAATTTTATATATAAAAATATTAAAAATCAATAAAAACGTATCCCGCCCCCGGGTGGGCTCGAACCACCAACCTTTCGGTTAACAGCCGAACGCGCTAGCCGATTGCGCCACGGAGGCCACGAGCGGGGACGGGGAATAGTGGAATGTATGATAGTGACTACAGTTTCGCCCGCGTGTAGTTCAGTTATATCGCGTTTCCAAGAGAACCTTTCAAAAGTCTGGGATAAAAACTATCCTATGTTCTTTATCAAGGTCAACTCTATGTCTGTACCAAATTTTATTAAAATCAGTTCAGTGGTTTAGGCGTGAAAGCGCAACAGACAGACAGAGTTACTTTCGCATTTATAATATTGGTAGGGATGTTGATTTATTCATTGTTATATGTTTATTCCAGGTGCATATTATATGTCAGGAGACCGGATACCAAGCGGATGTGGAGTTCAAATTACGAGTAAGTGACGTCATATCCTTCTCCGAGTTCCTATCTATATTTTTCCTAGCAAGATTTTATTAAAATCGATACAGCAATTAATACATGACTTTGTTAGATACATATTTTATAGGGATTATTCATTATTATAGGTTTAATTTATGTAATAAATTGTTTTTTAAGTAAATTACTTGTAAAAATATAGTTTTTAATATTGTGGAATTGAACCCGGGAATAGTTCATATATTGCAATGCATACTAAAACAAATATATATGTTAATTTTAACATTACTATTACACATGTATTATATTAAATTGACAAGCATCGAACCTATTTATTAAAGTTTTACCTTACAGCCACTATAACCACTGAGCCATCGTGTCAATATGTTTTCTAGTCGTTCCTGGGTGGAGCTGATCAAACGAACGCTATATCCGGGAGGATAAAGAAAGGAAAGGAAACTGTCGCGACTGTCGATGGATATTGGGACGGACGGATAGACATTAAGGACAAGCGGAGCGGGGTGAGGGAACTAGTATATATATATATATAGTGTAAACTCTATATAACGACACTCGATTTAACGACAAACTCTCTAAAGCGTCGAATTCATTTGACTTTGGTTGGTTTAGCTTGTCTACCATACAATGATACACTCTACATAGCGTCACACACAATCTCAATAACGACAACAATTAAGTAATAGAAAGTTCCTTTAAAGTTGCTAAAATTATTAAAAACTGTGCAGTTGTGTACGTTCCTTTGTCGCTTTGTTATACCGAACTTTCTAAGAAGCCTCAATATCGAAGTGATTATGGAAGATAATATAAGATTTCATTTGTTATATATCTTATTTGATTATATAATATAATCTTGTCTCGACGCTATTGTCTATATATGTATATGTTTATATGGAAATTATGTAAGGTACAAAAATTTTGGCTATTACTTTAATTTTATATGTATATTCAATTGGTAATATGTGTATGAATACAGTGAATATTTGATAAACTTTTGCTGAATGTAATACTATATATAAACGTGAGAAATGGAAACAAAACTCAAGCGTTACGTTACGTTACGTTACGAAACCCAACCTTCCCATAAGAATATCACTTTAAAAACATATATCCAAATTAGCTATACCACTTATAGGTATTCCACTCACAATGACATCATTTCCGCCTTCATTTTAAATCATTTTAATACATATTATGACGTCATTTCCGTAACAGGAAGAAAGTAATCTACTCGACGTGTCTATACTAAAGGATCAGCGACTACCACGATACTTGGTGAGGCTCGATAAACAAGGAGAGTGGGAATCGCAAAGACTCTGGAGCAAAGTGTCTGAAGCTATACATCATGAAGACCAGGTAATATATACTAGTGTTTGCCTGTGACTTTGTACGTGTTACTTAAAAAATTAGTTATACAGGGTGACTGGTGAATTATGTAAAAAAAATAGGTACTTAATTTTTGACAAAATTTCCGTATAAATAAAGAAAGTGTTGACACGTTCCAAGTGTTCCAAGTGTGGACGCGTGCTGATACAAAACCACGCCCCCGCCGCGTATGTGTGAGTGTGTGTGTATACCTAATCTGTAGGGTGTTCACACGATGCGTAATTAATTACATAACTTTTGGTTAACTTTACTTAGAAGTTTATTAATATTTATGTTATATTAATTTTTATTTTGTCATATATGATCGTCAACTACCACGTCCTCAAATATCGATAGTAATTCACCAGTCACCCTGTATATGTATAATGAGATCTAAGATTTTAACGAGTACTCATTTAAATGAAACTAATATTTTCGGATTAACTACGCGTTTTTTTTAATTTTTGATTATAAACTACATACTACCGACGTTTCGGTTACTTTACAGCAACCGTGATCATTAAGAAGAGATGTTATATATTTATAGCTTACCGTAATAAAGGCTGTAAATAATCAGATATTGGAGTTTATTAAGTTTTTTCTGTTTCGATCGAATAGAATTTTATATCCTATGTCCGTCTCCTGGTTTTAAACTATCTCTAAATCAATTTTCAACTATATCTGTACAGTTGTGATTGAGTTATAAATAGTGTAACTAACTTTCTTTAATATAAAGAAATTGTAAATTCATATTGAACGTCTAAAAAAAAAATATAGCAAATTCACATTGTTATGTTTATTATTTGTAAGGCTAACTTTTTAAATTTTCATTGATTTATTAATTAGCAGATTAATCCTTACTAATATCATAAATGCGAAAGTAGCTCTGTCTGTCTGTCTGTTACGCTTTCACGCCTAAACCACTGAACTGATTTTAATGAAATTTGGTACAGACATAGAGTTGACCTTGAGAAAGAACATAGGATAGTTTTTATCCCAGACTTTTGAAAGGTTCTCTTGGAAACGCGATATAACCGAACTCCACGCGGGCGAAGCTGCGGGCGGAAAGCTAGTTAGATGTATAAGTAATAAATATTAATTTCAAACAACGATTCGAACCTGTCACTCCAATAATTACAAAATTCACTCTATTCATCAACTGAACTATCGTGTCCATACTAATAATTCCTTAAATTAATAATTTTAATTATAATAGGTGGTAGCGACAGAAGAAAAGACAATAATAGAAGAGGCTCAGCGGGCCCGCGCTAGAAATGTTACAGTAGTGTGGAGCCCGCGACTCTTCACGAGAGGGAACTGGGATGTACCTGATGGTGAGTGGTTAAAAGTCCCGCCTATCATGCATGAGGGTTGGTTCGATCCTGGCAAGTACCAATGTGATGTTCCGAGTCATAATAATAATAATAATATTACTTTATTTGCTAGAATAGTGGTTAACAAAGGTATTTCATACATTTACAATGTCCAAAATATTCTGCAGATTTGGCGTTCAAATATTTTTGAATAAACTAATAATACTACTAATGAATTTACTACAATTACAAATATAAAGCTTATATTTTACAAATTAAATAAATAATTTTCAATATCATCATTATAAATAAATAGTTATTTGTCAGTTAATTCAAATTACAATATTATTTATAATTTAAAATTTGTCGTTAAGAAATACAGTTTATCTATGAGTAATTTAAAACAAAAATTCTTAAATAAATTTAGAGACAATTCTTTACAGTTTCTGGGTAGGTGGTTGTAAATGCGTATGGCCATGCAGTATACATTGTTATGATACAAAGATAATTAATCCTTGAGCTGGAACATCCAGTGTGTGTATATATATATATGTCATATGTACCTACTTTATAAGAATATTTAGACACCACTGATTAATGCATTCCCAAAGAGGGTTGATGTCAGGCAGGCGGACGGTCACAATAAGTCAAAACCATTCACAACATGTAAAGCAGACCCTGGCTAAAGCTAGGAAATTGCCAGGTAGAAGAAGAACATTGCTTAAATTAAAATTATGTATATTATTTAAATACTTGTATTTAATTTGACTTGATATATATCACCATTGCTCCATTTTAAATTTAAAATATCTTCGCGGATTTTATTTGAACTTATATGTGGACCTATATGTAAATATTATTTAATGAGAAACAAACATACATGTATATAAATTTAAAATTTTCAAATTTTTTGATTTTCAAACAGTTTTTTTCACTTCTTTTTATGTAATTTGTATTATTATTATATTAATTGTTTAATTAAAGTCTTATTTATATTTTATCACCAGGAATAACAGACCAGGGTTGGAAATACTGCCACTCAAATACAAGGTGAGTTAAAATATAATATATATAATTAAAATATATTGAAAAAATACATATACGAGTATATGTAATACTACTATAGTAATAATAATAACCAATTAATATATTATATAAGAAATAGTAGATTGGATTAAATTTTCTATATTAAATGTGGATAAAATTAAAATATTAATCATTTATTATAGCTGTACAGATTTTAAATTAAATAAATATACCTATAGAAATAATGAGAGATTATTTTCATAGAAAAAGAATTTATCCTACTAATATAATTGCGAAAGTTTGTGAGTGTATGTATGTTTGTTACTTGTTCACGCTCAAACGGCTGAACCGATTTTGATGAAATTTTGTTTACAGGAATAATTAATAATTCTTCTTATAATTCTTCTCAACAGTCCCTGGCAGCCAGAAGAAGTGATGGAATATGAAGAAGAATATGTGATAACTTCTCTGAAGAATGTGGCGAGAAGCAGTGACCCTCGTCTTAGAGAGATAGTGACTCGATCAGATTCTGACAGTAGAGATGAAATAGCTAGGAGGACGAAGGCTACTGCGTTAGTATATATATAGGGTTATTGGGGGTTTTAGGGGGTTATTGGGGGTTTTAGGGGGTTATAGGGAGTTTTAGGGGGTTATAGGGAATTTTAGGGGGTTATAGGGAGTTATAGGGGGTTTTAGGGGGTTATGGAGGGTCATTAGGGTTGTAACCCCTATAACGATAAATATTCATTAAATAATAATCAGATATCGGTGGTTGTAACCCCTATAACGTTAAATATTCTTGATATTACAGCTCTCATATATGTCTGTCTGTTTGTTAATACTGATATAATAATTATATATAGAGACAACTAATTAGAGCTTATACAGGGTGACTGGTGAATTACTATCAATATTTAAGGAGCATACTTGGTACATGATTCTCATTCGAATTATGTAAAAAAAATAGGTACTTAATTTTTGACAAAATTTCCGTATAAATAAATAAAGTGTTGACACGTTCCAAGTGTTCCAAGTGTGGACGCGTACGGCGGCGTGCTGATACAAAACCACGCCCCCGCTGCGTATGTGTGAGTGTGTGTGTATACCTAATCTGTAGGGTGTTCACACGATGCGTAATTAATTACATAACTTTTGGTTAACTTTACTTAGAAGTTTATTAATATTTATGTTATATTAATTTTTATTTTGTCATATATGATCGTCAACTACCACGTCCTCAAATATCGATAGTAATTCACCAGTCACCCTGTATATACATTATGAGATGTAAGACTTTCGCAAGTATTCATTTAAATGAAACTAATATTTTTATGATCACGGTTTCTGTAAAGTAATCGAAACAAATTAATTTTTGATATAATAAAATACGAGTAGTATGTAATCTGAAAAATATTATTTAGTTGTATATCGTTTGGCATAGTGCAAGTCCGCGTAATTATTTAGTGTTTAATTTATTACTAATTGTGAAGAAAATAACTTAAAAGTCGTTAATATAGACAATATTTCAGCTCAAACTTTCTTCTGATAATCTGCTTCTAATGTAGATACGTGGAATTATACAATGAAAGTTACGCGAATATATGCACTAGCCCCGACTATATGTATGTATATATATGTTGCAGGGCTCGTACATCCGGTGAGTCTAGACTGCGTGAGACTCGCCGCTCAGACTCGGACAGCCACGACGATCTGGCGAGACGGTCTAAGACGTCCACGTGAGTATAATACATATCTATACTAAAATTATAAAGCTGAAGAGTTTTTTTGTTTGTTTGAAAGCGCTAATCTCCGAAACTACTGGTTCGAATTGAATAATTCTTTTTGTGTTGGATAGTCCAGTTATCGAGGAAAGCTTTGGGCTATATAACATCACGCTACGACCAATAGGAGCAAAGGTATAGTGGTAAATGTGTAAAAAACGGGAGAAATTATTTCATCTTTGAAGCCTTCCGTTGCGTGCGCCGTGAAAACGGTTCAAGATACACAAAAAATATGTGTTAAAGAATAATAGCTCTTTTAATGATCTAAAAAACAGTCCGCGACAGTATATTATGTCTATCTTTTAAGATTAACTCAAAAAAACAGGTTTTATGGTACCTAATTTGGCCGAAATAATTTGTTTAAGTTGTGTCAACATAATAATATTAATCTTTATTCAAATAAACAAATAAATATGTTGTTGGTTAAGAGTACTTCACGGGAACTCGATTATTCCGAAAACCCCGCAAGAACGGGAACTATGTGGGAAGAACCAAAAATCTGCCGGCAGTCACTACTCCACGCGGACGAAGTCACGGCAAAAGCTAGTATATACATAATATGCATACATAATTGTATTTTTTGGTTTCCACTTAGATATAAATAATATATATGATATGATTTTGATAAGGAACATATGACATTCTTTTGATAGATTTCTATTATAAACTAGCTGTGCCCGCGACTTCGTTCGACGTGATTCTTTAATTTGACATAACTTTTTTATTTATGAACCGATTGACATGAAACAAACACTAAAGCATAACTGAAGCATACCACAATATATTCGTGAAAACCGCATCCAACTCGGATCAGCCGTTTCTGAGATTAGCGTGAACAGACAAACAGACAAAAAAACAGTTAATTACATTTTTGGGTTCGACATCGACATAACAATAACCCCTGCTATTTTTTTTATTTTTATTTTCAATGTACAGAGAGCACTTTTCTACAATTTTATTATATGTATAGATTTAATAGTCACTAAACAAAAATTTCCATATCATGAACTATATTAATTTCTATATATAATAATTTTCTCCAATTTGTTTCAGACGCAGTCTCAAACAGACGTTGTCAAGTATAGACTCGACCATTAAAGATCAGACTCTAGCTATAGATAGACTCACGAGGATTGTGGAGAACATTAGTGAGGGGCAGAGGGCGAACGCCCACAGGCAGCAGAACCTGGGGCGAAGCCCTACGACCTCCCACTCGTGGGATCTATTCGGGGGCTTCGTGCTGGCCATGGTGTTGCAATCACTACTCAACTGGATATTCTATCACAAAGACTGAACTTAAATATCTATACATCGACCAATAGTTTATATTACATCGACGTCTGTCCGTCATTATTATTAAAGATGATATTTTTCTATATATATGTACATATATATATTTCTACCATTTTTTTTTGTTGTAGTAGATTTTGGTAGTTTTTTTTTCATGTTATAATGATTATTATTTATCGTTCATTTATATTGATTGTGACGGACAGACGGTGTGTCACCTAACTTGCCTACGCTTTCACTTAAGAGTGCCTCCCGTGTGATAAGGTTGCCATGGCAACGGATATGTTTAACAAGACACGACCCTCTCGCGATACGAATAAGGTCCATTTCACGCCGGGCACGCGTCTTAGCTTATAGTAGACTTAATTTTCGTTTATTATAATAAAGACACTCGAATTTTAATCTCATATTTTTTGTCATATTCAGCCTGCTTTCAGATTAATACGACGTCGGCTGTATGTTGTATGCTTTCTGAGCTGTCAATGTCAGAGTGACGTTGACGTTTGTTTTTTTTTTCATTATTGTGTATCCTTTTGTGCCTTATTTATATAATGATGTTATTTTTCTGCCATCATCATCAGCGGCTGTCACAATCATTCCTAGAGTTAAACTCGAGCCATTATCGAATAATTATTTTTAATGATGATAAATTACGTAATATGATTAATTTACCAAAAATTACGTTTTTTTTGTTCATACTTATTATAAATGCGATTTTTTCAATATAGTCACGTTTTTTTAACAAACACAGTCAATTGATATTTAAAACACTAAAATTTACCTTTTTTTATTCATATTTCAAAATTCTTTTAATCTTTTAAAGATATCCAAATGAAAAAACAATTTTTCTAAAGTTCTACAATTAAATACAATTCTAAATTAGGCGGTATTAGTTTGGTATCAAATTAAATTGTCATTTTAAATATCAATATAAAAAGTTATTGGCAATAAATAAAGTAAATAGAAATATGGTTAATATTTCTTATAAATTATATTATTTTACATCAAACAGGAAGAAAAAAATTATTTCATGGCTGTATTTGTTTTAAAAATATAAAAATATTTAATCTTCATTAATATTTTGGCGCGGAAATAATGCAATGTTGCCAGTTAAAATGGAATCTCTGAGGTATTGTCATCGAAACTTTAGTTCGTATTCCATCGGTGTTGCCATGTATGTATTATTTAGTATTATTATATTTTTTCCTGTAAACATTATTATAATCTGTTTAAACGCATTTAGCTGATCATTAGAATTGTTGAAATGTTTTGTTGTTTTATCCAGTGAATATATATTTTTTTCAATTTAATATGTGTTTTATTTTTATTATACACTAGTTTCGCCCGCGTGGAGTTCGGTTATATCGCGTTTTCAAGAGAACCTTTCGAAAGTCTGGGATAAAAACTATCTTATGTTCTTTCTCAAGGTCAACTCTATGTCTGTACAAAATTTCATTGAAATCGGTTCAGTGGTTTAGGCGTGAAAGCGTAACAGACAGAGAGAATTACTATATCATTTATAATATTTGTAGGGACTAGCTGACTCGGCGAACTTCCAGAATAATCAAGAAATATCTGTTACCTTTTACCTGAATGAAGTTAATTTTTTATCAAAATTCTAGTAATTTTCGTATTTTCTTACATTAGAACCTTCTCCTAATAACAACAAATACAGTAAAAAGTATTAGTGAAATCGGTCCAGCCATTCACGCGTGATGCTTGACCAAGGAAAAAAGGGATTAATTTTTATATATAGAGATAAATATAATGACTTTCGTGTGGTTTATTTACCCGTTTAATATTTATACATATGTAATATTTATATTCAATTTACTGTTGACTTGTACTTATATCGTGGGATACATATAATGTTTTAAGAGTACGGCGTTTTATATTGTCCCCAGTATTTCCCTTGGGGGCCACTAAACCAATAGTTTCTTAAATCTTTCATATCGTTCTCATCCCAGTGGTACCTTTTTGGGAAGAAATTTGGCAGACGGCGTCTCAATTCGTACAATCGTGACGGGGATTGCATATACATCATTCCATCGCTGGGAATTTTGGATTTCTTTTTCCTTTTCCTCTGTTTTATTTCCTCCGAACTATCTGACGAGTCAGAATTGGATTTTTCTGCTATCTGGAACCTTTTGTTTTTGGCTATTCTTCCTTGGTTGACGTTTTCCAACGAGGATTCTTCGGTTTCGTCGCTCGAGTCACTATCCTCGGATTTGTATTTCCTTTTCCTATTATCGCGTCTGAATTTCGTCAGATCATACGTGAACCTATCAAATTTATTCGGCTTAAGCACTTTGAAGATGTAACTCTTCTTATTCTTGTCTTTCTTCTGTACTAACTTGTTGGTTCTAAGTAGATCGTTTATGTCTACGTAATCGTGTGAAAAATTGTTGTATCCATGGAAAGATCGATCCAAATCCTCACCAGAATCACTATCCGGTTGAAATCTGTTTATATCTGGATTCTTGTGCCTTAAGCACGCCTCCCTGCTTTCGTCGACTTTTCCGTAACACTCGTCGAAGTCACCCGTCTGTTTTTCTTTCACTTTGACGAATCTTATCCCGGGAACTATATTGTACGGGCTCATTTGATATTGCTGGTGCTTATTCGTGTTGGTGTAAACTCCATTCAGGAATAACCTCGGTCTACCGAAGCTGATGCCCACTGAAACCAATTCATTTTTAGCTCTCCAGTTATATATAAACATATATATATATATACATTACATACCGTTCGTGAAAATGGATATAGTAAAATATAAAATATTAATCATTTTGTTCCATCGATACTATTTTTTCTTAGGACCATCGAGAAAAACTTAATTTTGTGTCACTTATATTGTTGTACGTATAATCTTTGTAAATAAGTATATTGTGCAATGAATTTGACTGTAAAAATATTAATAATTGAAACAATAAAAACTTATACGTTAGTTTTGCTTGAGAGGAAAATAATTGATTTTATAATTGACTTGCCGTTGTAAGTGATGTATTATTATTGAACATTACATTTCAATAAAGTTTTTAAATAGTTTTCTTCTATTTAGTGTATTTTTCTATTTATAATTTCTTAAGGATATGATTTTTGAGGTATAAATTGACAATAAAAATACACGTTAAGGAAATTTATTACAAAAGCATATACAAAATATTTACTAGATACTTAGAGCTACAAAAATCTAGAAAATTCTATAACATTCTTGACGGAGTTTACAGACTTATTATTACGTATTATTTTACACAGAAAACTAATCTAACACAATACTCATGAAGTAGCAACACCGAAGTTCACGAAACCAATACTAAGCTACTCTGGTCGAAATATTAATTTAGAAAAATTTCATTTATAAAAATTCCATCCAATTAATTTTATTCATACAAAAATATATAAATTTTTCGTAAATTGGTCGAACTACACAATTTTGGATGATTCAATGACAGTGACATTTGTATTAAAAAAAATGCTACAGAAAGAAATATATTATGAATCTATATTTAGTGATTTTATTTGACAGTGACCTAGATGTGAAATATGTAGAAATAAATAAAATTAAGGAAATATGTACAAATAATATTAAATAAATAATGAAAATTTTATTCCCAGAGGGTTGATGTCAGGCAGGCGGCCGGTCGTAAAAACAATTAGCCAAAACTATTACAATATGTAAGGCAGACCCTGGCTAAAGTTGGGAAATTGCCAGGTAGAAGAATGAAAAGCTACTAATGAAAACAAATTGATATGTTCTTATCGGTGCGTGAATAACTGTGATATTTAATGTATATTAACGAGTGCTATTTTATGAAGTTTACAAAAATTATTACTAAAATCTACTATGTTTGTAGATTTTGGTAGTTTTTTAAGATCTATACGACAGTCTAACTTCGATTGTTAAGGTAGCACTACAAAGGACCTTTACGTCCTATGAAAAATAATAAAATTCATATATATAGGTATGTAGCAATGTTTGGATAAAAAAAGACAAATTCTAAATTTTCTTTAACACATACAATACTAGATTTTCATAATATTAAATATAAAGATATATTTTGGCTAAGTAATATTTTAAACTAAATTTTTTCTTTACATAAATTAAACAAAAACGTATACAATATTTGATAAATCAATTTCCCTTTCAAATAAAGTCAGACACAAATATTGTCAATATAAATTGACGTTATAGATATTATCCAAACAAATACAATATTCAAACCTAGATATGTGAAAGAATGTTTTAATTATCGCAAAAAATACACTCAAATTTCTTCACACTTTAACCAATTATTATCAGTCCGAGTAGATTTGGTCGCCGAAAATCAAGAAACAAGTATATAAAATGATGAAATGTCCCAAAATGTTATTATATTCACTCCTAAGCAGTATCAGAGCTACCTGTAACACCATTAGTCCTCGTAGTATGGAGTACAAAATCGATTTCAGCGGCCGTATTCTAATAATGGATCATTCGTTCTGTTTTATCGAATTAAAATACGCAACCAAATCTGCGTCTGCTTTGGCGACCCACGCTGTGTTGAGAGCTATAATATCCAATGCTGCGGCCGCGCCTTTTTGATCACCGAAAAGTTCTTTGAACTGAAAGAAAAATATTTCCCTTTAATATCTAAAATAATGCTATACAAATATTTCGTATACAGAATAAAAGTAAAGTTTTCGTGTATGGTAATGTGTGAGAGAGAAAGAAAATGTGTATGCATCTATCTCTGTCTCGATGACATTTTTATTAACGCCTTACGCCACCTCAGCATGTCAGTCATTTAATTCACTAGAATGTGCATAGTGGAAATTCGTCCTTACACTACTCTGTTAGAGAGACGAAAGGTTTAATATATTTAGTAGTTAGCTTCTTTATGGCTAGACCGGACTTCAGATAACAAACTGGATGGTAGGTTTTATTATATCCACCATATAACCCGGACATAGGACAAAGTAATTACAACCGGTCCATGGCAAACGCCTTTCGTAGTATAATATTAAACCAAAAAGAGGCTTGTGAAAAGTATCTTTCCGAGTTCTTAGCACATAAGAAGGTTTCCACGACAGTATTATGAAGTTTCCTTCTAGATAGAAATAGATTATCAAACAAAACAGTGAATATTTGAACTAAATCCGATCACTGTTACACATTTTATAAAGCATTGAATAAAGATCAAAAAAGCGGAAGGTAGATATTTGAAAACCTATTATATATAATTTGGTCTCTAGAACAGAGTAGTACATATGTGTCTGTACTCCGCGCTACATACAGGAGGTTTCGAATTTATTGTGAATTATTTTATTTTTATTCAGATTATTTTATGCGTATTTATTTTAATCTATTAGTGATATATATTAACGAGTTCAAGGGAACACCCTCTGTTACATAACATACTGTATATATATATACAGGGTGACTGGTGAATTACTATCAATATTTAAGGAGCATACTCGGTACATGATTCTCATTCGAATTATGAAAAAAAAATAGGTACTTAATTTTTGACCAAATTTCCGTATAAATAAATAAAGTGTGTACACGTTCCAAGTGTTCCAAGTGTGGACGCGTGCGGCGGCGTGCTGATACAACAACACGCCTCCGCGCGCGTATGTGTGAGTGTGTAGTGTAGAGTAATCTGTAGGGTGTTCATACGATGCGTAATTAATTACACAACTTTTGGTTAACTTTACTTAGAAGTTTATTAATATTCATGTTATATTAATTTTTATTTTGTCATATGTGATCGTCAACTATCACGTCCTCAAATATCGATAGTAATTCACCAGTCACCCTGTATATATATTTACTCTATAATAATCCGTCGGTTGATGCATGCAGCGCGCGGCGGCGGCGAGTGCTCTCGGCGGCAGCTGGGCCGGTACTAACGCGCGCCACACGACAGACGGCCCGCGCCATCTATACACAGAACATGTACACTAAAAGTAGTATTTTTGGAATAAACTATAATTTTGTCATGTCATCATCATCATTAGCCTATCAGAGTCCACTGCTGAGCATGGCCTCATTCTCACATGGAGAAGGTTTGAGCATTAATCACCACGTTCGCTCAAGATGGGTCGGTTCAAACTTATAATTGTGAAACTATAAGTCCAGGTTTCCTCACGATTTTTTCCTTCACCGTATGTCAGTGATGTCTAAATACTCTCAGAAAGTACATATGACTCGGAAAAATCGCATTGGTACTTGCCAGGATCGAACCCGCGCCCTCGGCAACGAGACGCGGGCCCTTTAACCACTAGGCCACCACTGACTATAATTTTATTGTTTACTTTCATCTTTAAATGTTATATTATGATCTTTTATACGTTAGTTTCGGAATAAAATGTTGGAAAAATTATCCAAAATAGATATAATGTATAGTTGTGAATTTATAACTCATATAACACATATATATTTAGTATGAGTATGAATTTTCATTGGTCGTTCCTTTATTATATGTATTAAATTGCCTCTCACATACATTCAGTAAAACATAATTAACTTAATTATTAACTTTACTCCAAAATTCTATATTTAAGACATAATTCTATCTGTTTATTCTTTAATAACTAAGTATGGTAATATTGAAAAACTATAAGTAACTAACCTGCATAGTCCTTCATAAAGTGCGGTCACCCACATGTCCCAATCTCTACCTTTCTGTGCCTCGCTTGACAGCACCGTGTACGCGAACCTACAAAATTGAATATACAGGGTGACTGGTGAATTACTATCGATATTTGAGGACGTGATTTGTGACGATCATATATGACGAAATAAAAATTAATATAACATAAATATTAATAAACCTCTAAGTAAAGTTAACCAAAAGTTATGTAATTAATTACGCATCGTGTAAACACCCTACAGATTAGGTATACACTGACACTCACACATACGAGTGCGGCGGCGTTGTGTTGTATCAGCACGCCGCCGCACGCCTCCACACTTGGAACACTTGGAACGTGTCAACACTTTATTTATTTATACGGAAATTTTGTCAAAAATTAAGTACCTATTTTTTTTACATAATTCGAATGAGAATCATGTACCGAGTATCCTCCTTAAATATTGATAGTAATTCACCAGTCACCCTGTATAATATATTAATACACATATATTATATATAAAAGAAAGTTATGTTAGTTACACTATTTATAACTCTAACGACTGTACGGATATGGATTTTTAAAGAAATAGTTTAGAAGTTAAAACATCAAAAGTACATAATACTTTTCATGAGATATAAAAAGAAAAAATAATAACTTAATCAAATTCAAAATCTTTTTAAAAACTATCTTTAAGGAGGAATAGAGTCCGCCCAGTCCATATATTTGTAATTTTGAAACTAACGCAAACGAAGTCGAGGTTAAAACTAGTTTTTTTATAAATTACTCATACAACTTACCGATACACAAGCCAATCATCATCGGCAGCGCTCAGGGCCGCCAGCAGAGCCCTGTGTGAGTATAGAGGCCGGGGGGCGGAGGCCGAGGCGAGTAGGGCCCGCCAGCAGGCCGACCAGGCCCGGGACCCGTGGGCCCTCACACCAGCTATGAATGCCGCCTGGAACAGACAGACATACATACTTAATGATATACATATATACTAGAAGACGCGGCGAACTTCGTATCGCCCTATAATCAAGAAATATTTGTTACGTTTTTTTATTTATATTTTTGGAGTTTACCTATTAAAGCCAAAAATCTCCGTGTTTTGAAGTGCGACAGAATGATTGACATATTAGTTAATTGTCAAATCTAATGTCAAAAAACACGTTTGTATCAGCAACTAGTAATAAATTAAAAATTAATTAAAAAAATAGTGTCCAGCGGACAAAATTGTGAATCTAAACCATTCCCAGATCCCCTAGAACACACACAAAAAATTTCATCAAAATCTGTCCAGTCGTTTGAGAGAAGTTCAGTGATATATACACTCACAGAAGAATTATTATATAAAGATCTATATGTCGGGGCGTCAGGAGAATGCCTCAAAGCAGTCTTGGTTTTTCATATCCACCATGAGCGTTGCGACGATTGGAACTCAGAAATAAAAGCACACTTGTACTTTCCAATATCTAATTACTCGATTTCTTTACAACTGTATTTAAACGCACACTCAAATAATAAGATGAAAATGGATTATGAACATATTGAGGTGAGGCTTGTGCATTTCGTTTGACGGCTGTTTGTGTGGAACTCCGATAATTTACATATGTATATATGAGTAGATTATAGGTATTATAGGTACTAACAAACTATGAAATTTCAGTAAATGATAAAGATTTTTCTTGCATGAGATCAAATGTTTTTTATTCAAAAAGTCTATTACAAAGAAATGTATACTTTTAAAGGTATATGTGTGATTTGAAACTTCACATCTTTTTTTCTGTTATAGGTAATTTCACAGCTTTCTAACTTAAAATGTCTTATTCGCAAGATAATAACACCTTTTGAGTATAAAACTAGATTCATTTTGATGATTCTCAAATGTTTTCGTAAGCAAAAATTGGAAATAACTTTCGTTCATATATTCACCTCTTGATATATCTCAGGTATAGTCTCATTGTCGTTCAACCAATTATCAAATAATGTTAAAGCCTGCTGCGTCACATTTTCGTTGCCCCACTCCACGCCCGCCGTCAGAAGAGCACCGCTTAGCCACCTGAAAATACAGAAAAACTTCGATAAATACGTAAATTAAATTGGTTGGTTGTTTAAAATATGGCTTATACTTAAGTTAAGTTGAAACTTCGAAATCTCTTAAAGTTTTTGCTCCCTACTACTACTATATAAATCCAGGTTTCCTCACGATGTTTTCCTTCATTAATCAGTGATGTCTAAATACTCTTATAAAGTACATATGACTCGGAACATCACATTGGTACTTGTCAGGTTTCGAACCAACCCTCATGCATGAGAGGCGGGCTTCTAACCACTAGTCCACCACGACTTCATGAATGCACTATGATTTATGTTTTCTCCGTAACTAAAGTACTAGTTATGCGTCTTGGGAAAATTATTAGGTATTCGGTAAGGAGGCATGTATAATGTGTAGTAATACGAAAAATATTAATTTCATTTACATTTAATGTTGATTTGAGACTTAATATATGTCAATGCCAACTCACAACTGATCTTCGCTGACGGTAGCATCTATAATATCTTGGGGAGTATATAGTGGTAGGGACGGTGGCAGTGTGGCGAGTAGGGCCAGCAAATGTGGCGATGATGAAGACACTCTTAACAGTTCACGCCACCACGAGAGATGAGCCACAACCACACGCCACACGGCCCAGTGACGCTCCGTAGATAAGTGAGCTAGTGGGAGATAGATAGAGATGAGTATATAGATAAATAGAGATGGATAGACAAATATATAGAATACGTTCTGATAGATGCATCTTTTATCTCGGTTGTAGCCTAAGAATACTTATTGAGGAAACTATATATGTATACTGGTTGGTGTATTTGTGTAACATTTAAATGAACTTTTTCGTCTACTTCCCGGCTGAGTTATTTAAGGGGCTGTCCATTAATCACGTGAGGCTTGAAAGGGGGGGGAGGGGTTTGATAAAAAACACGAAAATAACACAAGGGGGAGGGGGGGTGTAGCAAGATATCTCGTGTATTTATGTTTTCGTCTAACGCGCGATTTTTAAACAAATATTTTAAAAAAAAACTTGCAACCTGGTGTAGACATTTTTATTATGGTCCTTAATTTCAGAATAAAATAAGATTATAGTTTATACCTGTATTTAAATTAAGATAATATTCAGAAAATTTTTAGATTCGTTGTAGGTACTAAAAATACACGTGATATTGAGAAGGGGGGGGGGGTGGTCTTAAACCTCACTACGTATCACCAATGGGGGCGGGGGGGTTAAAAAATGCTAAAAATAGATCACGTGATTAATGGACAACCCCTAAAATAAATTTAATAGACTAAAGTTAAAAAATTCACTTGTCGTTATGAGCTCATGCTCTCGATTTTGGTCGCGTTTTCGTCTAAATAATGTTCAGAGAGTAAGTCAGCTCCATCTATCGCGTGTCGTTACTTCACACAATACATCTGTTAAGTGTTCCGGGAACTACACGGACTGAACGATACATTATATACTATGTGTTATTATAATGTTTGACATATATTATTGTACTATCAAATATCAACACTTTTCAGTGCAATCGTAACCTGTATCCACAGTTGTTTAATGACGAAAATATTGTTAAGAACATTGTTGGTTCATAGAGATGTAATTATTATCAGGACTGATATTCCATTGTAAGTAAGAACGGAGTAATTGTGCTCAGTTGCTTTTTACAAGATTTCCAATTTCTATTGAAATGGACTATATATATATATATATGTTTTACCAGCGGCCGCTATCGCCACACTAGCCGGTAATCTCCTGGCTCTGCTCAATACGAACGCATCGTCTAATAACAAAGCTCTCTCTGCCGGCGCTCCGCTTGAGTACAAGTCAGATGCACGTTTTGCTGCCGCCTCAGCTGTCTAAATAATAACAAAAATAAGCCTAAAGAAAATTATATATATATCTATAGTATTTAACAAAATCTTATATAATTTTCCTAAATATAAATACACGTAGCGGAAATTTGAAAAATTTATATCATTCTTATTACATAGTTCATGTTAATAAACTCGTAACTAAAAACAAATGAATATTAGTTTAAATATTTATTATTATAATAAATTAAATGTAAATAAAAAATATTAAAAACGTTATATCCTTCATATTAATAAAGAATTAAAACAGAATTCTACTCTTTATCCCTACTAATATTATAAAGGCGAAAGTAACTCTTTCTGTCTGTCTGTTACGCTGTCACGCTTTAACCACGGAACTGATTTTAATGAAATTTGGTACAGACATAGAGTTGACCTTGAGAAAGAACAGGATATTTTTTATCCCAGACTTGTGAAAGGTTCTCTTGGAAACGCGATATAACCGAACTACTACTAGTGTATAATATTTTCTTTTATTATTGGTTAGTTATTACATACTTCGTTCAGATGTCTGTCTTGTGGCGCGACTCGGTACAGGCCTCGAGCACCGACGTTGTACCTGACCCACTTGTGTTTACCAAGATCAGGTATCACCACTGTAGGAGAGAAATATATACTGGATAAATCTCAAGATAAATCTTAACATATATCTCAAGATGTATCTGTATGTATTATGTGTGTGAGTTTGGTAGTGTATGTGTGTGATGTTCACTTTATATAAATTAATATATTTCTAAAACACTTTATATCAATAATTATAATTATTTCTTTTGCATAATAAATATGATTAATTTTAGTCCGTTAGACTTAAGCTGAGCTTTGCATTTGTGTGAGTAAAAGTATATTAAAAGTACAGTTAGATGAAAAACTTTAAGAATTAAATTTTATTATATTTAAATAGATGCATAACATAAGAGCTATTCTTGATTAAAAATAAAATAAGCAAAACTTGTAAAAGACATTTTACGTTGCTATCAGTACAAAGGGTGAAGTGCGGAAGGTGCGGGGCGAAGTAGAAGCAGAATAAACCGGTTCAAACATAGAAAAGAACGTGTCATTCAAAAATTTGACATCACACCTACACTATCCGTGTACACTCACACAAATACAACGCTCAGCTTAAATCAAACGCACTACACTCTATTATATTAGTGTTGCAGAACCATCGATAGTTTAACTATCGATTGCTGACATCGAAAACCATTCAGAATATCGATAGATTACGGTAACTATCGGCTTTGACTTTACTATATATATATATATACATGTCTTTTAATATATAATAATCTATATACTCACTCTCAGTGTCATTCATCCAAATCAAGTAAGTCACATTTTCCGACCACTTTGAAGATCGTTTTGTGTCGTTTAAGATGTCATACCTGTAATGAATGGCAGAAAATTCGTAATTATTGTGTATGTTTGTTCCCACTAATCTTTGTTACGGCTGCATCGATTTTGATAGAACTTGCACTGACATATAGCTAAAATAATACAGAGCGACATAGTATACTTTATAAATGTAAAATTAACATAAAAATGTACAAAATCACGGGTATAAATTGAGGAATGTATAAGATATATCTTTATACTCATATTTAAAAGAATGTCATGTTAGTTACACTATTTATAACTCAAGAACGACTGGACGGATATGGATGAAGATTGGTGGAGAGATAGATTAGGACTAGGAGACGGACATAGGATATTTAATTGTTCGAACGAAGCAGAAAAAAAAATCTTAATAAACTTCAATATTTGATTATTTATGCCCTCTAAGGCGGAATAGAGTTCGCCCGGTCGGCTATACATATATTACTAATGACGAAATTAACGCGGACAAAGTAGTTGTTTCATAAAGTGAGAATTCTCACCATGTTCCATTCTGTATGTTCTCCGTGGAATTCTTCCATAACTTCGTTATATTCTCCATTTCCTCCTCCTCAATGAGTGGTCCAACGGTGAATGTGAGTGGTATCACCCATTTGGGTGCTGGTGGTAGCTTCGTGGGCTTGGTGGTGGGTTTTTCCGTGGTAGTTGTGGTCGGGGCTGGCGTGGTAGATGTGCTGTTTATATCTTCCTCGATTATCTCCGTATAATTTTCTGGAATCACATGATTTTGAGCATTAATCACCACGCTCGCCCGAGACGGGTTGGTGATGTCAAACTTATAATTTGATATAAGTCCAGGTTTCCTCACGATGTTTTCCTTCATCAGTCAGTTGTGTCTAAATATAACTAAGTGATAGTGACCTATTACATTAACTACTATAACAATTATTTTAATTATATGAAAAATTTCTGTAAGATTTTTCTTTCATTCTCATATTAATATATATGAGGGCGCTCCAATTTTGAAGTTGAATTATAAAGTTACCTTACAATTTTTTATTAGTAATAGTAATTCATTTTGTCAACATTATTTCAATTTAATATGGAATTCAACAATTAGTTAATTATTTCTTATATAGTAAATCAGTGGTGGCCTAGTTTAAAAGCCAAAAGGCCCACCTCTCATGCATGAGGGCGCGGGTTCGATCCAGACAAGTACCAATGTGATTGTTCCGAGTCATATGTACTTTATAAGAGTATTTAGACATCACTGATTAATGCATTCCCAAACAGGGTTGATGTCAGGCAGGCGGCCGGTCGTAAAAACAATTAGCCAAAACTATTCACAACATGTAAGGCAGACCCTGGCTAAAGCTAGGAAATTGCCAGGTAGAAGATATATAAAAAGCATCATTACTCACCAGGTTCATAAAACAATTCTTCAAGTTCCATCCTGAGATCCCGAGTCAAGAGTTCGTTCAACATGACTGGCTCTTTCTCAGGGGGAGGTGCCGACATTATAAATCTACAACAACGAAGATATTTATACTTACTTATTCATTAGATGAAACTAATATTTTGTATACTACGCATATTTTATTATTTCAACTACTTACAACGTGTTACTTTACAACCGTGATCACGAAGAAAGACGAATGAATGATTAAAAATAATAAAGTACAAGTAGTGATACTAAAAATATTAGTTTCTTTTATACTTATCAGTAGTTTGAATCTAACTACATAAAAAGTATAGAGTTTATTAATTACCATCACACGAGGTAGAACACGATAGCTCAGTTAAAAAAGCGAGTAGAACGTACCATTAAAATGGTTTTAGATTCGAACCCAGCTTATGTACATTTTTATTATTATTATTAATGTCAATAAAGTTTAATTTATATGATAGATATAATTGAGAATATAATATAAAAATATGTTTTATATACAGTGTCCAAACTCAACATCAAACTGAAACGGGGTGACTCAATTGATTGTAACTATCACGGGAAAAAACAGAAAAAAATCATCTATTTGAGAAAAACATAGAAATTCGGTATATATAGTTTATCAAATTGATGGATTGTGTGAAGGATGACATGGCTAAGAGAGGGGGCTGATAAACGAGACTGTAGAAGAACATGTTGTACCGAGCCTAGATAAAGTGGGACCAAGGCAGGAAGAAGAAGATAGTTTGTTATCAAATAAGTTGTTAATATTTATAATATACCTCTCTTGTCGTAATACTATGTCCCCATCTACTTGTGTAGCACATAGCAATGGATATCCTGGCTTTTCACACCAGCCGTCCCAAGCGTGGGGCGGCGCGGATGACGAATGCTGCAGCGCCCTCCAAAGATCTCTGGAAATAGGTTACATATATATAAAAAATACATTCAACAAAACCTATCACTTGTTACGTACACACATGTTAAAAAATACATGAACATCGCCGGGTAACATCGTTGTATGTATAATATATAACTCTTGACGCCGCTGACTCCGCGGAACGAACACCAAGCGTGTGAACCAGAAGATTCCTGATACACACAAGCTATGGAATGGTATTGCTATCATAACATCGGGTCAATCATGTAGTCTTAGGTGTAGGTTATAAGTTTTAATATGTAATTCGTATTATAATATACATATAAGTTAGTTTCGTAGTTTTCTTAGAACCTCTAGTTGCCAGGATATATTCTGTCATAAATATTAAGTTTAATTATATATTATTATCAGTTTTATTTACTTGGCATCAGCGCTGGCAGTGCGATGATCTCTCAGTAGTCTGGCGAGAGCGGCCCGACCCACGTCCACACCGGCAGCTTCTATCGCCATACTTACTATGGCCGCGCCCTTAAAATTTAATATATATTACATATATTATGAATACATCATATATTCTTATTTGTATCATCATCATCATCATCAGCCTATCAGAGCCCACTGCTGAGCTGCCTCTTCTCACATGGAGAAGGTTTGAGCATTAATCACCATGCTCGCTCAAGACGGGTTGGTGATTTCAAACTTATAATTGTGAAACTATAAGTCCAGGTTTCCTATTTGTATAATCCCTACTAATATTATAAATGCGAAAGTAACTCAGTCTGTCTGTCTGTCTGTTACGTTTTCACGCCTATACCACTGAACTGATTTTAATGAAATTTGGTACAGAGATAGAGTTGACCTCAAGAAAGAACATAGGATAGTTTTTATACCATCTTCTGAAAAGTTCTCTTGGAAACGCGATATAACCGAAAGCTAGTAAAATATATATTGATTAATATATACATATTTAGACAACACACATTTAATTTGAACCGAACCTTCAAACTCCCGAACGCACCCGAAGTGTCGTTAAAGAGATGACGTTTGGTTTGTTCACTTTTACGAGGGAAAGTATTTGTACACGAGACTTGTGTTTTTGTAAACTGAATTTAACTTATATAAAATGTTTTGGTTTAAGATAATAATTAGTATATTGTAGTAAATGTTTGATTTGTTATATAAAAGTAATGATTTATAAGACAACTGTATTTTTTAGTGTTTTTGTTAGAATCCTAAATGTACTCACCTTATGTAATGATAATTCGTCTGTAGCAGACTCTATGTCTGATTTTTCAAGTCTCGGTGAGGCGACAGCGCGGACTGAGTTACTGGAATCTAGTCTGAAAAACAAATAACAAAAAAATATATATAATATATATAAATAAATATGTCGTTGTTCAAATAAAGGATAAAAAATGTCTTAAAAATCATTTAATCTTGTATAGAATTCATTATATCTAAATCTAACCATCTATGTTGTGAAAATCATAATTTTCATCCAAAGTTCACTTAAAGATACTATTGAAACGAAAAAATATATTAAATAAAGAAACAATTAACATTTTCAATTTATGGTAAAATTGCTATTTTTTCCTGTCAAACACATAACAGGAATCTTTTTCACAGAAAATCCTTTTTTGATATTTAATATTATTTCAAGATTGTTTTGAGTCTTTTTTGTGAAAATTCATTAAATAGAAAACTTCGAATTAATTGTATATTACTCACAAAACATAATATTAGCTACACACATATATATATATATATATATATATATATATATATATATATATATATATATATATATATATATATATATATATATATAGTGACGAACCTTAGAGCAGGCAACACATGATCTAATAATAGTGCATCCTGTTGCCTCTCAGCGGGAAGGCCCCCTAAGGCAGGGGCCTTCTCACCCAACACTGAGGTGAGGGCCTCCAACAGCCACTGGGAACTCCACCAACGGGGGGACACCAGGCCCCCGAACCACTGTAATGAGGGGGCATTCATATTACTTATATAATAAACTGAACTAACACTAGCTGTTCGGAAAAAAATGCATTTATATAGATGAGGAAGACAGAAATTAACATTTTTAATGACTGTTTCATATGAAGATCGAATCAGTGAGTTTATTTTATCTCACAACATTCGTATATATATGGAGAATACTTGATTGACAGTAACTGTTTCAAAAAAATGCATTTATATATTAGACGAAAAATAGATACAAATTATCATTATTCATGCCTATATCACATGAAAACCTCATGAAAAACAGATCTTTCTCTATCATACAATATTAGTAAATAATTTTGTTTGGGTCAAAGGTCAATGCATTTATAAAAGAGAAATAGATATAAATTATCATTATTCATGAGTATTTCATATGGAAATCAGATCACTATTTTCATTTATGTTGTGGGGGTCAAAGGTCATCTGTGTGTCACCTGTTGCGCGAGTAGTCTAGCGATGACCTTGGTGTCAGTGAGGAGAGACGGCGACAGAGTTATAAGGCCCCATCCTTCAGAGTACGAACTACCACCATCAACCACCACGATGTCTTGAAAAATATACAAAATATATTAAAAATATTGTTTATATATGAAAAAATTAATATAATTATATATAATAGTGCTTTTTACCGAATTTAGGTAATGGATACGAAGTGTTTAGCTCGTATGCGAACAGTTGTATCGTTTTTTGAACCCATTCTAGCAGCGGGCTGAAATGGAAATGAATTGTTATGGACGAAATTAAAAACATATACGTACATATTTATAAATATATGGAAAATCACTGGTTATATAAAATATATATTGTAACGTGTAAATTTTTATAATTTAGTAAAAAAAATTAATAAAAATTTTAGCTAACGAAATATAATACAGGTATATTCTGTTAAACCATATAATATTAATGAAAAATATACTCAAAATATTATATGTATATACAGGGTGACTAGTGAATTACTATCGATATTTGAGGACGTGATATTTGACGATCATATATGACAAAATAAAAATTAATATAACATAAATATTAATAAACTTCTAAGTAAAGTTAACCAAAAGTTATGTAATTAATTACGCATCGTGTGAACACCCTACAGATTAGGTATACACACACACACACACACTCGCGCGCGGCGGCGTGTTGTTGTATCAGCACGCCGCCGCGCGCGTCCACACTTGGAACACTTGGAACGTGTACACACTTTATTTATTTATACGGAAATTTGGTCAAAAATTAAGTACCTATTTTTTTTACATAATTCGAATGAGAATCATGTACCGAGTATTCTCCTTAAATATTGATAGTAATTCATCAGTCACCCTGTATAATAGTTTTAGTCCGCGACTTTGTCCGCATGTATTTTGTATTTGGTTTCTGATATAAATATGAACATGCATTATAAATGTTTATTTGGTTACTAGAAACATTTGTATTTCGTAATGTATGATTATAACTAAGTAAGAATTAAACAATATATGTTTAGTTATTATATGGGTTGGGTATGCAGTACTTATTTGCTTGTATGGTGTGCATGCTACTAATTTATCATCATCATCATCCTATCAGAGCCCACTGCTGAGCTGTCTCTCACATGGAGAAGGTTAGAGCATTAATCACCATTACTCAAGACGGGTTGGTGATTTCAAACTTATAATTTGATATAAGTCCATGTTTCCTCACGATGTTTTCCTTTATCTGTCAGTGTTGTCTAAATACATACTCTTATAAAGTACATATGACTCGGAACATCACATTGGTACTTGTCAGGTTTCGAACCAACTCTCATGAATGAGAGGCGGACCTTTAACCTTTCTTGGTATAGTATCCTACTAATATTATAATTGCGAAAGTTTGTGAGTATGTGTATATGTTTGTTACTTCTTTACGCTCAAACGATTGAACCGATTTTGCTAAAGTTTTGTATACAGGAAGCTGACGTCCAGGAATAAGTCATAGGCTACTTTACATCCCGGAAATCCGCGGGTAACACCGCGCTATTATTATATAAGTCTACTCACCCTGATTCATCTAGTATAACCTGTTGGTCACTGTACAGACTTATCTCTGGTGCTACTTCCGGTGGCGTTTCTGTAGTGTCTGTGGTGGGGACCGGAAGTGGGACCGCGCCGCGACGCTGCAGTCGACACACAGCCAGCGACATCATGTGAGGAGACATTGGTGGGGATAAGGCGAACTCATCTTGTAACTGAGGGTAGAATGAATTAGTTAAGAAAAATGTGTGAAATAATTAAATAAAACTAATATTTTTCGGATGTACTACGCGACTTTATTTTTGATTATAAACTACATACTCCCGACGTTTCGGTTACTTTACAGCGACCGTGATCATTAAGACGAGATGTGAGTGTGTGAAACAATTAAAGTATTTGAGGGTAGTTTTATATATATATGTTAATTTAATGGATTTTTGGTGGAAATTTCAAATTATATACACATATTTAAATAAATAAATGAATTGTAATATTAAATACTATACAAATGTGAGTCTTATATTCGTCTGATTTTATGGTTTGGTTAAAATATAAAATTATCTATAAATATGTATGTATATGAATAAAACCATATATTTTCTTAATTATTATACTGTATTATATTAATATATTACTAGTATAATCCCTACTAATATTATAAATGTGAAAGTAACTCTGTCTGTCTGTTTGTTACGCTGTCACACCTAAACCACTGAACTGATTTTAATGAAATTTGGTACAGACATAGAGTTGACATTGAGAAAGAACATAAGATAGTTTTTATCTGAGACTTTTGAAAGATTCTCTTGGAAACGCGATATAACCGAACTCCACGCGGGCGAAGCTGCGGGCGGAAAGCTAGTATAGTATAAAGAGTGAATCAGTTAAAATAAGAGAAAGTATGTGACACGCAATATCAAGTAATTTAAAAAATTATGGTACTATTATATTTATCTATTTATTGGATGGACATAAACATTATTTACAATACTTTAGTAAAACCAGTATTAGAATACCTCATAGAAACGCGGCTAAAACACATATAAAAAATTTGCATCTCTCAAAATAAATTTATCAAGGTCTTATTTCATATGGATTATTATACACCTACTAAAGATTTATATAAAACAACTAAAATTTTATCTATTAAACAAATGTATAAATATAAATTATGTATACTTATTCGAAAAATATTAACAAACCTTACTCATTCCAACCCATTATTACCACACAAGGAACAGATATAAACTAGAAACATCTAAAACTTAACCAAGTACGGCATTAAAACTATTTCATTTGAGCTCAGCTGTATAATTCTTTACCTCAAAGTGTTGTCAATTCAAAATCTCTAAATATATTTAAAAAACGATTAAGAACCCATATATTAGATGATTTCACTGATCTTGTTTAATATCACTAATGTTTATTATTTGTAATTTTAATTGTAGTTATAATTTTTAAAATTTCCTTTGTCAGGGAACTTTTTTCTTTTTGGAAATAAACTTCTTTAAACCTTATATTTGGTAGAAATTAAAAATTATTTATAAATATATATGTATCTTCTTTTACCTGGCAATTTCCCAGCTATAGCCAGGGGCTGCCTTACATGTTGTAAATAGTTTTTCCTATTTGTTTTTACGACCGGCCGCCTGCCTGACATCAACCCTCTTTTTGGGAATCAACATTAATCAGTGATGTCTAAATACTCGTAGAAAGTACATATGATTCGGAAAAATCACATTGGTACTTGCCCGGGCCAGGATCGAACCCGCGCCCTCGGCGACGAGAGGCCGAGAGGCGAGCCCTTTAACCACTGAGCCACCACTGACTGACTAAATATATATGTATGTATTATAATAATTCATATATTTTCTTATATATTAAAATATAATTTAATAAACAATATATTTCTTACCAGTCTATGTCCTAAATAAAAACCCGCTTCTTCTGTCGCGACAATCGGCATATTAGTGAGAGATACGTGGAAGCTGGAATAAAAGATATATTATTATTGTAACTGAAACTTTTTACCCTAAATATAATCATAGAATTATATCTTTATATATAAAAGAAAGTCATGTTAGTTACACTATTTATAACTTAAGACTGTACGGGTTTGGATGAAGATTGGTGTAGAGATAGATTAGAACATAGAAAGGATATATGATATTTAATTATGTTCGATCCATAAAAAAATAAAAAATCCGATATATATACACTAGTTTTCGTCCGAAATTTCGTCCGCGTTAATTTCGTCATTAGTAATATTATATGTATAGCTCCTGGCGAATTCTATTCCGTCCTAGAGACCGTAATAACCAGATATTAGAATTTATTAAGCATTTTTTTTACTTTTCGATCGCACTTAATTAAATATCCTATGTTCTTTCTATGTTCTAATCTATCTCTCCACCAATTTTCATCCAATATCCGTTCAGCTGTTTTTGAGTTACAAATAACTAACACGACTTTCTTTTATATATAAATATAATAAATTAAATATTATATCTATAGATGAATATCTCACCGATCTCTGACTATAGTTAGTTTGAATGTGGCTCGTAGATGCGGCTCATCTAGACAAGGAAAGGCGGAGCGAGCGTGGGTCAACCAAAATCTTGAAATCGCGCAACGCCTGAAAACATAACATTGTTAAAAAACATTGTATCATAACATATAGGTTAACTTATACATATGTTATAACTTATAAGTTTTAAAACAATTACATAAATGTATATACGCAATTTGTCTGTCTGTATCAGCCTATCAGAGCCCACTGCTGTAAGGCCTCTTTCTCACATGGAGAAGGTTTGAGCATTAATCACCACGCTTGCTCAAGACGGGTTGGTGATTTCAAACTTATAATTTGATATAAGTCCATGTTTCCTCACGATGTTTTCCTTCATCAGTCAGTGATGTCTAAATACTCTCAGAAAGTACATATGAATCTGAAAAATCACATTGGTACTTGCCAAGGTTTGAACGCAATTTGTATTTGTTGATAAATGTATGTATATAAATTACCGAAAGCACATTGCAAATCGTCAACATTTTATATAAGTTTTAATAAAATTAGTTGAGCATTTTATAATTTTTTACATTTCAGGTTATGAAGAAACTGAAGACAACGTAATTTATTGTTATAAACCTGTTACATTTATAACAAGTTTTTTCCGTAACTAAATACTTACAGTTAGCAGTATTTCATTAATACTTTTGATACTATGTGGAATAATGAATGAAAAAAATAATAATCTTATGATTGTATTTACTTGGAAAAGTATTGATAAGTTTACAAGACATTTTTGTCAAATTCTAGACTATTACTAGGATTATAGAAAATATCTTTTATATATGAAAAATAATTAAAAATCTACATTATCCTACTATAATATTATAATTGCGAAAGTTTGTGAGTGTGTGTGTATGCTTGTTACTTCTTCACGCTCAAACGGCTGAACAGACTTTGATAAAATTTTGTATACAGGAAGCTGACGTCCAGGTATAACTCATAGGCTATTTTACATCCCGGAAATCTCGGAAATCCCGGAAATCTCGGAAATCCCGGAAATCCGCGAGTAACACCGCGGGGCGCAGCTAGTTATATTATAATTATCAAATATTTCTTACTGTCTGTGTGTGCCAGCTATAAAGAAACCTCTCTGTCGGTCACTCCTGTCGAGTTTTGTTATGAAACGTAGACTCAGAGTGTAGTTGTATTTACGCCTTAGTTTCTCCTGAAACAATTATACATGTATTATAAATATACATATATATTGAAAACCAAAGGTAAGAAAATCGGTATTTTTGTGAGGTTTTTTGTAGGATTTTCTCACATTTTTTTAATATATACATATATTAATAAGTAGAAGACAGAAAATCCTTTCTTTTTTGACGTGTTTCGAAGGATTTTCTCACAATTTTTTTGTACATCATTATTCTGCACTTCAAATACATTTAATCTCTAAGATTCTCCTATAGTAGATAAGTTCACAAATACTTCTACGTGATTACATCTAGAAGATTACCGAAATATTACCAAAAATTACCTTAAACTCGATGTACGTCTGGTCAGCTTGTGGGTAGTCGAGTGTTTTCGCAACTTTAGGCCCCAAGGAACCACCAGCCTTAAATAAGGCACGCTCAGTAACATTCATGTCCCTAATATTGAGGACCACGAATGTTGTATCTCTATCCACTTTGAAGTCTATTGATACTTCACCTGATGAAGTGAAGTGAAGTGAAGTTCATGAAGTTTACATAACGATTTTAATGGAATAAAGTCCAAGTTTTAGTACAAAATAATGCATAAATTAGGATGAAAATTGTATTATTTTAAGTATTATGAGGGTGTAGTACAGTTAGTTGTAGGTTTGTCTGTACTTATCTTAAAAACTTCTGATAGTTATGTAGTTGTAAAGAAATATAATAAGACTTGACATAAAATATGATTTCATTAAAATAATGAGGGTCAAAGAAATGTTATAATTTTTTTATATTATAATAGTCGACTTATTCTTTCTTTGTTATATACACTTAGAGAGAAAATAAAATAAAATTTGGAAGATTCAGTTGAGGAATATGTTTTTATACGTATATAATATAATATTTTAAAACCAAAATATTAATTAATCTAAGAACCATTACAGGTTAAAATACTTAAGATTCTAAATCAAAAAGACTTTCAAACATCATAATAATAAGGAAACTACTTTATTTCGTTAAAAATTAATAGTTAAACATAATTATGAGTCAACAAAAATACATATTAAATACATATATATACATATATATATATATATATATATATATATATATTACCTCTCAGTTCTCCAGTTGTAAGATTAGGATGTAACCATAGGTTGTAGTGTTTTGGTATCAGAAAGGTTGGTAGTCTGGCGCCTCTCCAGGGAAACACCATGCCGTTACTGGCTATTCTTTCTCTGATGAAGAAGAACATACATATATGTAAATATATACTAGTTTTTGCCCGCGACTTCGTCTGTGTTAGAAATGTATATCTGACCGGGTAAGCTCTAAAAGACAGTAGATCTTCTTGGCTTTGATCAACTTATTTTTTTTTCATTTTTAATCGCATGTAAAGTATCCTATGTCCATTCTATGTTCTAATCTATCTCTCCACCAATCTTCATCCAAACTCGTATATGTTCTTGAGTTATAAATAGCGTAACTAACACGACTTTTTTCTATATATAAAGATATATATGTGCTTATTTTTACATGTACTATCAACATACATATACACTCGAAAAACTCGATACTATTCGTTTTGTTTGAAAATACACTAATAGTAAGGGAATCAATATGCATGTATGTATATATGAAATGCTCACATATAGTAAAATTACATCTATATTGTATATACAAATACTAATGTCAAAAAAAACGTTTGTATGGGAAATAGAAAAGGGCTGTTTTTATGGTTTTCCCAGTAATGAATCAATTTTTTTTAGCTTTTATACCTTCCCTGAGCCTCCACGAACATTTCAAGACTAAGATAAGATAAATCCGTTTAGCTGTTCTCGAGTTTTAGCAAGACTAAGGAACAGCAATCCATTTTTATATATATATTGTAACATACTTGGACGCCGTAGTATAATTTTCTTCCACACCAGTAGGAACTATCCCCGGAATAAGTTCCACTTCTGCTGCGCATGGACATTCTGTGATAATATACACAAAACTATAATAATCAATATTAAATTAATAGTTCATCTATCTCTATTTAAAGTAATCGTGTTATGTAGTCTGTATATAACACAAAAAATAGATTTTAACGCAGAAAAACTGAAAATTTATGTCTTTTCATAATTATGTGTTGTCATTTTATAAACTAGACTAATACCCGTGACTTGATCTGTTTTTGCTACATAAAAAATATCGTATAAGACCACAAACATGAATGAACAAATGGCTCTTATATGTAGAAATAATTGTATCTTAAAACTAATAAATATATTTATATACTAGCTGACCCGGCGAACTTCGTACCGCCTTATAATCAAGAAATATATGTTAGTTTTTATTTGAATGATGTTAATTTCTTTATTATATATAGCTGACTCTACAGACAATGTTCTGACAATCATTGAATTTAATTAACAAATAAAAAATAAGGGTTGATCTCAGAGGGGTGAAAATTTAGGGTTGTATGTATTTTTGTAGGCTGTGTCAGAACAAAATAAAAACAAAAAATTTTGCCTAAAAAATAAAAACAAAAATTTAGGGGTGGACTACCCTTAACATTTAGGGGGATGAAAAATAGATGTTGACCGATTCTCCCCCCTGGTTAGTATCCTCGATAAGGATCACGAAAATCGTTCGAGCCGTTTCGGAGGAGTTCAAGTTCGAACACCGTGACACGAGGATTTTATACAGGGTGACTGGTGAATTACTATCGATATTTGAGGACGTGGTAGTTGACGATCATATATGACAAAATAAAAATTAATATAACATAAATATTAATAAACTTCTAAGTAAAGTTAACCAAAAGTTATGTAATTAATTACGCATCGTGTGAACACCCTACAGATTAGGTATACACACACACTCACACATACGCAGCGGGGGCGTGGTTTTGTATCAGCACGCCGCCGTACGCGTCCACACTTGGAACACTTGGAACGTGTCAACACTTTATTTATTTATACGGAAATTTTGTCAAAAATTAAGTACCTATTTTTTTTACATAATTCGAATGAGAATCATGTACCGAGTATGCTCCTTAAATATTGATAGTAATTCACCAGTCACCCTGTATATTAGATATATTTCTTACAGACGTCTCAAAATAATTATTATGTATAAGCTACAGGTCACTTTATTATTTATACATATACATACATACATATAAATGTCTTCTACCTGGCAATTTCCCAGCTTTAGCCAGGGTCTGCCTTACATGTTATCAATAGTTTTGGCTAATTGTTTTTACGACCGGCCGCCTGCCTGACATCAACCCTCTTTGTGAATGCATTAATCAGTGATGTCTAAATACTCTTAAAGTACATATGACTCGGAAAAATCACGTTTATATTTATCTAATATATTAAAAGATATTTCTTTAAAGAATCGTAAGCAATGCTATTCTATTCTTTTCTTGCAAATGAACTTCACTATGCTATTAATATACCATGCATTTAAAAAATCGATACGAATTACATTTCCATAAAACCTTCTAGAACTTAACGAGGCTTTAAGTCTTTGAAGTTCAATACTTAAAATCATTGAATAAAAATAATGCATTTACTAAAATGTCTTTTGCTAAATAGAAATTACGTTTTTTTAGTTTAAATTTAATTCGTGATTGAAGTATAATTTTGTATAATCAAATTTTATACCTAATCATTGAATAAATTGTAGTATAATTTTGTATAATCAAATTATATACATAATCATTGAATAAATTGTAGTATAATTTTGTATAATCATTTAGGTAATTGCTCCTATTTTTTATGCTGTCTTCATTCACACTGTAATCGTATAATATTTTGTCAATGTCAATATTTTTATTTATTGGACGAAGATAATGTCGAGTACTGTGTGGAGACACGAAGGAATTTGTGGAATGGAATAAAGACGTTTTTTTAATTATTATTTAAGAAGACTACTTATATTTTTACCTTCATTGTATGTGACATTGAAAACTTTCAATATATTCTTATTTAATTTAATTCTTTCAATCTTATTTAATTCTTTCAATATATTCTTATACAACTGTAAAAGTCAACTTAAACTTGACAATATATTGATAGAAAAAAAAGGTTGAAAAATAATAAAAAACGTACAAAAAAATTTGAGACAAAGCGATACGTATATAAAAGTATGAATCAGGAGGATGAAAAAATCGTTCATAATCCTTTATATGTATGTATATACAGGCGGTCCTCGACTTACGTCGTTTCGATTTACGTCGTTTCAAGTTACGTCGAACAATGTTTTGACACTATTCCTCAAGCATACGTCATTTGTTTCGATTTCCGGCATATCGGAGAATTCACTTGTCGCAAGGTCAATGTCCGTGAGGGGCGCTAACCGTTTGCCTGACATTGCAGTTACTACTGATGATATTGATGATCTGTTAAGCTCACATTCGCAAGAACTGACTGATGAAGATCTTATTGAATTGGAGGCACAAGTACAAAAGGAAGCACTCGAGTCACAAGAAATAGCTTCTTCTATTAGTGACTCTGAAAAAGAACTTACACTAAAAAAACTTTCCGTAGCCTTTGCAAATTTGAAGAATACCATGAAAATTTTTGAAGAAAATGATCCTAATTTTGAGAGAAGTTTTAACGTTAATAACAAAATTTGTGCAGCCTATCACTGTTACCAAGATCTGTATGATAGCAAGAAGAAAGAAGCCAAGCAATCTAGAATTGATAGTTTCTTTAAGCCAAAAGTTTAATTTATTATTTATCATTACATAATATGTATAAGTTTTATAATTATTATTAAAATTAATAACACACAAATACCAAAAATAACTAGCAATTTCATAAGTGCATAATATATAATTATTTTAAGAACTTACTTTTAATAATAAAGTACGTCCTTTGTTATAAATGCAGTTTTTTTTATTATTTCGAGTCCGTGTGGAACCTATCCCTTGCGTTTTACATGTAAACATATGAAAAATATGTCTCGACTTACGTCGCGTCGTTTCGATTTACGTCGCGTATTTCAAGAACCTAACATGCCGTAAGTACGAGGACTGCCTGTACTAGCTCTCCGGCCGCAGCTTCGCCCGCGTGGAGTTCAGTTATACCTCCCTCCCGTTATTGTGAGGCAACCATAAAAGATAGACATATGCTGTCCAGGAACATATTTCCGTCATACATGATTTCTATGTAGCTTTAACGTATAAGCCTGCACACGCGACGGAAGCTTAAAAAATGGAGTAACTTCTCCCGTTTTCCCAATATTTCCCGTCACTGCTCTGCTCCTATTAATTGTATCGTAATGAAAAGTATACATTAACCTGCCTAGGAGTATGAAGAATAATTGTGCCAAATTTCGTTAAAATCCGTCGAGTAGTTTTTGTTTCTATAACGAATATACAAACAGACAGACAGACAAAAATTTTACTGATTGCATTTTTGGCTTCAGTAACGATCCCTAACTACCCCTTGATAATTATTTTTTAAATATATTTTATATACAGAATTGAGCTCTCTACTGATTTACTATAAGTATAGATATAATAGTTTTTGCCCGGGATTTCGTCTGCGTTAGTTTCAAAATCAGAAATCTATAGCTGACCGGGCGAACTCAATTCTTCTTTAAAGACAATACATAAGAAGATTTTTCTCTTTTAATCATATAAAACGTATCCTATGTCCGTTCTATGTTCTAATCTATCTCTCCACCAATCTTCATATAACCCGTACAGCCGTTAGAGTTATAAATAGTGTAACTAACACGACTTTCTTTAATATATACATACCTGGTTGTGGTGTTGCGTACACGACTAGTAGGGCTGTGGCAAACATAGCGGAGAGGACTAGAGCTGCTAAACAGAGAGCTCGTCTTTGAGAACAAACAGCCACTGGAGCATCTCCTAGTTCCCTCGCCTCTCTCGCTTTGTCAGTATCTAAAATAAATACATTTCAATTAAAATTATATAAACATTTAATTGAAATTAAAATCGAAACATCTCGTCTTAATGATCACGGTTGCTGAAGTAGCCAAAACGTCGGGAGTATGTAGTTTTTTACAAAATTAAAGCACGCGTTGTATATATCAGTAGTGGCTCAGTGGTTAAAGGGCCCCCCTCTCGTCGCCGAGGGCGCCGGTTCGATCCTGGCCCGGGCAAGTACCAATGTGATTTTTCCGAATCATATGTACTTTCTAAGAATATTTAGACATCACTGATTAATGTTGATTCCCAAAAGAGGGTTGATGTCAGGCAGGCGGCCGGTCGTAAAAACAAATAGCCAAAAAAAAAACTATCCACAACATGTAAGGTAGACCCTGGCTATAGCTGGGAAAAATTGCCAGGTAGAAGAAGAAGAAAGCACGCGTTGTATAACCGAAAGATATTAGTTTCATTTGAATGAATAAATTTATGAAAGTCTTAGCTCTTATTATACAAAACATTCCTTATTAATTTCTTTAAAACGTGTTCTATGTTGCACCTTATAACATAAGCTATCTGTCAGTCAAAGTCCCATCAAAATCGAAAACGTAATTTCAGAGATTATCCGTAACATACAGACATATAGCAAAAAAAATTGTACTGAATTTTTTGGTTTATTTATTTTATTTAAAGAAAAAATAGTTGCAATTAAAGTATTATAATGGTTTACGTATTCATTGAGTGGTTATTTTTATATTACAAAATGAATTAAAATTAATTTATTTCTTTTTATATATGTACTATGAAATCTTTTTTGTCATTATTCAATCATTTTTAATACAATGTTAATGAAAATTTGCTTCCTATACGTAGTTTTAAACATATAATCTTAAAATGTAGTCATAAAATCAAAGATCTTCTTCAATAAGCGTGTTTGAAGTCTGTATATAAAAGATTGAAAAGCCCTTTCTCATTATAGTTCGTTATTTCAACGCGAGATATAAGAACTCTTAATGAAGCACCTCGGAGTTCGGGCTGATTGGTGAAAGCTTTTACACGTCTCGCAAAAAACTACATACATATATATATACATAGTATCTTTTGTCTAGAATATTACTACATAATAACAAACTAAATATACATATATATCTTATATATAAAATTCTAGTGTCGCGGTGTTAGACTTAGAACTACTCCGAAACGGATGGACTGATTTTGATAAAATTCTGTGAGAATATTGAGTAGCTCTGAGAATCGGCCAACAATTATTTTTCATACCCCTAAGGGTTGTTCACCCTTATTTATTTATTTTTTATTTTCGGACGAAATTTCTTGTTTTTATTTTTTTTATAATGTAACATTAAAAAATACAAACAACTCAAAATGTTTACATTTTTATCATCAACCCCTATTTTTATATGGCTAAACAAGGTCTGCCGGGTCAGCTAGTATATATTTACATATCCATACATATACCTATATAATTGCTATTTAATCAGATGTGAAAATATTGTTTCTTTAATAAACTAACTTGCTTTTGTTAATCAGATCTAAGATTTTTCACGAGTACTCATTTAAATGGAACTAATATTTTACGATTTACTACGCGTTTTTTAAATTTTGACCATAAACTACATACTCCCGACGTTTTGGTAAGGTAGCCGTTTCGTTTAAATTGACTTTGGTTTATATTTGTGTGAACAGATTTTAATATTTATTTTATTATTCAATACATATTCTATAAGTGTTTTTAATATAAAATGTTTGTAAGAACTCACCCGCTAGGAATGCGACATCGTCTAAATCCTGATCAACCATGTTACGCCACGCAGCAGCTGTGAAAAAAATAATTAATTAACAATATATATAACATTAAAAATTATTAATAAATATGGATTATGGATTTATCAAACTATTCTTGTTTTCAAAACAAATGCACCATTTCAAAACCGCGACTTTTTCGTTGTCACTTAAAATAAAATATTTTTTTCATACTACCTGCATTGTTATTAATACATATTGTACTAAAACTAGTATATTTGAAAGATATCTGATTATAAATGGTACAAGTTACATAATTTTCTAGAGATTATTAACTGGAGAAGTTTTAAAACCATTTTCATTGAAATACATTGTAACTAGTATTTTTTTACAACGTAAATTTGTAATAAGGATTATTATTTCTCGCTTTATGAAAATTAAACAATGGACAGTTATTTATGTATTATAAATTGCTTGAATAAAATTATTAGGAAATCTGAATAAATGAAGACGATATTTTTATAAACAAAATATAATTTTACCGAAAAAAATATAGTTTTTTTTGAGACAGTAAAATGAAGATAAATCATTTAACTAAGGCAAAATATCATTTAATCAGGCGCATCAAATAGCCAACATTGTGATCTATCGACCATTTTCCTGTGACCCTTCAAACACCCTGTATATATATATATATATATACATATACAGGGTGACTGGTGAATTACTATCAATATTTTAGGAGAATACTCGGTCCATGATTCTCATTCGAATTATGTAAAAAAAATAGGCACTTAATTTTTGACAAAATTTGTCAAAAAAAAAGTATGTGTGTGTCTGTGTGTATACCTAATGTATAGGGTGTTCACACGATGCGTAATTAATTACATAACTTTTGGTTAACTTTACTTAGAAGTTTATTAATATTTATGTTATATTAATTTTTATTTTGTCATATATGATCGTCAAATATCACGTCCTCAAGTATCGATAGTAATTCACCAGTCACCCTGTATATACATACAGAATCTTCCTACATATACATTACCTTTAGCTGAACCGTTGCGGTCTGTCTTATACTTTCCAATGGGTTCCATCTGTATACCATCCATTTCACGACATGACCGACAACTGAAAACATATTAATATACAACATATACATATATACTAGCTTTCCGCCATCAGCTTCGCCCGCGTGTAGTTCGGTTATATCGCGTTTCTAAGAGAACCTTTCAAAAGTACGGGATAAAAACTATCCTATGTTCTTTCTCAAGGTCAACTCTATGTCTGTACCAAATTTCATTAAAATCAGTTCAGCGGTTTAGGCGTGAAAGCTTAACAGACAGACAGAGTTACTTTCGCATTTATAATATTAGTAGGGATAATACCTACCAAAATACACATATATATGTAATAAAATGTAATAATATTAATTATTTTATACGATATCAATGCTGTGTCTATATATATAAAAATGGATTGCTGTTCCTTAGTCTCGCTAAAACTCGAGAACAACTGAACGGATTTATCTTATCTTAGTCTTAAAATGTTCGTGGAAGTTCAAGGAAGGTATAAAAGCTGAAAAAATTGAATCATTACTGGGAAAACCATAAAAACAGCCCATCTCTATTTCCCATACAAACGTTTTTTTTTGACAAGAGATTTGACAACTAACTAATATGTCATTCATTCTGTCGCACTTCAAAACACGGATATTTATGGCTTACAGGTAAACTCCAAAAATATAAATAAAAAAACGTAATAGATATTTCTTGATTATAGGGCGATACTAAGTTCGCCGGGTCTTCTAGTATATATATAATTATTAAATTTCAAAACAGTTCTTTAACCACAATGTCACATAGTAACTCTTAAGTGTAAAAGGGTGCATAACTTCATCTTAAGCCAAGCCAGCATCCTAATACATCTTAAAAAGTTGGCAAAAGAGCAAGCCTTTACTAAAAACCTACCCTCAAGCATTAATACATCAGGGTTGTTAGATTAGAAATTATATATGAAAATAAATTTATTTATTTTACAGATATACATAATATCTTTAATTGTTTTATTAGTAATATTTCTTTTTAAAGTTTTTTTTAATAGAAATTTATATTTCAATTTCTTCAGAAACTTTATTGGTATCTAAGTTGGTGGTATAAAAAATAGGCTTTTCCTTAAATGAATTGGTTACTGTAATGTTATTATTCTAAATATATATGTATATTAGGACTTATATATAGCTTTAAACATTTTTGAACACCAGACCAGACCCTGGCTAAAGCTGGGAGGATGCCAGGAAGAAGAAAAAGATTTTTGAAGTATACTTTCAAACATACACTTTATAAAAACCTGACAAAAATATAATATAAAGCTATTAATTTCTTGATTATAATAAAAAAAACATATATTAGTATACTAAAATAGTAATAATATGATATTTAAGTTAAATTTTAACTTAAATTTGTTTCAAGCAACCCTTAGTAACTCAAAGCGTTACTCTCCAACGCCTTAAAAGCACGACACACGCATTGTTCAAACGATTCAATGTTTACCAGCATTTGTGAAGTTTAAAACAGAAATTGTGCCAAGGTTAGCTTACTTTAAAACTTTAAATGTAGCATTATTGCATTTTTTTTTGATATTTTAATAATATTAAATAGAACTATTTGTAATTAAGAAAATTTAAGAAATATTTTAATGACAAAAATTAAGTTATAACTTAAGTATTAAAGAAGAAATATCACTTATAAATTAAATAATAATATTTTATTAATGAAGATATTATTTATACATTAAACGCTATTCCATGTTTAATGTGAACTCTACCTTAGAAAATTTAATTTTCTGTAACAGTATGTCAAGTTGAGTTATCTTTGTCTAATCACATCGGAAATTACCAATTATATGTATGAAATATCCAAAAAAAACTAATATGACTTCTAATAATGGATGGTTTCGTATTTAATATGTATATATAACTAATTTTACATAGATATTTAATGATAAAAACTTAATATTTAATTTAAAAATGAATCTTTTATAGACTATATTTTAACCAAAATTTCTTAAAATATACAAAAATTTCAAGTATGTAGAATTATCTATACAGAGATTTATTCGTAAAAAAAACACGAAAAATAATAATAAATTAGTCAATAATACGAGAAAATCAAATTGTAGGTACATGCGTTCTGAAATATTACCAAAAATATCTATATATACATAAAACACAATATATATAATATTTAAACAATATAATGTAATAAAGGATTGTAATATACATAAAAATATATACTAACTAGAGCTGGCGAACTTCGTATCGCCCTATAATCAAGAAATATCTATTACGTTTTTTTATTTATATTTTTGGAGGTTGCCTGTAAGCCATAAATCTCCGTGTTTTGAAGTGCGACAGAATGATTGACATATTAGAATGTAAAAAAAAAAAAGTTTGTATGGGAAATAGAAAAGGGCTGTTTTCATGGTTTTCCCAATAATGAATAAATTTTTTTTCAGCTTTTATACCTTCCCTGAACCTGCACGAACATTTCAAGACTAAGATAAGATAAATCCGTTCAGCTGTTCTCGAGTTTTAGCGAGACTAAGGAACAGCAATCCATTTTTATATATATAGAAGATATAGAAGATTATGATCTTTGATTAGTAAAAGTATACAAACAACGAAAACCGCGTTACACCACGTTGCAGTTAATGGCATATTATATACATATATAATATATAATAATATATAATATATAATAATTATGAACACTTACGTATATCCGATTTGTTAAAGTGAGAAAAACACTTTTATTTATTATAAATTATATAAATAATTCACAATACAACCGTTCGGTGCGATGGTCGCTTGGAAAATGACTGGGAAAATCGATCCGATGTTCTGCTGATGGAAAGGGATGGGTTGATGTGGATCTAATGTGTTGGAGAGGGATGGAAACAGCCCAGGGGTTGTTCTTGAGAGTGTTGAACCCTTATAATCAGGGTTGGTTCGAGATACTACTATTTGTTTTCGATCAAACTCATTTAAATTACGGTAGACATAAATAAACATTACTTATATATAATTTGTAATACAATTTGTTATTATTTAGTGTTAAATTTATTACTAATTGTGATAAAAAATTACCTTAAAAGTCGTTAATATAGAAAATATTTCAGCTCAAACTTTGTTCTGATAATCTGCTTCTAATGTAGATACGTGGAATTATACAATGCTAGTATCCTCGACAATATAAGTTTAAATATGTTTTTGATAAATAAACTAAAATTAAGATAAATTACGTTATTCTAACTTTAATGTAACTGAAATATGTATTTACTATTTGATCAGATGAAATAAGATAAATCAAAATATATAAATTATATGTTTCATAAAAGCTAATAAACAGAATTCCTCTATGTTTTCTCATTATACGTAATAGATAAGAATATAACAATTCTCATTTAATATCGTCTTAAATCTACAAAAAAATTCAAAACAATTTTATAATTTTTGATAAAATTATTATACCTAATTATGTCCAAAATTATATATGAAAATGATTTAATAAATAAGAACGAATAATATTATTATATTTGTGATCGAGTAACAAATGGTAGGGGATTCCACAGTTTCCGTGTAGCAACCCTCAGATAACTAGAGCAGTAGTTTAAAAACTTGTAAGAGAGTTTTTTGTTACACTTACAACTTGGTTCTCATACAAAATATCCTTACTTAACCGGCTACGAAAAAGGTGGTTCTGTTTATTCATAATTCAGAGGTTCTGTTATCGTAAATAACTATAGTAATATAGATTTTGTTGCCAATTTTCAAATGTTTGATATATTTTTGGTAATAATTGTTATGGTTAATTGAGTAGACGAAATAAATTACAATATTAAATTAATTTATATACATAATATCATGTTTTATAGAATGTATATATATAAAGGAAACTATATATTAAGGAATAACATATATACCTATAATTTATATGTGGTACTGCCTAGCTGTGGTCAAGTTACTACAGCTCGAACATGGTCTGTCTCGACCGTAAGTACCACCCTCTCACAGAAGATCGGCGTGAAGTAGTTTTTAGTGGCTGCGTTTTGTCCGATGAGTGAGAGAGACGGTTGATCTATCCTTTTTCCCACCCTTTCACACTTTTTCCCTATTTTCCCAAATCAAGGGTGGAGACACAATCTCAAATTTACGTTGCGTATGTCTATAGGCGACGGTACTACCTCCATCAGGTAGGCCGATTGCTCGGTTGCCCCTTTAGATTAGGTAGATCTCCAAAGCCTATATGTTGACAAATAATACATGTATATTCTATTTAACCATATACCATATAGGACAACATAGGTATATATAGTTTTTATATAGTCAGTGGTGGCCTAGTGGTTAAAGGGCCCGCCTCGCACGAGAGCGCGGGTTCGATCGTGGCAAGTGCTAATGTGATTTTTCCGAGTCATATGTACTTTCGAATCATCACTACGTGAAGGAAAACATCGTGAGGAAACCTGGACTTATAATTTCTCAATTATAAGTTTGAAATCACCAACCCGTCTTGAGCAAGCGTGGTGATTAATGCTCAAACCTTCTCCATGTGAGAAAGAGGCCTTTGCTCAGCAGTGGGCTCTGATAGGGTGATGAAAAAAAATTATATATAGTTTTAGTCCGCGACTTTGTCCGTATTTATTTTTTATTTGGTTTCTTATATAAATGTTGAATATTCATTATAAATGTTATTTTAATGATAGTAAAGATCATAAAAAAGTACAATTTTAGTGTCGTTGCAATAAAAATACATAAATTTGAAACATTTATTCCAAAATCAAAGTGTATTTTGTTTTGTTTTTCTCATTTATAACAGTTTATATTATTATAAGTTTAAAAATTCGATAAAACATGTATTTTTTGTATATTTTGGATGTGTCAAATCTTCTTGATTCATTCTTCTTTTTATAACCGTTTGTCAGACCATTCTTCTTGGTGCAGTTCTGTCATAATTGGTTTATAAATCTTTTATGTTTATAAAAAATTTTACTAACACCTTACTACAAGTATTCTCGAAACTATACTTACAGTTAGCCGTTTTTCCTTACTTATACCTTAGTAAGTGCTAACATGTCTAAAAAAGACGAATCTCCTCATCATTCCATGTATTCACGGTGCGTGTGTCGGGTCCATCGTTGTAGTGAGAGGAGCTTCAACAGTGACTGTGACTTGTGACCCAGGTGTAGGTTTAAGGGACCCTGTCTAACGTTAAACGATCACCTCCACCGTACAAGCTATAATTATTACTATAGTAAATAAAATAGAATATTTTGGTTTAATTCAATAATAATATACCTCCAGTTAATATTTGCTGTATATTAAAAACGTTATTGTATTGATTTTGATGATGCTCTTGATTTTTGAAAGTGTTTGAAAAAGAACAAGAAAAGATAAAATAAAACAAAAGTAGGAATATATATAATATATTTATTAATTATATTTTAATAGTATTATAAATAATTACAATTTTATGGCAAGACTAAGAATATAGGAAGGATTGGCAACATTAGACACACGGAACTAATTAAAACTAAGTATACATTTTTACATCACCCACCACTCCACAACTAAATGGCGCGGTGGGTTAATATGGAAACTCATTTATATAGTATATCCGTTATCAGGTATGTAGTGTACCGGAAGTGTGAACACGGCTACATCCGGTTGGTTGTTCTCCTTCCGTTTCCTGCACAGCGGGTATCTCTTCGATTTTATGTTAAGATGTACCTGGGAACAATAATAAATATATATTAGGACAATATGAAATTACTGAGCAGATTTCGATAAAACTTTCATCATATACTAGTTTTTGCCCGTGACTTCGTCTGTATTAGTTTCAGAATTAGAAGTATATCTGACCGGGCGAACTCTGTTCCTTAAAGACAGTAGATAACATTTTGTATTTGATCAACTTATATTTTTTTCTTTTTCTATCACATGTAAAGTATCCTAATGTCCTTTCTATGTTCTAATCTATCTCTCCACCAATCTTCATCCAAACCCGTACAGTCGTTAGAGTTATAAATAGTGTAACTAACACGACTTTCTTTTATATATAAGATGTATATGTAAATGAAGTTTCAAAATGATTACGTCTTAAATATATTGAAAAACTAAATGGACATTTAAATTTTAACTGCTCTGCAAAAGGTTTTTCGCTTCGAGAGTTATTTTTTTCGGTTGATATTACTATTAGTAACACCTATATCTTTACATATAAAAATATTACTTAGTATATTAAATATACGTCGTTCTGTGATTCGAAATTTGTTGATCAAAGAATTTGCATAAAATTTTGGATATTTTGAATATGGTGCGAGAAGAGTTTAGTGTCTAAAACAATGTTTACAAATGGTAGAGTGACTTCTAAGACTGTAGTTCACAAAACCTCAACAAATAAATATTTGGTGCTGAAAATCTATCGATTAATGACAAAAGGTCTCGCTGTTGACATTAGCATGTAGAAAAGGCTAACTCAGTTCTGTTTTAAAGCATGTTTTCGATCTCAAGAAAACCAAATCTCGACTGGTATGGAGAACATTGATTTTTTTGGAGAATCACTGGAGACGAGTTGGGTCTAAACAAACAAACAAACGATCTATTAAGAGTATATAGACCAAAAAATATCGCGCCAAATTCTCCAAAAATCTAGGTCATATTGACTATTTTCTTCAAATATCGTTGTATTGTGAATTATGAATCTCTTCCGTCGAAAACAGTCAATAAGGAATATAATTTGGACGTTATGTCGTTCGGATACCGCTATTCACCAAGAAAGGCTAGTATTGTTTAAAGAAAATTCTTGGTACACCACGATACATGATGCTATACTGCACTTGTAATTAGTCATCATTTGACATACCTTATTAAGTGACTAAATCCAAAGTTTCCTAGAATGGAAAATCCTGTGAGGTAGGCATCGTGGTCTAACTTTGAAGGGAATTAAATTGATTTGGAAAAATAAATTTAAAATTCTCGAAATACATAAAATTTCACATTATGTTTTCGACACGGTATGTAAATTTTTTCATATATTCGAATAGGTAAAATTTAATTCCATTTCAAATATTCTTAATGTATTTCTTATATTTTTTACATTGTATGCCTTAACCACAGTAATCAGTATTTGTTTTTTATAATATTCCAATACCTTGTATGTGTGTGTGCGTGTGTGTGCGTGTGTGTGTCTGTGTGTGTGTGTGTGTGCGTCTGTGTGTGTGTGTGTGTCTCACCTGCCTGTGATGTTTATACAGGTTGGACTGTTGCGAGAAGGTCGTGGGGCAGTACTCGCACATGAAAGGCCTCTCGCCCGTGTGAGTGCGGATGTGAGACTCAAGTTGGACCTTTGTCTGTGGAGTTATATACATAAAGGATTCAAAAAAAATATACTTGTCTTATACTTCAATACTTTTATATAACAAATCAAACCTTAATTAGAACAAACTAATTATCATCTTAAACCAAAACACCTTCAATAAGTTTTATTCAGTTTCCAAACACACAAGTCTCGTGTACAAATACTTTCCCTCGTAAAAGTGAACAAACCAAACGTCATCTCTTTAACGACACTTCGGGTGCGATCGGGAGTTTAAAGGTTCGGTTCAAATGAAATGTGTGTTGTCTAAATATATATAGTTAATACTACTTCGAATCATTTATAAATGCAAGCTTAAAGCTTGTTTATATTTCAATATTAAATTAGAATTGTAATCGTCAACTAGCGCCATCTATTTATTAGACATAAGAGTAAATTAATGTTAATACTATATAATATATATGTATAGTAATTTATATGTCTCAATACTTAATAGTTGTTTATCTTATTTTCTATAAGAACTATATGTTGTACATAATATATAATCTTTTATTATTTATTGGTGACTCCTATGAGTAAACTAGCGCCCTCTGAGGGATATAATAACTTAACTTCACCTAATTCTTTTAATATTGAATATTATTAAATAATTTCTATACTTGGCACTCTTTTACATTATAACATATTTACATAAAATAAAGACAAAAAATAAATAATACATAACTATAAGGCTTTAAATGACACTTATTTCAATATTTTCTTCTATTTTATATATATGTGTGTGTATATACTCACAGGGAATCCTTTCCCACAGTGATGACACATTCTATTATTCGGTCTTCCTTTGTGTACTGTTCGTATGTGCTGTTCTAGACCGACCCTGTTCTTGGACGGCTGAAATAAAACAGGTAAAACCGAGTGATTATAATATATTACTAATAGAAGACCCGGCGAACTTCGTATCGCTCTATAATCAAGAAATATCTGTTACGTTTTTTTATTTATATTTTTGGAGTTTACCTATTAAAGACATAAATCTCCGTGTTTTGAAGTGCGACAGAATGATTGACATATAAGTTAGTTGTCAAATCTAATGTCAAAAAAAAAATTTGTATCAACAACTACTAATAAATTAAAAATTAATTAAAAAAACATTGTCCAGCGGACAAAATTGTGAATCTAAACCATTCCCAGATCCAATTGAACACACACAAAAAAAATCAAAATCGGTCCAGTCGTTTGAGAGAAGTTCAGTGACATACACACTCACAGAAGTATTATATATATAAAGATAAGATTTCCATACCCTGGTACTTACCTTATGACATATATGACACTGGTAAGTCCTGAATAAATGCTTCTCCTCAATATGGTCTCTTAATTTCGTTTTGTCAGCGAACCTATGGTTGCAATGGTCACAGATGAACCTTGAAATTGATAAATATATATATACATATAGGTTTAATATAGAGAGGAGCTTGTACGGTGGAGGTGATCGTTTAACGTTAGATAGGGTCCCTTAAACCTACACCTGGGTCACAAGTCCCAGTCACTGTTGTAGCTCCTCTCACTACAACGATGGACCCGACACACGCATATAAATACATTGAATGATGAGAGGTTTATATAACCTCTTACTTATTCATAGATTTAAGACGAATGTCTATATGAGATATAAAAATTCCAAATTTTGCAGCCCAGTTTTTGTGCTGGCGTATTATAAATTAACATACTAATTGATTTACTTCGGTTTCGAATCAAAAGTATTTTTTACGTTTTCTATATTAGAACATGCTGAAAAATCAGCTTATTTCTCTCCACATTTAAAAGGCCCCAACCAAAAACTGTAACATACACTTCATTGAACATTTTCACACAAGCCTTGCTATATCATCTCAACAGAATCATGATTAATTGACTTATACATGAAATTGGGTTAAAAAATACAATTATTATGGAAGGGGAAGAAACGAAATTGCTTTCTGGGTACACCACAATACAATATAGTCTATGTGAATATGTCTGTGCGTGGATGCTTTTGTTTGTGTGTGTCTGTGTGTGTTTGTGTGTGTCTGTGTGTGTGTGTGTGTGTGTGTGTGTGTGTGTGTGTGTGTGTGTATACTAACTTGAGCTGATCGCTGGTGACGTGTTTCAAGCTGTTCCTGAGGTGTCTCTGTAGCGAACAGACGGACGAGAACACGATGTCGCATTTAGCACAGAACGCTTTACTGCGGTTATCCTTAGACTGAAAATATATAAGAAAATATTATTATAATAGCAAAAACAAAAAGCTATGAACAATTAATACATACATTAGTTTTATATATAAATAAAAACATAGAATAAATACTAATCATTCCTCAATACCGCGCAAAGCTCGGTAACCAGATATTTCCGATTGTGAGCCAAATAATTTTCAGAAAAACAATTCTTTTATACACTTATTATAATTTTTTTTAAGAACATGTCATAAAAAATAAACTAATTTTTTTTTTTCAATATTTTGAACGAGAATTCTAGTTACTTCCAATTAAATCGTATATAGATACTCAATCTTCTTCTTCTACCTGGCAATTTCCCAGCTATAGCCAGGGTCTGCCTTACATGTTGTGAAAAGTTTTTGGCTATTTGTTTTTACGACCGGCCGCCTGCCTGACATTAACCCTCTTTTGGGAATCAACATTAATCAGTGATGTCTAAATACTCTTAGAAAGTACATATGATTCGGAAAAATCACATTGGTACTTGCCCGGGCCAGGATCGAACCCGCGCCCTCGGCGACGAGAGGCGGGCCCTTTAGCCACTGAGACACCACTGACTTTCTCAATATTTTTTACTAATTAATATACATATAATCACCTCATTATGTTTCTTCAGATGCCGCTTCAAGCTCGTCTTCCACCTGAATATTTTGTTGCACACGTTACAAGGGAACTTGTTCTGATACTCGTGGAAGGTCCTGGAATGTATAAAGCTATATGTAAGACTTTAGTGTACATTCAAATCAATATATTTATTTATATGATAATAATAAAAAACGTATATCACGAAAATATTATATATCATTAATGCACCTTTCTTAATCTGTATAACAAAACCCCGTTTTAAAAACAATTAGCACATATATTAATGTATTCGTTACGGAAGACTTCAAAGATGAAATAATTTCTCCCGTTTTTTACACATTTATCACTATATCTTTGCTCCTATTGATCGTAGCGTGATGTTATATAGCCCACAGCCTTCCTCGATAACTGGACTATCCAAAACAAAAAGAATTATTCATTTCGAACCAGTAGTTTCGGAGATTAGCGCTTTCAAACAAACAAACAAACTCTTCAGCTTTATAATATTAGTATAGATTCTCTCTTTATCTAATTATTTTGCATTAACGCTACACATTTATAATTTAATTCTAGCTACTATGAGGTTTAGTTATTAATATACCAGTTACCACAATAATCAAAAAATTATAAATTAAAAAAATTGGTTTCTTAATGCTTTTATTGAAATACAGAAATTTCTTATAGCCTAATCGTCTAATGACCTTGAAGATAACCTTCAATACCTATCTAATACCTAAAATCAATTTACTCACAGTCTGTGGTTCATTAACCCCGCTCGATGACTAAAAGTTTTATCACAATCGGCGCATTCAATCCTCGGTTTGTTTGAGTGATGCTTCTCTTTATGGTATCTGTGCGTCGCCGCTGAACTAAAAACAAGTTGATTATGTTCATTACTGTGTTATAAAATGAACATCGCCGGGGCGACATCGTTGTATGTATAATATATAGCTCTTGAGGCCGCTGACTCCGCGGAACGAACACCAAGCGTGTGAACCAGAAGATTCCTGATACACACAAGCTATGGAATGGTATTGCTATCATAACATCGGGTCAATCATGTAGTCTTAGGTGTAGGTTATAAGTTTTAACATGTAATTCTTATTATAATATACATATACAGGGTGACTGGTGAATTACTATCAATATTTAAGGAGCATACTCGGTACATGATTCTCATTCGAATTATGTAAAAAAAATAGGTACTTAATTTTTGACCAAATTTCCGTATAAATAAATAAAGTGTTGACACGTTCCAAGTGTTCAAGTGTGGACGCGTGCGGCGGCGTGCTGATACAACACTACGTCACGACACGCGTATGTGTGAGTGTCAGTGTATACCTAATCTGTAGGGTGTTCATACGATGCGTAGTTAATTACATAACTTTAGGTTAACTTTACTCAGAAGTTTATTAATATTTATGTTATATTAATTTTTATTTTGTCATATATGATCGTCAACTACCACGTCCTTAAATATTGATAGTAATTCACCAGTCACCCTGTATATGTTTCATAGTTTTCCTTGAACCTCTGTTTGCTACCCTTTTAATTAATGAAGAGTCTCTGTATTACTTCATTTAAACAAAAATAATAATAATTTGGCTTTTGTGAACTTAGAAATGTAAAAAGTTGAAAGCCAATAAGTTGTGTGTGTGTGTGTGTGTATGTGAGTGTGTGTGTGTGTGTGTGTGTGTGTGTGTGTGTGTGTGTGTGTGTGTGTGTGCATATACTCACTTAGAAACAACAGCACAGACATCACAAGTATACACCTTTATATATATACTGTGTTCCTTCAAATGCTTGTGTACATCTTTTATAGATGCGCACCTTTTGTTGCAGACTGTACACTCATACCTGAAATATATAACGCGATAGATCAGTATCACAAAAACATTGCGTTCATTATTTTTATGTTTAATTTTTCATATTTAAAGTAAAATATTACAAAATGAAGGCATTATTATTATAATTATAGCCAGGGTCTGCCTTACATGTTGTAAATAGTTTTGGCTAATTGTTTTTACGACCGGCATCAACCTGACATCAACCCTATTTGGGAATGCATTAATCAGTGATGTCTAAATACTCTTATAAAGTACATATGACTCGGAACACTACATTGTTACTTGCCAAGATTGAACCCGCGCTCTCGAGCATGAGAGGCGGGCCTTTTGACCAGTAAGCCACCACTGACTTAAAATTAAAAGTACTATATAAGCATAAAAGATATGTAATTATATATTTTTGTATTACAAGTATAGAGTTACTCACGTCCTCGTGTGACGCCTGTAGTGTGACGCCAACTCTTCAGCTGATGATAAGTTAATGTTGCAAATGGAACAGGTATATTTACCTGTGACCTGTAATATAAATATATATAGAGAAAGGTAAGTAAAAACGTTTTTTCCCTAAAGAATCGGAACTTTTTCTATGGGGTAGGCATTTTATACGAAAAAATACAAGTTTTTCGTCTGCAAAAGAAAATTTGTTGATTAATTAGAAAATTCAAAATATAAAGCGTATAGCCAAATAAATTTTTGGTGTAACTGAAAAAATGTTTAGACATACCATATTATATGATATTTGTACTCATTAGAGAACGTGAAAAAACAAGTATAATTAATGGTACTTGTATACAGATAACTTAGAATTTAGTAAAGTTATACTTAAATATGTATAAATTTATAAAATCGATAGAAATTATACATTTTCTTACTAATATAACACTCACTGTATGCCTCTTTTCGTTGTGAATCTTCAGAGCCCTCTGGTGGTTGAAAACTATAATACAAGACTCGCATTTATACGGAGAGTTCACGAAACTCTCCGCGTCACGGAGAGTCTGTCTCTCCGCGAGCATCTCCTCGTAGGAGAGATGGAGAGTTCTGTAGTATTGATTTTTAATAAACTTAGTGTCCTGCAAATATTTTTTTCTGGATTTAGAAATCGAGGGTAATATTTATGATTTTGGTATTGAAACGAAACGAATTGATAAAAATTTTAAGCTAAATCTATATAAAATCTTTTTTTATAAAAAATACATTATTTTCGGTACAAAAAAAATTATTTTATACATTTACTTATATTAAATAACTTACTTTAACAGTATCCTTCACATCTCTGGTATTTTCTTCTATTTTGTTTTCATCAATATTTGTTTTCAAATCATTTTTGTTTTTCTCCAAGATGTCTAGAAAATTTTATATTAATTAATAACTAGCTTTTCCCCCGCAGCTTCACCCGCGTGGAGTTCGGTTATATCGCGTTTCCAAAAGAACCTTTCAAAAGTCTGAGATAAAAACTATCCTATGTTCTTTCTCAAGGACAACTCTGTCTGTACCAATTTCCATTAAAATCAGTTCAGTGGTTTAGGCGTGAAAGCGCAACAGACAGACAGAGTTACTTTAACATTTATAATATTAGTAGGGATTATATATTTAATCAGATATAACTTTATGGACATTTGATTCAAATAAAACTATTTAAAACAAGACAAAATTAACTTCTCTTACCGTTTCTCTTAAAAGAACTCTTGCTTTCATAATTCTCAATTTTGACCTCAACAATTTCGTTTCTTCCGTTCGCAAAGTAATCTTCTTTTTCATCCGGTTTCTTTATTTTATTATTTAACTGTAATAATAATGATGATAAGCAATAATTTTATATATTCTTGTAAATTATACTTCTTTTGGCGCGATTTAGAAAAATTATGAGTGATTTTTTGACTTTTGGATGACAGCGACATCGTGAAGTTAGTTACAAGTGGAAAGTTAATATATAGCTATGTTCAAGTTGTATATTATAGTATTTATATATTAAGAACAGTTATTTCGTAATAGTACAATTAAACAGAGTGCATATTGTATGGAAAAATATTAAATTTATGTCAAAATTTACTTAAAAATAAGAAAAAATCAATTCTAATACAATATATAACCTTTAATGCGTATTAACTCCACGAATAACTATTTTTATTTCATATATATTTTTAATCAGTGAAAAGCTAGTTTGTCAAATATTTACTGAATATACCTTCCTTCTCTCTGTCTTGGGCGTCAATTTCAACTCAACAACGTCTTCTATTTTCATTCTGTCAGTAAATATATCTGTAATATAACATTTTATTATTTAACTATGTTTTATAGCTTTCCGCCCGCAGCTTGGCCCGCGTAGAGTTCAGTTATATCGCGTTTCCAAGAGAAACTTTCAAAAGTCTGGGATAAAAACTATCCTATGTTCTTTCTCGAGGTCAATTCTATGTCTGTACCAAATTTCATTAAAATCAGTTCAGTGGTTTAGTCGTGAAATCGTAACAGACAGACAGACAGAGTAACTTTCGCATTTATAATATTAGTAGGGATAGTCTGTGGTTTAAGTAGGTATGTGTGTTTTAAAACAGGAATTTATTTTTTTATGCGTGTGTGTGTGTGTGTGTATACATATGTATAGTAAATGCTTTTTGTTTATCTGTTTTCGTGTATATGAATGTATGGATGTTTTCTTACATACAACTTTTTTATTTGTATGTATGTGTGTCTGTGTGTGTTTATATATCTCATAACTTCAAAATACCATCGCACGGTTCATTCTTAACGTCGTGTTGGGTACACATCGGATCATTTTCGTTCAGAAACAAACTGCCGTTGTTTGAAATCTGTAAAAAGATTTACACTACCTGTATGACGTCACACTTCTATATACAATAAGTTTGGCATAGTACCTACTTAACTCTATCAAGATATAAGCATATATATACTAGTTTTGCCCGCGACTTCGTCCGCGTTAATTTCGAAATAAGTAATATACTAGTAAACCCGGCGAACTCCGTTTCGTCACCAGAAGTCTTTAATGTAACACGAGTTAAAAGCTACCCCACAAATGGGCAATACTCAACAACTACAAAACAAAAGAAATGTTGTAAAAATTAAAAATTACGTTAACATTAATAGTTTGGCAGTATTAAATAAATTAACTACAGAAAGACACTGTTGTCTATAGACATTGTCTATCATAACTCTTTTTTTTTAACGAAAGGAATGCTTATTGGCTGTCAATCGTGCCTACATAGACCGGTAAAAGGTACATAGCGTATGTCGTTTTGGCTAGGAATTGAGTTCTCGAGTAAGTAAATATGGTCTTTCGCTTATATGAGGAAAAGTCGAACATTTTCCGGGATGTAAAGTATCCTATGTGTTATTCCTGGACGTCAGCTTCCTGTATACAAAATTTTATCAAAATCGGTTCAGCCGTTTGAGCGTGAAGAAGTAACAAACATACACACACACTCACAAACTTTCGCAATTATAATATTAGTAGGATGTATAGCTGACAGGGCGAACATTATTCCGCCCTTGAGCCGGTAAATAACCAGATATTGGAGTTTATTAAGTTATTTTATTCTTTTTTGATTCAACAGAATTAAATATCCTATGTCCTTTCTATGTTCTAATCTATCTCTCCACCAATCTTCATCCAAACCCGTATATGTTCTTGAGTTATAAATAGTGTAACTAACACGACTTTCTTTATATATATATACATGTATATCTTACCTTCCCTTGCCCTCTCTGTACATCACAAATCACCGTGTGAACCTCTTCAAGTTCATGTTCTGAGTCGATATTAAAACTCTTATTCCGAGGACTTGATTCACCTGACATATAGAAAAAATCATTAATTATTGATTGAGGGAAGTGAATCATTGACTGAATGAATGGTTGACTCACTGAAAATTTGTACAATATTAATTAAATTTCTTCCTGTTTTTAATTATATTGTGAGGATAAAATTATTGAGAATCAACTTGGAATATACTTTTGATACAAAGATACAATGAGCTCAACATAAGTTACAGATACAATAAATACAATAAGAATTTGAAACCTTGATATTTCTTACAATTTCCAATAAGAATTTTCAAAAGCATTTTCTATAGATGAAAATTTGCCAAGCCAGTCAAAACTTAGTCATACAAATATACAGTCAATGAAAACAAGCACTTAATAATATATACATATATATTGATGGCTCCTATGTATAAGGGTGAATGTACAAAATGTAAATTTTTCAGTAGCAAAAAAAAAAAATGGCTAAATTGCTACATCAGGCCTTATACATAAGATCCATCGATATATGTTATTATGTTCTATGTATTAATATGCATTTTAAAAAGAGCACTTATTACATATAGAGAGAGAGATGAATCCTCTCATCATTCCATGTATTCATATGCGTGTGTCGAGTCCATCATTGTAGTGAGAGGAGCTTCAACAGTGACTGTGACTAGTGACCCAGGTGTAATAAATTAATTACCTTCATTAATTTCAAACTTCACATCTTCAGGTGGTATATCAATACATAATTGTTTCGCTAATTTCAACCGTGGAGATCTAGACACATCGCTTTGCAGACATTCATTGAAATTCTGTGTAAAAATAATCAATAAATATACAAGAGAAGTAGTATTAGCACTATACATATTTTAAAAACATTTATATTAATTTATGTTGTATTAAACTGATGAAACTTGGAAATTAGTTAGTTTAAAATCAATAAGAAATCATTATTTAATATTTAACACGCTACATCGTATAAAATAGGTTAGTTGGTTAAAACCTCACCTCTTTAGTGTATGTTTGTAGTATTCTATACGAGTCTTTCACTTGATCTCTGAATGCCACCACTTTTTGTAACAAAGATAAACATTCCCAGCAGAGCCATGGTGATGGTAGGTCTACATTCAGCTAGAAAATATAATAAATATAATTGTATAATAAATATTAAATTATGCTACATTTTGTATAGACCAAAAATCACTAAGAAGGTTTTAATGTAAACTTTTATACTAAAGAAACATCAATATTATAAAACAGCTTAAATCTCTGAAACTATAATATTAGTATCTTTAAATATTTGTATAATAAATATTTGAATTTTTAAAGTAAATCTGAGTAATAATGCTAACTTACAGGTATTTCTCTGAGTACATCTAAGTAATACTGCTTTAATCTTTCTTCCTTAACCTCTTGGATGCATCGCCCAACACACAGACATGACATACACAATAGATTATTAAGAATACCGTCCTTTATTTCCATTTTAATATACAAATTATTTCAACTTGTAGGATCATAAATAAAACATCAGATCTTTTTGGAAGAATATACAGTGCGTTGTCCCTATTTTGTGTAAGTATATTAAAAAAATAAACAGTAGAAGTTTTTTTTTTAAATTATGTTCAGCCAATAATACGATTATCGGTAATAATATACACAATTATATGTTCATATTAATTAATAAAATATTTCCATTATTTATTTGACATTGAGGTATCGTTACGTATGTATATTTAAAAAATCTAATACTTCGCTTTATAGGACATCTTAAACTTATTTTTATGAACACATATTAAAAAAGTTATAATTTAAAAAATAAACATAAACAAAAACACTGATCTTGTTATTTGTATTAATTTTTAGTGATGTACATGTTCAGTGAATGAATGTCAACTTGAAAAATCGGTAACAAAATGTGTATTTACCGGAAAAATGTATATTTATATATAGAGGTAATTAAATAAGAATGAATAGTGACAAAATGTTCATAGATTTAAATTTTATAATTAAGAGTCTAAAACTTCTTACAAATCAAATTTTTTAAAATAAATCGTTACTATAACAATTCTTCATCCTGGCAATTTCCCAGCTTTAGCCAGGGTCTGCCATAATTATCAGGGTCTGTCTATTATTATAATATATAATTATTAATTAATACAACATGTACACTAAATATTAAGTATATATAAATTCCATAAATTTAATGAAGATAATTTCAAGCTCTAGATATTGTTCAAGTCCGTTATTATAATTAGAAGAATTTGCCCCACTCACATAATGAATGTCACTTTCTAAACATTTAACTAATATAATTACTAATTGCTTGAGTATTTTAATTTCATTTATACAAAAATAAACTACGTAAACTATCTTTTTTTAAGTAACATACTAGATAATGCCTATGATTTTGGTGACATCAAGTTTTCATGAAGCGAAGACTCTTGCCTTAAAGTTTCTTAATTGTTTTAGATCTTCAAACAAAGTTCCTAATTGTAACTTCAGTCGAAGTTGTTAAATTTTATTACATTTCTATATTAATCCCGGATTGTCTCCTCCATTCTACACGACATTGGCAATAAATACTGTGCACGTCTTTGCACGGATGAATGCGATACTTAAAATAACTAACCGAAGTAAAGACTGAATTGTAAATTGAAAGAAAATCAGATGTAGACAAATTCTTTCATATATTCACTATAAGTATGAAGATGGTAGATCTATATAAGGAATGAAGATGGGAGGCTTTTCATGAATCTGGTAGTCCAATGAGATGATGAGAATTCACAAAATTTGCCAGTACCTACCCATTTATGACAGTTATACTCCTGTGACGACTCGTACTTTATAAAAACAAAGAAGCTGTCTCAATGTAAATCTCTACCACACTTTTGCACAAACATTTAAGTGCAAAGTTGGTAAATAACAGCTCACAATAATATATACGAGTCTTCTCTTCTACCTGGCAATGTCCCAGCTATAGCCAGGGTCTGCCTTACATGTTATGAATAGTTTTTTTTTTGGCTATTTGTTTTTACGACCGGCCGCCTGCCTGACATCAACCCTCTTTTGGGAATCAACATTAATCAGTGATGTCTAAATATTCTTAGAAAGTACATATGATTCGGAAAAATCACATTGGTACTTGCCCGGGCCAGGATCGAACCCGCGCTCTCGGCGACGAGAGGCCGAGAGGCGGGCCCTTTAACCACTGAGCCACCACTGACAGTAATATATACGAGTATATAAATGTAATATTTTCGGATTTACTACACATTTATCATTATTTTAACTACATACTCCCGGCATTTCGTTTACTTTTCAGCAACCATGATCACGGGTAGACCTGATGATATATAAAACTACCCTTGTTAGAATTGACTTTTTATAAAAAATACCTAGTATTAAAGAATTCTTAGCTGTTAGGCGTAAAATATATATTTTTTTTCTCAATGCTATCAACTTTAAATGTATTAGAGCAAATTGAAAAATTTAATTCACACATTTCTAAACTATTATTATATATTTTAAATAAAATTTCAGTATATTGGCCTTATATCCAATACGCATGACTGTGTATGATGAAAGAAATGTAGAAATTTTTAAAAAATTCTAAATTATCAAAAGCACTGGAGTTTTCCACTGATTTTCGAAAAGCATCAGAAAAAGTTTGGCCAGATTAATAAATTGTAATTTATAAGTAATGCTTGAAAAATACTTGACGTTATCCCTACTTATTTACCGGTTTTTAAGGATAGATTGTCGGTTTTTAAGGATCGATTGCTGGTTTTTTGGTATAATAGGTATTTAAAATAATTGAGACTATAAACCAGGTATTTATTACAATATAATACAATAAAAAATACAAGATAACCTACTAGTGAATTATACATTTATACAGTGGTGGCACCATAATTAACATAGAAGAGATTATGAGCTAAAAAAATAGAAATCAAGTTAAAATATGCTCATTAACTTTTAGTAATATTTCTTTAAAGAAAATCTTAACAATATAACGTAAATATTATATATAAACTTCCCATTATCCTTACCATACGTTCGTTTCCATGTAAATTCTCATGCATTTTTTTTACGAAACTATCTATTTGGTGAGGAAACTCAAAACTGATAGCATTCAGTCAAATACTGGTAGTAAGGATAATGACGTAAAAAAATAACATACATAATTGTCAAACTTAATAAATATGCCTTTTATTTTTCATATTTTTTTTGTACATAATTATATTTTCAGTATCAATATATTACATCCATCTGTCTGTTCCTTCACCTCGTAGTCAAAATCAACTTTCACCCTCGGTTTTTCTATACTTAATTGGATTGATTTCTTGATATCCTTCGGTGAAATACTCGGTTTGTATTGACCGATCTTAGTTTTCATGATTTTCCTATCATTCCTGGTCCGTTTTTTAAGTTCAGCCTCCGGAAAGTTCTTTACAACGAAATCCTTGTATGTATCGTTGAAAGTAGCTGGATTTTCATCTTTGGATGTAGTTTTACCCGATTCTGTGATGTCTGAATTGAGTTCGGCCAATGAGAATGAATTCAGAATCTTCGGTGATTGTACATCACATATTTTTGGTCGTTTTAAATCACCATTATCCTGATCCAATCTTCTTTTCATCCCATTATCCTCTAAAGCTTCGGATATTTGGGAATCAGTCATAATTTGGTTGCTATTAACATATGAGGATTTCTGTTCATGATTGTGCATCACCGATGATAAATCTAGAGCCTTCAATAGCAATAATTTTAAAGTTGCTTCATTTGCTTTTTGTGCATCAACGATGATACCTTCCATGAGAGTTTTGAATTGCACAAATAGTTCGCTTTCTTCTTTCTTTACTTCTTGCACATTTTCTGCTTCTACGACTGAATTCTTCATGTATTTCTTATATTCATCTTGATTGTATTCTTCGTACTGATGTTTGTGATGTTTTTTATAATAACTAACTTCGTATCCATCAGATATATTGTTAACAACTATTGTAGACGGGCAGATGTACAATGTATTGGGCCGTTTTGGTTTCTCATTAACACTGTTACAGCGATACCTCTTCGGTTCACTGTTTTCTACTTCTGTGTAATTCACACTAGTTTTTTCTTCTATATCTGTTAACCATTTCGTGAATTCTGAAAGTTAATAAATTAATACATTTAATATTTAACTTAAAAGCTTGAAATTAACAATAAAAGGTTCAAAAGATCACTGACATGTAAAAAAATATCTTTTTTTGTCTAGAACATACTTATATCAGATAATTTGATGGTATTTACATATAATTTTATCAAAATCATTACAGTGGTATGGATATATGTATAGCAATTTGACAAAGACTTTTGTACATTCATAATATTATTGAGTAAAATAACTCAATCCTTTAACAAAACTATGATCTTTTCAAAGAAACTTACATATCTTTTTACTTAGTATTATTTATTATTCATAAATTTTCTTAAACTCTTACAAAATTGCCATAACACAATCAACAGTCACTTCAGAACTCAAAGAAATTGTAACAGGTTTAAAAATATTTTCCATCCAATATAATTTAGCATTTTAAAACATAAAATTATTTAAAATTTTCATATAAAATCAACTAAGTCATGATAATTACCATCATTTGTCGAGAAGACCATACTTTCTTTCTCACTGTGCATTCCGAGCACATGGTCATCGAAACCCTTCAAATCATTGAACCATTCATCGCAGGCGGCACACATATATGCCTGTGACTTGTCATCTGCAGCCTGATTGGTTTCACAGTCATGTGCTTGTATTGACTTCACTCTACGATTACATTTCTTGCAAAGCTCCAAACGTATCGGTTTTATAATATCCGGTGAGTCTGGTAAACTGAAAATATTAAATTTGATAAATGAAAAACACATATATGTATATATGAGAAGAGTAAGGAGTATATCTCAATTAGCAAAGTAACTGAAGCATAATATTCTGTAGGTCACAAATTCAATTCTGACTTGAGTCGGTGAATTTTTGTAATGCTATACCGATTAAATTTACTCAGAAACACCAGAATACCTCTAAATTCTAACAAATATGTTAATATTACTGTTGTATCAAATATAATTATTCTATTTATTATATATATATTTTTCCGAGTATCAAGAGTTTATTACAAGTAGTTAATCTACCCACATTTAACATATTTCATAATATTTAACAAAATTGGTCAATTATCTGTCTGTCTATAATTTTCTTATTTATCAATTTTTTTTATGCTCTCATAATCTTTGCCTGTCTAATATATGTACAAAGTATGTTTCAAATTATTATCTTATTAGATTTATAGATACATATTATTAAAGGAAAATATATATGTTATGTTAAATCCTAGTGCTGCTATTATCTGTTCTGGGAATGATATTAAATAAGTAAAGAAAAGAGCTTTTAAGTTAAGGTTTTGATTCAAATATTAAAAGTAACTTTTTTAAGGGGAAAATCATCTAATGAGCCCTCTTGTCCTGGGTGGGGCCAGAGGGAGTATCAAACTTCTACTGACTAAAATCCCCCGTACCTACTCCTGCTCCGAGTCTGGCGGTACATCATTTTGTTTATGCCTGCGACCTGGCCCGACTAACTTGGAGTCATAGTTTATTTAAACTAAAATTCCTAATAACTTTTATAACATAATAAATATCTTTAATTCATTATAATTATGTTAGTTATACTAGTTTTGTTATTTTATGATTTTCACAAGTACACATTAAAATGAAACTAAATGTTTTCATTTTAACTTATCAAGGTTTTGTATTGAGACTTGGTGAAATAATTTATTATCAATAGTTTTATAGGATTTTGTTCTCACATACTAAATTCAATCCGAAATATTTCAAATATTAACAAAATTAACATATTTCTGTCAATGACTAGATATTATTATTTAATCCATTCTCTTGTTGTGCATCTATAAATATATATGTAATGATGTAGGTTAGTGAATTAAAATCTGGAATAAGCCTTCAAGGTGTGAAGAACTAAATGTTTTAATCGGAACCTATGGATGGTTAAATTTAACAAAAATCTAACTTAATACCAGAGTTGAAGATATGTTGTAAAAATTTAGGTTACAGAAATCGATTTCGTATATTTTTTATGCTATATCTTATAATAACTATCAACTTAACACAGATTGGAAAAGATCGCACGAGAACTTTGTTTGACTTACACTTTAAGTCCCTGTTTGTTGACACAATGAAACTTTACTATGTGTTTGTGTGCTGGGAAATACGTGAGAAACAATCTGAAACACCTGGGACACTCAAACTGGACTTTAGATTTCTCAACCTGCTCCTGTTTGTCGATCTTTTTAGATTTGTCATTTTCCTTGATTACCCTCTCACTTCTCTTCGCAGCGACTTTTGGCGGGCTCGCCGTCTTCTTGATCGGTTTGGGCTTCGCTGTTTTACTTATTCTCACGGGTTTAGCGTCTTGTTTCGTTTTCACTTTTATTATATTGTGAGCCGTACGCTGGTGTGTTTTTAACGCATCCGGACTCATTAACTTACGCCCGCAGAGATCGCATTTAAAAGCCTTGCCCCTTTTTCTCAATCTCACTGTGGATTTTGTTCCCATTTTATTATGTTTCACATCTAATATAGCTTTAGTTTTCGTATTCAGCGCAAATGCGGGATGACGCGCTTTGACAGTTAACTTGTCAATTTTGTTTCTCTATGTAATAGTGAATGTGATTTTTTTTTAGATTGTGAATCTAACATAACTATTGCTTTGGAATTATACTTTATTACATAAAAAATATGATAATTATTCAATAAAAACGTACACACAGTAATAAAAACTAAAAACAGATTTAGCTAATACATTCCATCCGTTCGTATATGTAAATTGTCTATAGTCTATAAAATAAATGATGTCGAAAGATAACAAATTAGTGATAATCACAACATATTAATGAAATAAATTCATAATAATTCTTAAGTAATTATATATATTTTTTAAAGATATGTTATTTTTTAACATGGTTATAAATAAACTAGAAGAAAAACACATACCGAACATACAATAAACCGGTAAAATATATTATCTTTTTATTTATTTATAACAAATTGAAAATTTAGATGATGTCCACAGACAAGACTCGTCATCAATATATTGAAATCTAGTAATAAATGGAGTAAAACTTGTTATTCACTGGAATAAACAGATATGTCTCAAGCTGGCGACATTCAATTATTGACCATAGATATCTAATAAAGAATATAAAAAACTAGGGAATATAAAGGTCTTAATGGAAATAAATTATATTCAACAATAGTTTATTAACGTTTCTGTAATATAAAAAATTCACTCTATTTTGTAATACATATAATAAATAGTTGTATCTGTGTCCCTGTTTAAAGTATATTTTTTTAAATCCAAAATTATTTGCTGACCTTTATTCGAGTCGTCTCACAGTGTACGAATTCTTTGCAAAATATCAAAAATATACAATATCGATGCTAACTTGTGCGAAGATTTATGCATGAAAATAAAAAAAAATATAGTTCGTAGTCCCTCCATGCGAATGAAGTGAAACTTTGTAATATTACATTGAAAACAGGAAGGGGTATAAAACGATTTTTAAGAAATTTCTAATGTTTCTTTAAAACAAACTTTATTAACATTACTTACGAGTCACAATTGATTGTTCGCATACTTTGCAGTTCCACTATTCTATTCACGCTTTCATAATATTCATTAATCATTTATTTATACATAAAAATATCATTCAAAAATCAGCATATATCTTCTTCTACCTGGCAATTTCCCGGCTATAGCCAGGGTCTGCCTTACATGTTGTGAATAGTTTCGGCTAATTGTTTTTACGACCGGCCGCATGCCTGACATAAACCATCTTTGAGAAAGAAATCAGCATATATGTACATTCAAATGTACAAACTACAGCAGCGTAATATATACTGAAATAATTATGTTGCGTCATTATTAAATATATTTTTCCCTAAACTCAACCACATATATTTTTATATATTGTTAATTATTTAATGAAGTCATATAAAATATAAATAAAACTAATATTATATGATTACTACGCGTTATATTATTATTGTTGCAAAGTAACCAAAACGAAAAATGTAGTTTTAAAATAATAACGAGTATGTAATAGTACCAAAATGTTATTTTTATTTAAATAAATACTCGCAAAAGTCTTAGATCTCATTGTGTAAAAAATGTATGTACTTATGTACACGCGTTAGAAGTTATAATTCTTTGGCGTATAAAAAAATGATAAGATGTTGTAGTGATTAACTATAAATATACAAATTAATCAAAAATATTTTATTTAAATCGTTAACGTAAAAATATACAACCACTAATCATTAAGGCAATGAATCAAATATATTAATAATATTTCAAATACACTATTTTATACTCGTAGATTCTTCTCCTAGTGACTAAATATATAAATTTATTATTAGAAAATATTTAGATTTCATAAAAACACTTTCGCGCCAAAAGTTATAATTCAACTTAACAAAAATTGATCGCTCGAAAATACTAAGAATTGTTCAGGATAATAGAAGTAAATATGAAAGCGTTTACAGTCGTGACTTTTTCCCTTTTTTCTTACAACTTATCCTTACTTCCCTACTAATATTATAAATGCGAAAGTAACTCTGTCTGTTACGCTTTCACGCCTAAACCACTGAAATGATTTTAATGAAAATTGGTACAGACATAGAGTTGACCTTGAGAAAGAACATGGATAGTTTTTATCCCAGACTTTTGAAAAGTTCTCTTGGAAACGCGATATAACCGAATTCCACGGGGGCGAAGCTGCGGGCGGAAAGCTAGTTCATTATAAATAACACCAATAACCAATATAAATACTTTATTCCTCTACTACAGGTACTCCCCATAGCCTGATCTCGTCTTCACAAGCTGTCAAGAGTTTATTAGCAGTTGGATGATGACTCAAAGATACTACCGGCTTGTTTTTAATATGTATAAGCTTTTGCGTACAATTACTAGATATCAAATCCCAATAGAATATTTCCCCGGTCGCGGAACCGGAAATGATGTGGCTATCGCGCTCGTTTACCGCGTTTTCAAGCATGTAGTCCTTGCTTTCATGTCCAGAGAATGTATTGAGTAGTTCGCCACTATCTTTGTCGAATAATTTTATTGTGCTGTCAGCGCAACTAAGTAAGTAGCACTGGCCGTCATGAGTCATGCTAGAATAGGTAATAATATGGCCGATGTAGTCTGAAAACATCTTGCCAACTCGCAAATCGTATAATCTAGTATGACAATCTACGGAGGATGTCAAAACTTCATGGTCAGTAACCTGCACGGAGGTTATAGTGTCTTTGGCGTCTTTCAAAATCTGTACAGGCTCCTGACGTCGGCTTACTACGTCCCAAAAACAAACCGTATTGTCTATGGATCCAGATACTGCCATGGTCGATTCTTCGTTAAATTTTACACAGGTTACGGAGCTGGCGTGGCCTCTGTAACGTCTTACTGGCTGCCCTGTGGTCACGTCCCATAATATAACAGATTTATCCGCACTGCATGAGATTATGTGACTGCTGTCGCAAGAACCAGCAGCGTCCAGCACTTCGTTAGCATGTCCACCGTACGTTTTTAATAACAACTGATTTTGAGGATTCCAAAGCTTGATTTTCTTGTCAGCGCCGCATGATAAGCAATATGTACCGTCTACATTGAAACGCACAGCCCTAATCGCCTGTTGTTTGCAATTTATAGTCGCTAGCGGTGATAATTCACTGTTTTCGGTCATATTTTAGGCTATGTTATTATTTACATTTGAAAAGATCAGTTTGACGTAACTTTATCACTCATCACAGTTTTTTTTTGTAAATGTTTTTACGGCTCTGGATACGAGTCGTTTTGAGCAACACAGAGTAATAGACAATTCTTACCATAAGTAAAGTTGTAGGAAACTATAAAATAATATATTTTTACTATATTAACATACTAAATCCACTATAAAACTCTATATTTATTAATATAATATATGTAGTAATTATTTTTATATTGGCAGCACTGTTTCAAATGTAATGTCATTTGTCACATCATGTTTATGAGTTGTTAATAATTTCAAGTAAGGTTTATTGTTTGTAGTAACTGGCTATAATTTAACAATTCTCAATAATATCTATACAAAAGCGTATTAAAAGTTTTTATAGTGCCTTAATAAAGTTCATATGAGATATGGAATGATGTTATAAACACAATCACTTTGGAATAAGAACTCGAAACTTTAGGCTCCACAGGTATGTTTTCATATTGGATTCATATTTAAAAACTAATTTCTATCGAATATAATATACATATATTTCCCAATATTATTTATTACGTGCTTATTTTACTATATTATCGAAATTTTTGATTATTTTCACCCAAAATAGACACGTTATTGTGGCATACAATACTGACAATTGTTTTGACTGAGACATTTTTACATGTAAATTAGATGTCATTGTATAAAAATATATCTGATAATAATTTTAAGCGAAACCAAATTATTTAGAGACAGAATTACAGCTAGACAAAGCAAAGTCATTTTTCTATCTAAATTCTTTAATGTGAAGGCCAATTTGTTTATTATCCATTTATTCGTTTATACAAAATTCACGACATTGAGAAAACAATAATTATAGATAATAAAAATTAATGTTCAGTTAAAAGTTTTAATATTAATAAAAAATATTACTGTATTTGTTTCAATGATACTTTTATTGAAAACTAATTTTGTATAGCTTAAAGTACTTATCATATTGGATATATATGTTAGGGGTAATATAGTATAACTTAGCTTAGACACTGCTATTCCTCCGGTCTTCACCAGGTTTATCTGATGTCCCGATACAGTTACCGGGGTGAAATTTTCGTAGATGATGTATTAATTACTTAGTAAAGATATAGGGATAGTTGATAAGGATTATAAGTAATTTAATCTAAACACAAGAGGAGTCGTGTTAAAAAGTAGTATATCTGATATGTGGCTAAGCTCACCAACATCTGAGTGTTTCTTCATGGTGATAAGAAAATTTAAGAGAATTAGATGTTTAACTAAATACACTAATAGGGCATTGGTGTTGAAAATTTGTATTGAATATAAAATTTGAGAGTTTTTTGTGAGTGGTTCATAAAAAAGTGTTATAAGTTTGACTTCTATGTATGTGTGTCTGTGAAATCATAGCTCTTATATGGATGGACCGATTTCGATGCGGTTATTTTCATTAAATAGTCAGATGTTGGCAATGTTTTAGATATATTTTGTATCTGGTCTTTAGATGTAAATTTAGTTGATTCATAAAGATGGTCCATAAAGATGTAAATTTAGTTGATTAAATTCTTTTCGAGGAAATGCCAATAACAAATAACTAAGAATGCATATGGAGGGTTTATTTTTAATTTAATGAAACTTTATTTATATACATGAAAACATTCTGAAAAATTCTTATATTTTATATATAAAAGAAAGTCGTGTTAGTTACACTATTTATAACTCAAGAACGACTGTACGGATTTGGATGGAAAGTGGTGGAGATATAGATTAGAATATAGCCAAGATGTCCTTTCCTTTGTTTTATATTGGATATTTAATTCTGTTCAATCGAAACAGTAAAAACCCTAATAAACTCTAATACCTGATTATTTAAGTCCTCTAGGGCGGAATAGAGTTCGCTCGGTCAGCTATAAGTATATTACTAACTCCGAAATTAACGCGGACGAAGTCTCGGACAAATACAAGTATATATATTCTGTTAGAGATTTTAATATACGTAATATTAAACGATAAATAAAAATACTATTAATTTAACAATAATTTAATGATCATTTTCAGTATCAGACATGGCTACGGTACAGAACTTGGAAACAAAACGCATAGCACTCCGTTCAGACAGTATGAACAACGAAATATCTTCAACTTCTAGCGAGGAAGGATCTACGGATCCCATCGTGAAGTTTAATAATTTCTACAAGAGTTATAAAGAGTCAGCATCTGATAATGAGATCATTGTATCAAAACCTGTCCAGAGAAATTGTTACAAGTCACTAGGGAATATAGCTGATTACAACGAAATAAACCACAATACTATACAGAATAGTATAAGCAATATAGATGTCAGCCTGCATAGCAGTGAAATAAAGAAATTCGAGTCTTTAAGAATACCTATAGTTGGGTACGAAGTCATGGAGGAAAGAGCTCGGTTCACGATATACAAGTTAAAGGTAGAAGATGATAAAAGAGACCAATCTTGGCTGGTATTTAGGAGATACACAGATTTTGTGAGGCTCTACAATAGATTGAAGAACGAACAGCCAAATATTATGCTGCCATTGCCTGGCAAACGCTGGTTTAGAGATAATTTTGAGACGGCTTTCCTAGAAGAGAGAGTGAGAGGTTTGCAGGTATTCGTGAATGCGATCCTAAGCAAGCTGCCCAATCATAAGATTGTCAGAGAATTCTTCTGTCTCGATGAACCGCCCCAAGTTTTCAGTTATCAGCCAGAGGTCCAAGCTGTGTACGGAGCTTTGGAAGATTCAATAACAACATTAAAAGTACAACTCAAGCAAAAAGATGCCACAATAATGCATCTGACCAAACGAGTGGCGTTACTAGAAAGTCAGATCAAAAACTGCCCTACATGTACAAATAAAAACAATTAACGTGATTATAAAGACAATAATATTAAATTTTTAACTATATTTTAAGTTATAAGTTTTAAATTTTTGATATTAATACTATATACCCTCAATACTATAAAAAAATCTAAATAGGTATCTTCGTTAAGGAAAAATTTATAATTTTGTCGGATATTAAATTTAATAAAAAATTAAATAATATACTAATTTCTCTTTAAAAATGGTTTAAGTAATGAAAAAGTAAGATTAATAAACAAACTACTTCTACACTATCGCCTTAAATAAACATTTCATTAGTAGTGTTGAGGGGTCATAAATTTAATTAATATATATATAATTATTCATTAGTACAAAATAGCACATTATTTTCCATTATACCACCCAGTATGGGAAATTGATTACTTATACAAATATACAATATGAAATTTAATTATACAACCTGTTGATGTGTAATTGTTAATGAAATGTATAATTATTAATACTGTTATTACATTCATATACATTTTTAATATATTTAGGATGTTCATTCAGTAACCATTTTTATTGTTCAAGCATTTCTTCAAGCATTTTATTATCTGTGGTACAAATTGTTAGTGATATATTAATTAAATGGAATAATAATTAATTATTTTAAGTTTATAATGTGGCCTTAATTTTTATTAAATTGATATTTTGTATGTATAGGTGCTATTTGTCACTTTAAGAATTTTAATGTGATGATATTTTAATAGAGAACGATTTTTTATATGTGGTTTTATTTTTTGACATAACCCTCAAATTAATTGGCGCGAAAAGTTTTTTTGAGTAATAAAAATCATGAAAACAGTTATAAAAGTAGTGTTTGATATTAAAAAGGTGGTAACGATTAAAATTAATGAATGTGCATTCCTTGTGAGTTCATTATTATAATTTATGTTTTATTATAAGTGAAGTAAAAATTCCATAAGTCACTGTGAAAGTACGATCACGAAAAATTGCGCTGTGTTATACATACCTTTTGGAATAAATAATTACACTTTTGTTTTCGGAATTTTAGTTTTAAAATAACAGTTTTTTAAGTATTAGAAGTAAGTTAAGCATAAATCAATTATTTTCATATATAGATACATTTAATCGAATTCGAAAGAAAAATAACAGTTGATTACCATAACTATCACTTCTAAAGCAAAATAATTAAAATAAATACTTTCTTTTCGTTCGGGTTCACAATCAAAATAGAACATATACAAAGAAAATAAAGAAATTACAAATATTAAATATTCAGAGATATATAAAGTGTGCTTGTCTAAATAAAATATTTTTTTGTAACTATCAAACACGGTTATGAAGTTGAAGACATTTAAAAATTCACGGATTTTTTAAATGCTTTTTCTTCATTCGGATGAAATAGTTAAAGATTTTATTTAGGTTCGAAAGTTTATTAGTGTCAATTAATTTTTTACCATTATTACGAGCTAGGCTTGATAAGCGATATTAATAGGATAGTAAATAGAAAAAACGAATATTCACTTTACTATAATCGTAAGTATCTTTTTATGAGAGACTTAAAACCGACCCAGTGGCCCTTTTTCACATAACAATCCGATTACTAGAACATTCCACAACATTCTCGTTTATATTTCTACTTGTTAACATTAACAATAGGAATGTTTTAATAAACGTATAGCTAATAATCGTCCATTCGTAACGAGATGGCGCTACGTTCAACATCGCGAACATTCTACAATATTAGTTATTAGACGATCTTCAAACCGGTGCGACAATTTTGTATTTTAATACTGTAAAGTCAAAAAAAACACATAATAAGTATAAAATTTTTATTAAACATTATATATCACAATATTATCCTTAAATAAGCTAATTCTAAAATATATAACTTCGTATTGCTGCCACAATTAGGTAAAACCTTTTACATAATGTAAAATCCCTCCCATATATAAATAATGAATACTTAATTTGAGTTCAGTAGTTTTTTTGGAATTAACAAACGATTACACCTTACCATCAGTTAAATCTTTGTGAGATTCTTATTAAAGGAATTTCTTTTGGAGTTATTCCTATAATGTAATTATCAAGTCCGCCATTTTGAATATATATATATAAAGAATATTTGCATTAAAATAAAGTTGCATGATTCAGGCGGAACAAACATTACATGCATACATTGAGAGTTTATTAAAAATTTACATTTATATAGAATTTCGGCCAAATTTAAGCTTAAAACTGTTAAATTGTGAAAAGTATACAATATATGTTCAGCAGAGCCTTCAATAATATTGCTATAGTATATATTTTTTATATTTTTGAGAAAAACACTGAACTTCATTCAAGAACTAATTCAATGTATAGGTAGTTCAAGATATGATGGTCTATTGAGAGAAGAGTGGACAAAAAGTAAGTATTCACTCATACAAAGTAAAGTATATGGAGTTTTAATAACAAATATACATAAAAATAGGAAAAAAATCACTTGATTTTGTAAATTAACATTCCTTTATCATGTATATTTGCATCTGTGCGAGAGACTATAGATAGCTCTATAGACTAGCTGAGACCGATCCAGACTAGTCTAGGCTGATACTATGTGTTATTTTCACCGTTATCCATAAATTCAACCACTCTCTTAGCCGGGAACACTTTGTGTACTCTCTTCTTGTGTGTGTACAGGGAAGCCTTCTGTTTAAATGTTTGTTGACAAATATCACAAGAAAGTGGCCGTTCACCGGAATGAATTACTTCGTGCTGAGTTAAAGCCTTCTTGTCCTGGAAATAAATTTAAATTATCACATAAGGTATGGAGAAAATACATATATGTTGGAAAAATATATAGGTATCTGCTAGTCTATTTATATAAAAATGGATTGCTGTTCGTTAGTCTCACTAAAACTCGACAACGGCTGAACGGATTTATCTTATCTTAGTCTTGAAATGTTCGTGGAGGTTCAGGGAAGGTTTAAAAGCTGAAAAAAATGATTCATTTCCGGGAAATCCCCAAAAACAGCGCTTTTCTATTTCTTTGACATTTGATTTGACAACTTTGCGATTTGACAATTAACTAATATGTCAATCATTCTGTCGCACTTCAGAACACGGAGATTTATGGCTTAAAGTAAACTCCAAAATATAAATAAGAAATTATTTATTTCTCGATTGAGGCAGTAAGAAGTCTGCCGTGTCAGCTAGTAATAAATAATTATAATAATTGATTATGTCAGGATATATAAATATACTGGACCGATTTTGATTAAACTGTCATATAATATCATCATCAGTCTATCAGAGCCCACTACTGAGCTGCCTCTTCTTACATGGAGAAGGTTTTAGCATTAATTACCACGCTAGCTCAAGATTGTATGGTGATTTCAAGCTTATATTTTGATATAAGTCCATGTTTCTTCATGATGTTTTCCTTCATTAATCAGTGTTGTCTAAATACTCTTATAAAGTACATAAGACTCAGTAACATCAAATTGGTACTTGCCAGGTTTCGAACCAACCGTCATACATGAGAGGCGAATACCTTTAGGCCACCACGAACATATTTAAATGAAACTAATATTTTTCAGATATACTAGAACGGTACGCCAGAAAATTAAAAAAATCGATGGCGATAAAAATAAAGCGATAAAATAACAAGATCGACTGACAGACACTCACATCTCGTCTGCCCGTGATCACGGTTGATGAAAAGTAACCGAAACGTCGGGAGTATGTAGTTATTTATCAAAAATAAAATCGCGTAGTAAATCCGAATAATATGAGTTTCGTTTAAATGAACAAGATATCATATAGTAAATATTAATCACATAATATAGAATCAATTAGTTATCTATATATATAAAAATGAATTGCTGTTCGTTAGTCTCACTAAAACTCGAGAACGGCTGAACGGATTTTTCTTATTTTACTCTTGAAATGTTTGTGGAGGTACAGGGAAAGTTTAAAAGCTGGAAAAAAATGATTCATTTCCGGGAAAACCCTAAAAACAGCGCTTTTCTATTTCCCATACAAACGTTTTTTTTGACATTAGATTTGACAACTAACTAATATGTCAATCATTCTGTCGCACTTCAGAACACGGAGATTTATGGCTTTAATAGGTAAACTCCAAAAATATAAATAAAAAAACGTAACAGATATTTGTTGATTATAGGGCGATACGAAGTTCGCCGGGTCTTCTAGTTATATATAATATAGTATATAGATATATAATATTTAACTAACCGTGAATCCTTTCCCACACATCTGACACACATGTTTCCTCGGTTTAGACTTCTTCTCCCCATGTACTCTCATCATGTGTTTTTCCACATTAGCTTTGGATGCTATCGGCTGGAAATATTCATTAGGTATATAATAAAAAATTTCTTATAATAACTAAAGTATACAAATGAACTAGTAACTGTAGTTTGTTGATACTATTAAAAAGGATAATGATTTTGGAATTGAGTATATTGGTAGTATTTTGCAATGATGGACTGATTGTCCTACTAATATTATAATTGTGAAAGTTTTTGAGTGTGTGTGTATGTTTGTTACTTCTTCACGCTCAAACGGTTGAACCGATTTTGATAAAATTTTGTATACAGGAAGCTGACGTCCGGGAATAACACATAAGCTACTTTACAACCCGGAAATCCGCGGGTAACACCGCAGGGCCCAGCTAGTATACAATAAAACCGTTATTAAAATACAATTTTTAAATTGAAGTTATCATTATATTACAAACTAGCTGCCCGAACTAACTTTGATTTGTCCAAAGTTAGAATAATACATATATGATAAACTTTTTGTCTGCGACTCTTGTGAACATCAGTTTTTCTCAGAGAGACGTATAAAGATCCGATTACTAGAAAACGTACAGCTAATAGTTCGTCCACTCGTCACGAGATGGAGCTGCCACTAAATATCAAATATATACCACAATATTCGCTAAGACGATCTTACATTATTTATAATTCAAGAAATGCTGGACGGATTAGGATAAAGATTGGTGGAGAGATAGATTAGAACATAGAAAGGACATAGGATACTTTACATATGATTGAAAAAGAAAAAATATGTTGATCAAATCCATAATCTCATCTACTGTCTTTAAGGAGGAACAGAGTTTGCCAGGTCAGATATACATTACTAATTCTGAAACTAACATAGACGAAGTCGCGAGTAAAAACTAGTATATTAATCTAATATATATACCTTACTACATATAGGACATTTGTGCGTTGTCTTGTTCAGATGTTGATAATTAAAATGGTCTTGCATCGCCTGTTTCGTTGGGTAACCCTTATTGCACATTGGACATGGGAATCTGTTGATAGAATTAAATTATATATACATATACTTAATTTATATAATATATGACATTACATCAAAATAGGCTTGGTTATTTTCAGTTCACATACATTTAAAAATGAAAATCTTCAACATATAATTTTTCTAAAACAATTATGTTGCTTAATACAAGTGCTTTTGACAAAATGTACTGCAATCAATTATGTGTATGTTACATTATCACACTGAATCTATAGGTTTTCATGTAACTTCCCAATAATATAGTTATAGAGTAACTTGGGCTACTTTTTAAATATTTTCAAGATGGAAAAAATTTAAATGAAACTAAAATTTTCGGATCTACTACTTTCTATTACTATAAGCTAAATACTCCCGACATTTCGGCTACTTTACAGCAACCGTGATCACAAAAATAAAAAATCGCGTAGTAAATCCGAAAACATTAGTGTCATTTAAAAATGAAATGAAAATCTTAGATCTCAAAAAATATATATTTTGTTTGTTTGTTTGTTCCGTTATCACACATAAAATTAAAACTTGTTAAACTCAAAGTTTTCTTTGACAAATCCCATGAAACCTATGAAATCTCAATATGAATCCTATGACCTCAATATGAAGCCTATGAAACCACAACATGAAGCCTATGAAACCTCAAAACATAACCATATTAGCAACCAAACGTTAAAAACACAGACAAAGTCACAGAAAACATGATTACTCACTTAAAAACTTGATCAGAAGCATGGGCTCTTGAGAATTTCAAATGTGCTTGATAGGTTGCTAGGTGTGAGAAGATTTTGTTACAATCTCTACACTCATACTTGGTAGTGCTTTGATGCCTTTGTATGTGATATTTAATTTGTATTGTCCGGACCATTTTATGGCAGATAGGGCATTCCTCTCTTGGCAAGGGACCTTCGTGGAGCCTGAAATATAGTAATATATATATTATAAATGCGAAAGTTACTCTGTGTGTCTGTCTGTTACGCTTTCACGCCTAAACCACTGAACTGATTTTAATGAAATTTGGTACAGATAGAGTTGATCTTGAGAAAGAACATAGGATAGTTTTTATACCAGACTTTTGAAAGGTTCTCTTGGAAATGCGATATAACCGAACTCCACGCGGGCGAAGCTGCGAGGGGAAAGCTAGTTATCATATATATCATATTAATATATGTGTGTATGAGTGGTTCGCACCACATATAATCAGTGGTCTATAGATCATCACTCCCTGTACGTATCACGTGAGTGTTATATATTAACAGATCGTGTGTGTGTGTGTGTGTATGTGTGTGTGTGTTCACATCTATCGTGAGTGCTATATACAGATTACATTACACGACAAATTATTATTAATTTAAACATTGTTTTTATTTTTGTTTATATATAAAATAAATTAATAGTACGTGTGCATGTATGCGTGTGTACCTGTGTGTGTGTGTTAGTGTCGCCAGGTCCGATTTGTTTTAAATCGGTACGAGGTCAAAAAAATCGGGATTTACGATTGTAGATCGGGACAGTAAAAAAAAATAGGGTGTTTTTAATTGAAGGTTTAATTAATTACGTTTTAAGTTTAGTAAGTATTATATTACCTAAATTAAATATGGGGCCGTCCATAAATTACGTCATCGATTTTTTCAGATTTTAGACCCTATCATCCTATCGTCATTTCTTAATGACCCCCCACCCCCTTCTCCCAAAATTGACGTCATTACCAGTTTGACAAAATTAAAACATTGTAGATTTGAGAACAATAGGGTATTATATGATTAAAACACTTGGTTATTATTATTTTTACTTTGGCAATAATCATTGATATAATATAAAAGTAAAAATAGGGAATAATAATTAATATATAATATTTCTTTGGATAGCTCCCACGGGGTTTTCACCCACTCTTTTAAACTTTAACTACGCAACGGATTTTGATGCGGTTTTTTTAATACTCGTAGATAGAGTGATTCTTGAGGAAGGTTTATATGTATGTATAATACATGTAAGTACCACGGGCAAAGCCGGGGCGGGCAGCTAGTATTATATGTAATATTATTGTTAGAGTATTTTATCTGTAGTTATTACTGTATTTGCGTACATCTATGTTGCATTATGTATATTTATTATGAGTTATTTTAGTATTTAATCTCACATTTGCAGTCTCAATTACTAGGTGTGCCTGAAGAAATTTGTTTTTAGAAATAATCTTTTTGTACGTGAACAATAAACTATAAATAAATAAATAAGAATGAAGTCAATTTCGAAAACACCCCCCCCCCCCTATCTATCACTTACCGTCATCCGAAGACCGAACCCCCCCTCCTTAATTTAGAATGACGTAATATATGGACAGCCCCTAAGTAATTAACCTGACATAACAAGTAATCAGTCTTGCTAGACTAGTAGAAATTATGAAATAAAATCATACAAGTGTAATTGACGCTCATTATAAGAATAAATAAATAAAATGTAAATTATTAATTTTTTATTAAAATTGTATTTTTCATTGGACTTTGTCGCCTTTAAAATAGTATTGTTTTTTATAAAATTAATTGCAAGTCATATTAAAGTTGGTTTTAATTTGAATTTCGGCTTTCACATGCTCGAGTGTCAAATGATTTCGCCTCTCCGACCAAATTAAATTTGGGAAAATACTCTTTATGTAGTTGCGTTTGATACTGGAATTGAAGCCATAAAAGAAAATATTTTTTGAAGATTTACTAAATCTTGATGGTTTTTAAAAATGTTTTGCCATTTTTGTAGCGGCGTTAAGTCTTTGTTTTGCACTGCTGCTTTCCCTAATTAGTTGATTTTACAAACTTCTTCATATACTTCATATATTTGATGTCGAAAAACGTATCAATTTTCAGATTTTCAATAATGTTAACTATTGGCGTGTAAGTAAATGAATCGTCTTGAAGAGAAAACGTTTTAAATAACTCCAATTTGTTATCCTTGAAATCATACTTGGTTTCTATGTATTGAAGAACATAATTGTACCACGCACAACAGTCTTTTTTTATTTATGTTTAATTAGTAACATTTTTTAAATCGTTTTTTGATTTATCGGGACCTTAAGCGTCCCGACTAGGTATAAATCGGGACGCGTCCTCAGACCCTTAAAAATCGGGATACCTGGTGGGAACACTAGTGTGTGTGTTTTTTGTGTGTGTGTGTGTGTGTGTGTGTGTGTGTGTGTGTGTGTGTGTGTGTGTGTGTGTGTATGTCTGTTACCTCAAATGTGTAGCGAGAGTGGTCCTATTAACGAATCTCTTCTTACAGTGATCACACTGCAGACCCTCTCGGTGAAATCTGTCCACGTGGTTCTTACGTGCTCTTGAATTTCTGTAATAATTCACAACAAATATTCACTTTTCTATAATTAAAATAAGTCATTAAAATCTATATTTGTACATTTAATATAACTTATATACTTTTATATAACAAATTTTATCTAGTTATAAGTAAAATAATATATATTTTAGGGTACAGCTTGAACAATATATATATATTTCAAAGGCAGCCCTAATAGGTTCTTTAGAAATTTGGTAGAGAGGAGCTTGTACGGTGGAGGTGATCGTTTAACATTGGATAGGGTCCCTTTAACCTACACCTGGGTCACAAGTCACAGTCACTGTTGAAGCTCCTCTCACTACAACGATGGACCTGACACACGCACCGTGAATACATGGAATGATGAGAGGTTTCATCTCTATAATATATATGTCACTATTAAGTCAGTGATGGCCTAGTGGTTAAAAGGCCCGCCTCTCATGCATGAGGGCGCGGGTTCGATCCTGACAAGTACCAATGCGATTTTTCGGCGTTATATGTACTGTCTAAGAATATTTAGACATCACTGATTAATGCATTCCCAAAGAGGGTTGATGTCAGGCAGGCGGATCGTAAAAACAATTAGCCAAAACTATTCACAACATGTAAGGCAGACCCTGGCTCAAGCTGGGAAATTGCCAGGTAGAAGAAGAATATATATATTAAACTGACTCACTTAAAGAACATGTCACATTCTAAGCACTTGTATCCAACTATAGTTGTTTTAGACAGCAGCTTCCTCAAGTCGCCGGGCTTTGGAGGTGATTTATCTTCTTCGTCACTTTTAACGTTTTTTCTCTTTCTGCTCTGAAAATTTATTATAAGAAATATTATATGTATTATACATATAAAAAAATATATGAAATTGTATAAAATAACATCACACACTACCACTACGACATAAATAATTCACTTATAAAAAAATCACATATCTGGGAATATTTCATATTTATCTAAATATGAGGAGTTATAGTGCGTTTGATTTAAGCTGAGCTTTGTATTTGTGTGAGTGCACACGGATAGTGTAGGTGTGATGTTAATTTTTTAATACAACGTTCTTTACCAGTTTTGAACCGGTTTATACTGATTTTACTCCGCCCTGCACCTTCCTCACTTCACCCTTTGTACTGGTAGCAAAATCAAATGTTGAAAACGCAATGTCAAGTGAAAAAGTATTTGTATAGTTTTTACAAAATTTTTATTAATCAATAATTTTTTTTCCATAATATTTCCATCTGTCCTTTTACAAGTTTTGCTTATTTCATATCACTTATGTATCTATTTAAAATATAGTAAAATTTAATTCTAAAAGTTTTTTGTCTAACTCTACTTTTACTTTCACACAAATGCAATGCTCAGCTTAAGTCTAAGACTATACCAAGTATCTTAATATATAAATTTTAAGCTGTTATGTATTAGTTATGCTTGTTCGGTATTGTTAAAATAATAATATGTTGTCAATTCTAATGTAGGTAGATTACTTTATTATTAGTTGCTGACATTCAGTTTTCTACTTAACACAATACATACATACATGACGAATTTAATATAGTTTTATTGAATACATAACCATAGTATATGTCACACCATTCCATTCTGTTTCTCATCCACAATATAACTATATTTGTTATTTAAAATATATACAGGGTGACTGGTGAATTACTACCGATACTTGAGGACGTGATATTTGACGATCATATATGACAAAATAAAAATTAATACAACATAAATATTAATTAACTTCTAAGTAAAGTTAACCAAAAGTTGTGTAATTAATTACGCATCGTGTGAACACCCTACAGATTAGGTGTACACACACACACACACACGCGTGCGCGACGTGGTGTTGTATCAGCACGCCGCCGCACGCGTCCACACTTGGAACGTTTCCACACTTTATTTATTTATACGGAAATTTGGTCAAAAATTAAGTACCTATTTTTTTTTACATAATTCGAATGAGAATCATGTACCGAGTATTCTCCTTAAATATTGATAGTAATTCACCAGTCACCCTGTATATTTAAACGAAAGTCGTGTTAGTTACACTACTTTAACTCAAAGGCGTGAAAGCGTCACAGACAAACAGAGTTACTTTAACATTTATAATATTAGCAGGATTTCTTTTAATATGAGGAGTTATCAAGTATCTTAATATATATTTTAACCATATACCAACCTTTTTCTCCCCGTCTATCTGTATAAGGGCCCTCGGTGTCTTGTTTTCATGTGCTCGAAGGTGTACCATCATCATCTTAAGGCTGGTCTCCTTTCGGCTACACATCTTACAAGTGTATCGGCTGTAGTGTGTGTCTATATGTTCATCCATTTTGTTCTCCGGTGTATATATGTAACATACTTTACATGGTAGATACCCAGGTTTCTGTTGAAATGGGAATAATGATTATTGAGGTATTTTTAATTACTTTATTACTACATAGTATTATTTTTGTAATAAATTAAGTTGAATCTGTCATTTCACACTGAAACCATTATTTATTTTCTTGATATACAATTGTATTCATTAATAAAAAAATAAAAGTTATGTATGACTTATCTGGTCTATGGCTAGATTACATAAACAAATATATACAGGGTGACTGGTGAATTACTATCAATATTTAAGGAGCATACTCGGTACATGATTCTCATTCGAAATATGTAAAAAAATAGGTACTTAATTTTTGACAAAATTTCCGTATAAATAAATAAAGTGTTGACACGTTCCAAGTGTTCCTAGTGTGGACGCGTACGGCGACGTGCTGATACAAAACCACGCCCCCGCTGCGTATGTGTGAGTGTGTGTGTATACCTAATCTGTAGGGTGTTCACACGATGCGTAATTAATTACATAACTTTTGGTTAACTTTACTTAGAAGTTTATTAATATTTATGTTATATTAATTTTTATTTTGTCATATATGATCTTCAACTATCACGTCCTCAAATATCGATAGTAATTCACCAGTCACCCTGTATATACTAGGTGACCCGACAAACGTTATTTTGCCATATAAAAAATAGGGGTTTGTGATATAAAAGTAAGAATGTTCAGTTGTATGTATTTTTTAATGCTACATTATAAAAAAATAAAAACAAAATATTTCGTCCGAAAATAAATTAAGGCCGAACAACTGTTATGACTTAGGGGTATGAAATAGATGTTGGCCGATTCTCAGAGCTGCTCAACATGTTCACAAAACTTCATCCTAATCGGTCCAGTCGTTTCGTAGGACTTCTCTGTCTAACACCGCGACACGAGAATTTTATATATGTATAAGATTTGTTTATGTATGTATGTTTTATCCTGTGCTAATTCCATCATATATATAAAACCTACAACATACCTCTCTGTGCATCGCCACAAAGTGATCTTCAACCTGCTGCTGTGTATAGAACCCTATGATGCACAGTTCACATTTATACACTGAACTCACATATTGAACCTTCTGTTTGGCTTCTTCCCTGTAAAACCATATTAAAATCGTTATCACACACACACACACACACACACACACCTATATATATACATATATATATATATATATAAGGAGTTCCCAATCTTATTTTGTCCCCTACCCAATTAAATAATGCATATTTTTTAGCACCCAGTCTCTTCAAGCACTGAAAAATCACTAAAACTTATCCAAGCTAAATGTACTTATATATTAGCCAGGCCTCTACACAATGCCTATATTTTTTCTGGGTCTCTTACCGGCCGCTTTAGGCCTGCAGGGCCGGCAAGGGGGCTTCGTCGACCACTTATATATATATATACTAGCTTTCCGCCCGCAGCTTCGCCCTCGTGGAGTCCGCTTATATCGCATTTCCAAGAGAACCTTTCAAAAGTCTGTGATAAAAACTATCCTATGTTCTTTCTCAAGGTCAACTCTATTTTTGTACCAAATTTCATTAAAATCAGTTCAGTGGTTTAGACGTGACAACGTAACAAACAGAGAGAAAAACAGAGTTACTTTCGCATTTATAATATTAGTAGGGATTTATATACAGGGTGACTGGTGAATTACTATCGATATTTGAGGACGTGATATTTGACGATCATATATGACAAAATAAAAATTAATATAACATAAATATTAATAAACTTCTAAGTAAAGTCAACCAAAAGTTGTGTAACTAATTACGCATCGTGTGAACACCCTACAGATTAGGTATACACACACACTCACACACTCGCGCGCGGCGGCGTGTTGTTGTATCAGCACGCCGCCGCACGCGTCCACACTTGGAACACTTGGAACGTGTACACACTTTATTTATTTATACGGAAATTTGGTCAAAAATTAAGTACCTATTTTTTTTACATAATTCGAATGAGAATCATGTACCGAGTATGCTCCTTAAATATTGATAGTAATTCACCAGTCACCCTGTATATGTATATGATACAAAATATACATATATTATGTATTAACCTTAAAGCGAGCATTTCCTCGTCCGTCATAAGCTCCTTAGTATATTTGCTCTTGAGATCAACTTTCTCCTTCTTTGGACTAATCCTTGGATTCTGGCTTATTATTACCATGTCAGGTTTTAATGTGGGACTGGAAAATAAAATAGCATTAATATGACAATTTCATCAAAATATGTTCGGTAGTTTTTGTCTGAAAAAGCAACAAATCTAACAAAATTTCATATTTATAATATAAATACAATAATTTAGAGACGAGATAAACATATTTTTTTTAAAATTATAATATTGGAATCAAATAAGCATATTATTTCTTTGGACTAAGCTAACATATGAAGTTACATGAAAATTGGTATAACTTAAGAACATACAGAGAGTTCATTCATACATTAAATTATATTGTATATTTTAAAATTTATATAGAGCTATACTTATATTACTAACTCTATGGTCAATTCCGGCATTTCCCTCTTGACACTGCTGTAATCCGTCAATGCTCCGGGATTGACCACAATATGAGACATCACACCGGTCACGGGATTCTCCAAAACTAATTCTGGAACTGCAATTAGTATGTATAAGTGAAATAAAAAATAATTGTGCATAGACTTCCTATTGAATTGAAATTAAAATGATTTATATGTAAAATAATAATTAATATTATAAATCAATCAATATAGAACATGAAAATTTTACTGATAATTTCATTACATTCACACTTTGCTGTATAGCAAGTAAAATTATGTATTTGAATATAGATAGTATAGAATAGAATTGTAGTATTTTCAATATATTGACTAGAGCTAATAACTTTTTTTTATCTCTACAATACAAAATAATATATGTATGAATATACAAATAATGTTTAATAAATCTCCTAAATGTATCACAAGCTTAATAATTAATATAATAAAGTGATCTACCTATACTATTGATATTATTTAACAATCCCGGCAAGTATTACTAATACATAACTTTTATCAGTTAACTTACCGCCCATAACATTGACCTGGTCATCTATACTCAATGTTATATGATCTCTTAAAGCCTGAGCTACATCGTAACCCTCGTTTTTAACGTTCTCATCTCCACTAATAGCTATATACTGCGGCCAGTCTTTCTCTTGTAAGTTGTAATCAACCAAAATTTGGTCAAAATCGGTCTTGATAACACATTCTAATGATGATAATGATTGGGACATATAAGTATGATCCATTGCCTGGAACGGTAATTTGATATTGTATATTAGTTTATATAGTTAATATATACAAATATATTGAAAAAACATATAAAAAATGGTCGTAAACAAATATATAAGTTTTACTGTGTGTCAAAAAATTATTTGATAAAAAAAATTACTCATAATTAATATGTATTAGTTATATTTGTAAATTGTATAATATTGAAAATTTCGTTCACAAAATATTTTGTATTTAATAAAAATACATTAAATTATTAACATAATGTAATTCTGAAAGCATTGTAACTAATGACAGCGAAAATGTATAAACTATGCATATGTTACAATAATAAATCTTGTAAAAGTAAGTTTTAAAGCGAGAAAAGCCATGAAAAATACTAGTGGTCAAATTACGTGTAGTAAAAATATTTTTTATTACCAAACCTACTTCCTGTGAGTGGCTCATAGCGAGCACTCGCAAGTGCTCTTGAGCACTATGAACCTGGCGCTTGAAACGGGCAAATTTCTTCATCAGAGCCAAGCATTCCCAACAAACTAATTGATCTCGATCAATAAGAGAGTCGCCGAACTAAAATTATTATATATGTATGTATATTAATCTAAGTTGTTCTTAGATAAAAAAAAAAAATCGTATTTTTTTTTTAATGAACATTTTTACTAAGCCAACGTCGTAATATCAATCAGATTGTATATAAAAAAAATATATATGTTAAATATACATATAGTATAATAAAACTTTTAAAACTCACTCTATCACCCGCGAAATCGTACATCATTAATCTGAACATTTGATATATTTGTGTGAGACCATTTATAGATATTACATTACGATCCGAGCTCAAGCAAGTGCAACACAAAGTTCTGTAACCAGTATCCACGTCTTGTTCCATTTTAAAAATAAATATAAAAATATTATGTTTCAAATAAACTTGAAAACTTATCAATCACAACAAAAAGCAATACTCCCATGTAAAATAGACGAAATCAGGTGAAGAATGTATAATGCCACAGCGACACCACAAAATGGCTGCTTTACCCAGACTTGTCAGCCCATACAAATAAAATTTTGATGAATTTTACCCTGGCAACATTGATGTTACTATTTAGTTTGATAACGCAATTTCATTAAGATAACTTTCAATTTTGCATATACCTACTTACACTTTGTAATGAGAAAAATAACTAAAACCTAAATGTAGATCTAAAATTAGATAAATATTATTGTTTTAAAACCAATATTTCTAACAAGAAACTAAAATTCTGCTTCGAGTCCCTCAAGAAGAAGAAGAGGAAGAAGTGAAACTTCGTAATGTTAAATTGCAATGCTGTTTTCAATTATTTTAACTCATGTAAATTTTATTTTTCTTTAAAACAAAATTATTCATATTATTGATTGCCGACATGCGTTGGAGCGTCACGCATTCCCTCTCCCTATCTGTTTTTATGGTCCTTCCTACGAGCGTTATACTTTTAAGGCTACTTTTTTGAAGGGCACATAAGAAATATCACATCAAAAACATAAACTTATAATGTTATACGACAAAAGTTAGAAGGATAAAATGTGTTTCTTTTCTTTGTAATTCGCTTCTAGCAACATTATTCATGACACTTATGTCATGCCAACAATTTCAAATACAAATATATTAACGGTGTTATAAGAAGTTATGCTAGTTTAGTTTTTGTACAATAAATAACTGTTGAACTTTTCAAAAATAATTGACGGGAAATAAATCAACAAAATGCAGGCAACTTCCAAAAGTAGTAAGTATCGAATAAAAAATACGATACACCTTCACAAATTGAAACAATTAAAATCTTCACGATTGAAACAAAACCATGTCCATATATTATATTTTACTACACAATTCCTCTCCTTAATAATAAATTGTATTATAAAATCATATAAATCGTCTCTATTACAACATTTTCTATAATTTTATATCCAATTGATCCCCTATTAATATTAATTTAAAAATCACCATTACACATCAAATAACACGTATTATTTGTAATTTTTGTCGATAATTCTTCACAGAAATATCAGAACTGCAGATTATTATAAGCAAGATGCCGCTCGAAGTGTGTTCTACAACTGTTTTGCCAGAGCTCGGCGTTCGTTGGCGCGAAGTTTCTAGGGCAGTTCGTAATGCGAGGCTGCCTATGGCTCCCACGAGTGTAGCGCGAGTGCTTTGTAGGCATGTAGCAAGGGCGCTAACTATGGAGGAAATAGCCGAGATCGTGTCACGACTGCGGTTAAAATGTAAGCTAAAGATACGTCTTAATAAATGGTTATATATCTTAGATTCGTGGAGTTTTAGCTCTAGGTCTTAGTAGAATGTTGATTCTGTATATCCTGGGTATTGTTTAAAGGGAATTTTACTGCTAATCAACTTCATAGGTCCTAGCTTGATTGTTAACTAGTATGAGATGGTCCAAAGATTATTGGATTAAATATAGCATATTTAAGTAAATTTTATATTTTGTTTCTTCTATAGTTTAATTTTACTATCATTTGATTGTCTGTCTGTCATCTGTAGGTATTTTTATATACATATATATATTTGGTAATCCATACAAAAACTTCTTGAACTACTGAACAGTGGAAAGCCCATCTCAATAGACCCACAATAACATAATTATCAACACACCATCTATTTCAAAATTAATAAAAATATTTCTCCACAACAGTGATAGCAACGCAACGTCGCAATTGGCATGTGATAAAACTCTCCGACCAGTTAACCGATGAGCCTGTAAACATATTAACGAGAATACTTCCCTCGAGAGTGAAGCAAGCATTGAAAGGTGTCAGATGTGGTCGGAATATGATGCCTGAGGTATGTCTAAGCTTATATGTGATATTCAAACCCCGGTAATCCGGCCCCTGTCTAATCCGGCACCCCCTGTAATCCGACATGATCTATTATTTATTATTGAATACATATTTTGTATTCGCTAATGCATGATTGAACAATTTACAACTTGTACGAACCATCACTTTTGTGCTTGATGCATAGGTTATTGTTTTCATTCTGATTGCTTAGTTGGAATTTGAATTTGTACTTCAGAGTACATATAAGTACATAGGTATATATAATATGTAAATAATCTTATCATTGAATCTGTTATTTGTCGGATTACAAGGTACTCTTTTGTAAAAAAATCCGGACTATAGGGGGTCTTAGGGAGTACTCTATAATCCGACGAATTCGATAGTCCGACACTGCCCTGCAAAATGTTTGTCGGACGACTACCGGGGGTCCACTGTTTTAGTTGCTGTCATAGTCTTGCTACTTAGCACAATACATACATGACAAATTTAATATAATTTTATTGAATACTGCAGTATCATATATGTATGTGAATAAATTTTATTACAGATACAAACAGTTAAACTGGGTGATCTAATATATATAAGTGTCCAAATGGTATCCGACATCAAGGCAGGCGGCATATTATATGTGGCAACTCCTCCAGGCGAGCCTGTAGCATTAGTGAGCTCGTTACACAGTTCATTATTGAAGCCCTGTATCCAAGGTAATAATAGAATAATTTATATATTATTTTTCTATATATGAACCAACAGTCAGCGCCATCTATCGTGTCGTTACTTCACACAATACATCTGTTATGAAGTGTTCCGGGAACTACACGGACTGAACGAGACATTATATACTATGTGTTATTATAATATATGACATCAAAATCCATAGAATAGCTATATCCTAATAAATTTATTATCAAACTATTGTGATTTAAAGTCAGGCATTTTTATTATATAAATATACATATATCATCATCAGCCTATCAGAGTCCACTGCCGAGCTGCCTCTTTCTCTCATGGAGAAGGTTTGAGCATTAATCAACACACTCACTCTAGACGGATTGACGATTTCAAATTTATAATTGAAATTATAAGTCCAGGTTTCCTCACGATGTTTTTATTCATCTGTTAGTGATGTTTAAATACTCTTATAAAGTACATATGACTCGGAAAAATCACATTGGTACTTGCCAGGTATCTAACTCGAGCCCACATGCATGAGAGGCGGAACTTTTAACCACTAGGCCACCACTGGCTTTTTGTTTAATACATTTTGACACATTCTGTAGTCTCTACATTAACATGTAACAAACATACACATACTAATAAACTTTTATATATATGTAATATGTCCATTACATAGTACTTATGTATTATTTCCAGGTCTCGGTTACCAGAAATACGAAGATGCAAGTCTCAATGGCCACGACATAGGATCTCTACTGAGGATATTTAATGCTAATAATAATGAGAATCCAGATTTCCTCGCTCGGATTCCAGAATATTTTGTAGCTCCGTGTATCACGAGGGGTGGGATTGATTTTACGGGGAGGAAAACAGATGAGAAATATACTGACGATGTATTGGGACCCGACCCTCCGAGGCTTGATAAACTTGTGGTTACAGCGCAGAGGAAGTTCTTTGATCCTGAAAGGTATATATCCCTACTAATATTATAAACGCGAGTGTAACTCTGTCTGTCTGCCTGTCACGCCTAAACCACTGAACTGATTTTAATGGAATTTGGTACAGAACCTTGAGAAAGAACATAGGATAGTTTTTATCCCAGACTTTTGAATGGTTCTCTTGGAAACGAGATATAACCGAACTCAACTCGGGCGAAGCTGCGGGCGGAAAGCTGGTGTAGATATACAGGGTGACTGGTGAATTACTATCAATATTTAAGGAGCATACTCGGTACATCATTCTCATTCGAATTATGTAAAAAAAATAAGTACTTATTTTTTGACCTAATTTCCGTATAAATAAATAAAGTGTGGACACGTTCCAAGTGTTCCAAGTGTGGACGCGTGTGTGTGTGTGTGTGTGTGTATACCTAATCTGTAGAGTGTTCACACGATGCGTATTTAATTACATAACTTTTGGTTAACTTTACTTAGAAGTGTATTAATATATATGTTATATTAATTTTTATTTTGTCATATATGATCGTCAAATATCACGTCCTCAAGTATCGATAGTAATTCACTAGTCACCCTGTATATATCAAGAATTCCTAAATAAGTAATAAAATTTGATGAATTTTGTATACATTAGTGGTGTGTGTTGCACTAGATGGTTTAGATTCATAATTCATTCCGATAGATAGCGCTGTCTGTATGTAGTTTATTTAAAATGAATAGTCTTCGACATAGCTTATTATGTGTATTGTTTTAATAAAATTTATATATTTCTCACTGAGAGTAGTTCTGTTGTAGATACAGACGGAGTCGCCGGCAAAAACTAGTATAAATATATAAAATTTCCACTTCACTATGTTAGTTACCATACCCCTTTTAAACAATTTAACCGATTTTTACCAATTTTTAAATCATATTCAGTAGCTCTGAGAATCGGCTACTATTTTTCATGCCCCTAATTTATAAGGGATTTTCATCCCTTAAATATATTTTTTAAATTATTGTACGTAATTTTTTGTTTCTATTTTATTATAAAATACATACAACCCAAAATTTTTGCTGTTTTATCACCAACCCCTATTGTTTTATATGAGAAAACAATGTTTGTCGGGTCAGCTAGTAAATATACATATTTTTAAAGAACTTTAAACATTCCTGTCTTGAATTTAACTATCCATATATGTTAATTGTTTCAGATTAAACAAGGAAATGAGAATAACAATACAATTGAAAAGTGAAGATATAGCACAGACATTGAAGTGCTGGGCTTCAAAAGGAGCTGTGTTACCGACCTGCCAGCTGTTCCAAATCTTTAACAAGACTAAGTCAAACAAAATACACATAGATGCCAACGATGACTGATATAATAATATATTACAATAATGTTAATTTAAATGTGCCAATTTTGTTTAATTAGTTATACTTTTAATGTGGATTTAATTAAATATATGAAGATTATTTTTATTTGTTTATTTTTGTTTGAAAATAGTACTTAAGTGTGAGGGCAATTTTATCTTCAATTAATTCTTTATATAAAAAGTCGTTTCTTATTTATAGCTTTTATATAATATATAGAGATGTCTTCATTTAATGTAAAGTTTTTAAAGTGTTAACATACAAGTATTTATATAAGTACTATGTATTCAGTGATATGTGTTCTTGTACTTAATATTATTGAATAAAGTAGACAAAGAAGCGGCTATTGGGTATTGAAAATAATGAAATGTTATATATATTACAGTATTAGTCACTAGGTCACTACCCCACTCAATGTTTTTCATATAACCACGACTCCACTATCTTAATACTTAAAAATACCAGTTTGTAATTAGTCCCGTGACAGTTTTTATCAGTCTGTCCTATAACCTTTACAAAGTGCAAGATTGCATCTTGAAGACTTTAAATGAGAAATAAATTATACAAACAAAATGAATTGATTAAATTTCTAAATAAAAATAATAGATGGAAAACAGTGTTTGAAAAATCAATGCACCAGTAATTAGCTGTGCACGTTAGAAATTGAAATCCTTTACCAAAGAGTATATGAGTTCAAATTAAGATGAAATAACAATTTTATTTATAACGATCTAATATATACATATTACAATCATAATATTATATAATTATGTTCTAATATATTAAGACAAGTCCTAATATATCTTCTTCTACCTGTCAATTTCTCAGCTTTAGCCAGAGTCTACCTTACATGTTGTGAATAGTTTTGGCTAATTGTTTTTACGACCGGCCGCCTGTCTGACATCAACCCTCTTTGGGAAAATGTCCTAATATATGTTGCAAATGAATTTGCATTAAATAATATGACAATTGACCGAATTAAGCTCAGGGTACGACTAAATATTAAATCTAAAGGAAAGCTATTTTCCTGTATACAAAGAAATAATTGATTTTGTAAAGCCAGTGAATAAAATTTGAATGATTGGTCAATTAAGTTTCCGTAGCATATTTTAATTAAATTTTGTAGTGTAAATTTGAAGATATATTAGACTACTGCACCTACGTAATTTTATCTCCGTATTTGGTTTCATTGAAATACTTTTTTTATTTAAACTAACTTTCTTATTTGGAAATAATCTTATTAGGCCTCGGCCTCGAATCTCGCGGGTAGCGGGGCGGCAGCGGCAGCGGCGCGCCAAGGGAGCGGGCAACGCATACCTGTTCTCGAAACTAGCGGGCAGATCGCGCGGCACTATAGCGGTGTAGTGTTGTGTTCGTGGTTGTGTTGTCGAGATATTTGTCTACTATAGGGCAAGGAAAATAAATGGCGAGTTTTATCGAAACTATGAAGAACAGAGACAAAATCCCGACAGATTCTACGACTACACCAGAATGAGTGTAGAAACATTTGACTATATTCTTGAAACTATCAAGAGTGATTTAGAGTCTGGAATTAATTCAAAACGATTTAGATCTATATCTTTTAGAAATTGTGTTGCACTAATTTAGTAAATCAGTGTAAACTCTATATAACGACAACAATTAAGTAATAAAAAATACCTTTTAAGTGGCTAAAATTAGTAAAAACTGCGCAGCTGTGTACGCTCTTTTGTCGCTTTGTTATCCTAACCCGCAATAAACTCGACAGTCATACCGAACTTTCTAAGAAATTTGTTCTTTTGTTTACAATTACAAATTGCTTACACGTGAAAAATTCAAAGAATATTTTGTAAATAATCGCATTAGTTAGTAATTAATTTGTAAAAGATAATAAATATTGTATTTGACATAATAAATCATTATTATATTTACCTTCAATATTCAGTTCGTTTTTTTATTTCTTCCCATAATTGGTTAATTCATCTTCTATTTTTATGGTTCACATCTTTGCTGTTCCATAAGGGTGTCCTCTCAAAGATTGCCGAAATAATTTGCTCTTGCACGTCCGAATACATTTTGATACGTCACAAAAAAAAAATACAACACTACAATGCAGACGCGCAACGCGGGCGGTCACCGCTTGACTGGAGTGCACCCGTGCACCGCTCGTTGCCCGCCCCCGCCCTGCTCCTGCACCGCTGTATTCGAGGGTCGGTCCATTTGATTATACGCGTATGATCTTGCCGCTCCCGCTGCCGCCCCGCTACCCGCGAGATTCGAGGCCGAGGCCTTAGGAGTGGGAGCGAGAGGTGTAACAGATAAATCTCTCTACAACCTACTAAAAGACTTGGGCCTGTCCAGAACTCACATTAATTCATTCTTGGAACGTACTTCAAAGGCAGCCCTAGTAGATCCTTTTCAAATTGTGTTAGGTAGAGATTAGCTTGTGCGGTGTAGGTGATCGTTTAACGTTAGATAGGGTCCCTTAAACCTACACCTGGGTCACAAGTCCCAGTCACTGTTGAAGCTCCTCTATAAAATGAATTATGAGAAGATTCCTATCTTAAAGACTTGAAATTAAAATTTATTTATCATCTTATTGCTGAAAGTCTAAATTATTATGTTTAATCCAAGTTTCTATTCTCACTACATACTAATAGTTTCCCGTTTCTCATTAACCTACATTAATACTATGTGAAGTTACGAATGATTTACTGTTGACGTGGAGTATGTAGTGATTATGTACACTCGTGGTAAGCATTTAATAATAATTTTCATATATAAAGGATATTTTAATGAAACACACAAATAGACTCAAATGTATATTCCTTCAGATTCGAGTAACTCACTGTAAATGCTCAACAAAATGATGGTCCCTATATTAATGTACAATATATTTGAGCTGTTCATTACTTACATACTGACAGTATCACCGTGTACAGTTACAGAACCATCGGACTAAAGAATCGTGGACTGAGAATTAATACAAATATTTAACAAATAGTTTCTTTACAAACGTTAACTATCAAGTTAATCGTGTTACGGATACGTGAAAACGTAAGAATGACAGTTAAATATGGTTTTATATGAGAATACTTTTTATTTAGTCCGATTATTAATTCTCAGTACAGAAATACTTAAGAGATGTCTCAATACATATATACATACATATATATGTTTTTCCCACACTATATAATTATTCATCTACATACATACATGCACACGGAACAAACAAACAAACAAAATAATTAATAAATCTGAGATCGTTTTTTTATGCTTTTTAAAAGAATTTGTAATTTTTTTTTACATTTTCATTTATATCCTATACAACACTAAAATTTAAATTTCGCATAGAAAAATATACAATCAACGAAACAAAGTAATCCGAAATTTTATAATTATATATATTAATAATTTTAATTATAAAAAAAAATTGATTTAAATTATAAAATAACATTATTTCGGTGGTGATTTTTTTTTCATTTTTCTGTCTCAATAATTATTTTACTTAAATTATATGGAATTATAAAGTTATATTATTTCGCTGACGAGGCAGTATTATTTAATATTATATTAAAGCTTGTCGATATTTAATTTCAACTGTCTCCACAATTATATTACACTTTGTACTATCACGAACGCGTTTCCTTATATATTTTACGACAAAACGGACAGTTTGATGGTAATTACTTATAATCAGATAATAGCACCGGTATAATAAAACTTTGCCATATATTCTGTCAATTATTTATTAACTTCTTAATTAGCATATTATCTAATTATAAGTTATTCAGCCGCGACACACGTTAGACACAAGCTACTCATCACATACAAATGAATTTAGTAAAACCTTTTTGATTTTCAAACTATCAAGTTTTTTTTAACTATTGAGGTAAGAGTTCTTCGTATTCAGCCAATGTTGATTAATCCCGCCTTCTTAAAACATGACAGATGTCATTTTTATTCAGCCAGTTTGACAGGTTCTTGATATTCAGCCAATGTCACGTATTGAGAAGACGATATAGATGTTGGTTGACTAATATACAGCCAATGTCATCTGTCAGTTGTTCATTCAGCCAATATCATCTGTCATCTGTCACTTGTCAGTTGTATGCATCATGTACGTCAGGCTGTCAGTTTACATCCAGCCAGTGTCGAGCTGTGGTACAGTTGTTATACAGCCAACGTGGTCGTGTAGTCGTTGTTTATCTGTGGTATACCGTTCAGTTGTCACAGTAGACGGGCAACACCGGGCTGCAGGGCCAGTCGCTGGTCTCCTCGCTCTCGCTGCCGGTTCTGTACATACATATATAATTAATACATGTCATACATCCTACTAATATTATAATTGCGAAAGTTTGTGAGTGTGTGTGTATGTTTGTTACTTCTTCACAATCAAACGGCTGAAGCGATTCTGATGAAATGTTGTATACAGGAAGCTGACGTCCAGGAAGAAGACATAGGCTACTTTACATCCCGGAAATCCCGGTAACACCGCGGGGCGCAGCTAGTATATATACATTACCTGTTTCTCTTCGGCGTAGCGTCAGCCGTCAGGTGTTGTTCCTCGATGGTGGGCAACAGAGACGTCAGACGGTCCGTCGGTCGGAGCACCTGTCGTATATATATACACGTTATACATTATACTACATTCACATGTGTTATATGTCTAGTGTGTATGTATATATCTATCTCTCTCTGTCTCTGTGTGAGTGTGTATGTCTGTCTCTCTCTCCATAACCCCGTGTCTGTGTATGTGAGTATATCTGTCTTTCTCCCCCCCTCTCTCTATGTGTAGTGTGTATGACTACATCTATCTCTTTCTGTCACTGTGTGAGTTTGTATGTCTGTCTCTGTGTGTATGTCAGTCTATCTGTCTGTCTCTTTCTGTTTCTGTGTGAGTGTGTATGTCTGTCTCTTTCTCCATAACACCGTGTCTCTGTGTGTATGTCAGTCTATCTCTTTCTCTCTCTCTCACCTTCAGTGTTCGTTCAGACAGCCTCCACACCAGCCTCTGCCTGTGCGGCGCCTTCATCCTCGCCTCATAGCGCGCGGCCACGTCGCGGACCAGCTGGTGGGTCGCTACCAGAGACTCGTCAGACATCTATATATAAACAATACAACATATATTTAGTATATTATAGTTATTATAATAATAAAACAATTTAATTCTCATATATGGCAACAATTTTAATAAGATATGTACCTAATATAATTATTAATTACATATACATTATTAGACACAATTTAGGGGCCACATACAGAGAACGTCACACAAATTTAAGCACTTTTGAACCCCTCCCCCTTTTGTCAAATATTTATAAGCAGCTAATATTTTTATTATTACTTATTTTTATTAAGCATCCAAACCTTGTGTTTTAGTATTTTAAATTTTAACATTTGTCGTCACAAAGTATTGCCCCCCTTTCCCCTATTTACCATTCCTCCCTATTAACGGGTGACTTATTCTATGGATAGACCCCTTATATGTATGTGTCTGTCTGTCTGTGTGTGTCTGTGTGTTTGTGTGTGTGTACTCACGTGACAGTGTTGCTGTAGCTGCGCAGCGAACTCGTACAGATAGTATGCTTGCTCAGGTACAGGCGGACCTCCCTCTGCCGCGCGACGGCTCCAGTTGACAAAGTGTTGCTCTGATACAACATAATAAATAATATATACAAGGTGACTGGTGAATTACTATCGATATTTGAGGACGTGATATTTGACGATCATATATGACAAAATAAAAATTAATATAACATAAATATTAATAAACTTCTGAGTAAAGTTAACCAAAAGTTATGTAATTAATTACGCATCGTATGAACACCCTCCAGATTAGGTATAAACACACACACACAATCGCGCGCGGCGGCGTGTTGTTGTATCAGCACGCCGCCGCACGCGTCCACACTAGGAACACTTGGAACGTGTACACACTTTATTTATTTATACGGAAATTTGGTCAAAAATTAAGTACCTATTTTTTTTACATAATTCGAATGAGAATCATGTACCGAGTATGCTCCTTAAATATTGATAGTAATTCACCAGTCACCCTGTATATGAGAAACATTATTTCTGATTAACAAGAGAGGGTTGATGTCAGACAGGCGGCCGGTCGTAAAAACAATTAGCCAAAACTATTCACAACATGTAAGACAGACCCTATGGCTATGGCTGGGAAATTGCCAGGTAGAAGAATATGAGAAACATTAAAATTATTAATTCATAATCATATCTAAGTTACGAATATTCGATTAATCTAATATTTTCAGATTTGTTACGGTTTTTTTATTTTAAACTACATACTCCCATTACAGACGATATTAAAGTCACTAAAATCGAAATAGTTTAAATAGAAAATATTTTCAATATTTGTTATTTCCAATTCATATAATAAACTTATAATAATATCAAGAATTTAATATTTATATATTTTTCGGATACCACTGGTTTAATAACTTGGTTATATTGGTAGACAAATGAATATGATGTCAAAATAACCCATTTGGATTCTTGGACTCTATTACTTCTTCCTGGCAACTTCCCAGAATTAGCCAGGGTCTTGGGCTCTTATACTCAAGAGATATTATTATTTATGACATCGGCAAGATACTCCACCAGTTACTTACTCACTTACTATCCTACTAATATTATAATTGCGAAACTTTGTGAGTGTGTGTGTATGTTTGTCACTTCTTAACGCTCAAACGGCTGAACCGATTTTGATAAAATTTTGTATACAGGAAGCTGACGTCCAGGAATAACACATAGGCTACTTTACATCCCGGAAACCCGCGGGTAACACCGCGGGGCGCAGCTAGTATATATATAACTCACCTAGTTTATAGAATATAAGCACCAAAGCCAATTCACTGGTCCGTGAGTTGACACAGCGAGCGTCACACACTGCTATCTCTAACAGATTGATGAGCTCGTCCTCCTGGGAATGGAGAAAACATTATTACATATATTAATAAATATTAGTTTATTAAAGAAAATATGGATAATATTAAGGGAAATATGAATAATATTAGGGGAAATTTAATAGCTATTACGCAGTATTAGGACTGTAGATAAATAATTGTATATAATATTAGTAAGTATATAGTTAAAGGCACTTTTGTATAATTTTTCTTAATATAATTATTATCAAGTTTCTCCTTTTATTTGTAGTATACTAAATTATCTTTGATTTTGATAGTGATAGTATATTAATAGATTTACATTGAAATAACTTTGCTTCTGTACATTCAACCTACAAATTGTATAATTCTTATAATTTTCAATACTTTTAAAGCTAGTTTTTTAAATTTTTGGGTCACTAACTGATAAAGTATGTACACACTACACAACCATATTCATCTTGCTTTGCTTAAGCAGTTTTTAATCATCCTTACACCTTAAATACGAATTATTCTCTATATATATATATATATATATTACTAGCATAACTAACAGGAAATTTATCTATAGCCTATCAATAGAAGTCATTAGTAGATTATTATGACCATATATGGTAATAGACCGGAAACTGGTTCAACATACCGGAAGTACCGTGTCGCTGGCAGCTGCTACAAGCTTCCTGAACAGCTTGAGCCAGTGTAGTACAGTGATCGACCTGTGACCGGCTAGAGACAGCTTGTTTTTTATTACGAGCGACATGCGTGACACGTCGCCCGCTGTACACGCTGATTGAGAGACGAGTACTGGGGAACGAAATAGTATATTAGGATATAAAACTACATGTATGTATTCACATAAATATTCTTGGAATGTGCATCGAAGGCAGTCCTAGTAGGTTCTTTTTAAAGGTAGAGAGAGGAGCTTGTACGTTAGATAGGGTCCCTTAAACCTACACCTGGGTCACAAGCACCAGTCACTGTTGAAGCTCCTCTCACTACAACGATGGACACGACACACGCACCGTGAATATATGGAATGATGAGAGGTTTAGTCTCTATATCTAAGACTTGAAAATCTCAGATGGCAGTATTTTAGAATGTTGGTACTATTTAGTTAGTATTAGATATATTATTATTGTTATATTGGTACATTGTTGAGAATTTTGTGTTATTATATTATTAAAATTGGTGTATTTAAATTCAGAATAATTATTATAAGAAGTGACGGAATTTTGGTGAAATTGGTTTGCATAAAATATATTTTAACATTGGTATAATTGGATTAGATTGATGATTATTGGAAGCAATGCTCATATACTAGCTTTCCGCCTGCAGCTTCGCCCGTTCCGTTCGTTTATATCGCATTTCCATGAAAACCTTTCAAAAGTCTGATAAAAATTAAATGTTCTTTCTTAAGGTCAACTCTATCTCTGTACCTTTCATTAACATCAGTTCAGTGGTTTAGTCGTGAAAGCGTAACAGACACAGAGTTACTTTCTCATTTATAATATTAGTAGGTATTTGTAACTAACCCAGTTCCTCGATAGTGACATTCCTTGCTTGTTTGACTGTGTCAGCGTATTCATCGATTGCTATATTCATGCATGAGACGGTGATGCATGGAACATGGCAGGGCCTTACTTTCATTTTTGAGAGGAAACTGAAACACATATAAAAATATATGAGGTTTGTATATTAAGGAATTAATTATAGGACATATATAATGTAGGAATATTTCGTGAATTATGGATTGATTAAATATTAATGATTTTATATAAAATTATATGAAATATAAAATAATTCAATTCTTTTCATGATCAATTCTACTAAATACTAATGTATTTGTATTGTTGATTGTTACAATACGATAAATTGTATATGTAGTATTGTATACATGTTGTCTCTTTCTATATATACAGGGTGACTGGTGAATTACTATCAATATTTAAGGAGAATACTCGGTACATGATTCTCATTCGAATTATGTAAAAAAAAATAGGCACTTAATTTTTGACAAAATTTCCGTATAAATAAATAAAGTGTTGACACGTTCCAAGTGTTCCAAGTGTGGACGCGAGCAGCGGCGTGCTGATACAACACCACGCCCCCGCACGCGTATGTGTGAGTGTGTGTGTATACCTAATCTGTAGGGTGTTCACACGATGCGTAATTAATTACATAACTTTTGGTTAACTTTACTTAGAAGTTTATTAATATTTATGTTATATTAATTTTTATTTTGTCATATATGATCGTCAAATATCACGTCCTCAAGTATCGATAGTAATTCACCAGTCACCCTGTATAATTCTTCTGTGAGTGTGTATGTCACTGAACTTCTCTCAAACAACTGGACCAATTTTGATGTAATTTTCAAGTTCAATGTTCAAGGGGATCTGGGAATGGTTTAGATTTACAATTTTGTCTGATGGACAATGTTTCTTTAATTAATTTCTAATTTATTAGTAGTTGTTGATATAAACGTTTTTTCTGACATTAGATTTGACAACTAACTAACTCTGTCGCACTTCAAAACACGGAGATTTATAGCTTTAATAGGTAAACTCCAAAAATATAAATAACAAAACGTAACAGATATTTCTTGATTATAGTGCGATACGAAGTTCGCCGGGTCTTCTAGTATATATATAATACTCACCGGTCAAACAGATTGATAGCGTTGACCAAAACCTCAGCCGGTAGATCGAACCATACTTTGAGACAGCGCAGAACGTGAGCAGCTCCGTCCCTCGCGCCGGTAGTCACGTCACCGTTCTGTAATGACGTCACATCCGGTCAATTAAGACACTTAATACATATACAGGGTGACTGGTGAATTACTATCGATACTTGAGGACGTGATATTTGACGATCATACATGACAAAATAAAAATTAATATAACATAAATATTAATAAACTTTTAAGTAAAGTTAACCAAAAGTTAAGGCGTGGTGTTGTATCAGCACGCCGCCGCACGCGTCCACACTTGAAACACTTGGAACGTGTCCACACTTTATTTATTTATACGGAAATTTGGTCAAAAATTAAGTACCTATTTTTTTTACATAATTCGAATGAGAATCATGTACCGAGTATTCTCCTTAAATATTGATAGTAATTCACCAGTCACCCTGTATAATACTTAGTACATAGCTCTCAACTCTGAATAAAGATATTCAAAATTTTAAAATTTGCTAAAACCATAATGCACCTCGACCAATGGAAAACTCTGTAATAGTTTAAGTTTAAGAAGATTAATTGTAACATTATATGTTAATCTATTATTATGTAAGCATTGTGTTTTTTCAATGAAGTTTATTTATTATTATTATAATTATTAATGATGGTTTGCGTCCTTAAATAAACTTAGAATATTCTAATTACTTCTTTTATGTATCTTCGTTGATATACTAACACGTAAAAGTAAATAAATGAAAAACGGCAAACTATCCGTGTTACGTATAATGATGTAAACACGTAGTAAGGATAATTGTAGTTATAACCATCAGGTCAAATAATAATTTTAATAAATCTCCGTAAAATTAAAGTTAAATTGTTATTTTATTAAAATCTAAAAAATAAATATGTGTAAGAGTTTATATTTTTTCTTACTATTAGTTATTGCGAAGACGTCATTGATAAATAGGTATTTATGAAAATGACTGATAAAAATGATAAGATTTAATCTATCAAAGAATAATTTTGGGAGAAAACTTAAATAATGAAACAAAAACATTGTTAATATTAGAAGTTATTTTTATCAAATGGAGAGTATTAACAACTTTTGGTTGGAATAAAAAACTTATAAACAAATATTATGCTGTCATTCTGATTATGAAAAATTTAAAAGTTTCACGAAAATCTGTACAGGCGAATCACGTTATTTAACTTGCGAGATCCTTCACTTAAGGCGGCGGTCACATTAGCATATTTTCAAGGTTTAATTTTGAGGTCAGTGTGAAATAATGTTAAATTTTTTTCCGCGCAACTTTATGTTGTAAGTACCTAATTACAATTCAAGATATATATTCTTAGTACGAGTAATCGTGTAACTATGAAGTTACAGTATCGACGTGTCACAATATTTATTAGACGATAAACCAATGACATGTGTTCAAACTTCAAACTATCAGTATGTCCGTGAGTCAACTCTTATTAAGCTCAAAAGAATGTACTATCACAATAACGAAATTATGCACAATATATCATCTATTGATGAAAATTGAAAACATATACATTTGAAATATATATACCTAATAGAGGCCCCAAAATATTAGAATCTTAATAGCAACAAGTTTTAAAGGACTTTGTACTTGAAATTTTGACAACCAAGGTCTCTCGATAATTCAATATATTTTTTAGACATTAATTGTAATATGCCTACTATATGTTCCTTTACATTTTGACATTCAATAACTTTGATTAATGAAATTTAATGAGTTACGTACAGTCGTACATACATACGATGGTAAAACATACAACCTTCCTTTTCGCACTCGGTTAAAAACTACGTTATATTAGAAGTATTTACGTCATTTAGATAACTTATCAAGTTTACACACATATATTTTATTTTCATTTCGTCCGAGCAAATATTACGTTAATCGAGTATTCATTTAAATTGAACTAATATTTTCTACGGTTGATTCAAAGTATTAGAAACGTCTGGAGTATGTATGTAGTTAAAAATAATATGTAGTAATTTGTAAATATTAGTTTTGACTTCAGAGAAGATGGTGTTCAATTTGAATGCCAAATACATTATCATGTAATAAACTTCAATTGTTTTTGAAGACGCCCGCTTATCAATTACTAGTGCTGTATGAAATACAAAAAGTTTGAAGTATGTTATTTACTTATGTTTAAGCAGATTATGAAAGTTTTTCCAGAACAATGAACAATATATATATACAGGGTGACTGGTGAATTACTATCGATATTTGAGGACGTGATATTTGATGACCATATGTGACAAAATAAAAATTAATATAACAAATATTAATAAACTTCTAAGTAAAGTTATGTAATTAATTACGCATCGTATGAACACCCTACAGATTAGGTATACACACACACACACACTCGCGCGCGGCGGCGTGGTGTTGTATCAGCACGCTGCCGCACGCGTCCACACTTGGAACACTTGGAACGTGTACACACTTTATTTATTTATACGGAAATTGGGTAAAATTTAATTACCTATTTTTTCACATAATTCGAATGAGAATCATGTACCGAGTATGCTCCTTAAATATTGATAGTAATTCACCAGTCACCCTGTATAGTCGGGGATAGTGCAAATCCTCGTAACTAGCATTGTATAATTCCTCGTATCTACATTAGAAGCAGATTATCAGAACAAAGTTTGAGCTGAAATATTTTCTATATTAACGACTTTTAAGGTAATATTTTCACAATTAGTAATTATTTAGTGTTTAATTTAGTTACGCAGATTTGCACTTTCCTCGACGATATATTACTCATGTATCTATGTATGTATGTGCATGTGTTTTTTTGGATGCGTTGCCAACCTTAATTGACGAGGAAAATGGAGGTTGAGAATAGGGAAGTAGCAGGAAAGGGAGGGAATAAGGAATAGAGCAACTCTCTCACTCATCGGACGAAACGCATCCATTAAAGACTACTTGACGCCGATCTTCAGTGAGAGGGTGGTACTTACGGTCGAGACAGACCATGTTCGAGCTGTAGTAACTTCGCTACACCCTGTGTGTGTGTGTGTGTGTGTGTGTGTGTCTGTCTGTGTGTCTGTCTGTGTGTCTGTCTGTGTGTGTGTGTGTGTGTGTGTGTGTGTCTGTCTGTGTACACGTACCTCGCTGTCCTCCGGCAGACTCAGCCTAGGCTGGAACTTGTTCTCCAGTAACAGGTACTCGCTGAGCGTGGTATACATCGTGTTCAGATCTCCTCCGTCAGCATCCGGGTTGACGCCGCCCGCTCTCGACATAGCCGGTGGCCTGCTGCGACCGTTGGGTGAATCGGCACCTTGGGTTAAATAAACATAAATAGACATGTGGAGTCGGGGTATAGTGTATGTATGTATGTTTATTAGTTACACTATAGGACATTAACTCTGTGATATGATGAGGATTTTGATAGAAACTTTGCTATTATGTAGCTTAACATATGGAGGCCTACTCAGATATACAGTTTAAAAGGATTACGTTAACTGACATTGTGAAATGGAAATTTTATATAATACTAGCTTTCCTCCCGCAGCTTCGCCCGCTCGGAGTTCAGTTATATCGCGTTTCCAAGAGAACCTTTCAAAAGTCTGGGATAAAAACTATCATAAATTCTTTCTCAAGGTCAACTCTATATCTGTACCAAATTTCATTAAAATCAGTTCAGTGGTTTAGGCTTGAAAGCGTAACAGACAGATAGACAGACACACAGATAACTTACTCGAGCGTGCTTTTGTGCAACCAAGAGTTTTGTAGCTCGCACCGATCCGCCCAAAGCTCGTAGACCTCCGCCTGCCTCGGACCGGGCGCCGGGGCCTAGTACCTGACAAGAGACTTGGGTCAACGCTGGCAGCGTTTTGGAGGGCTTTGGACAAGGTTGGAGGGCTTTGGATCAAGTTGGAGGAGCGTCGGTAGTTGGACAATGAAGATGCTTTGGAGGGTAGATGAATATAGCTCGTAATCTTTATAAAAGACAGAGCCAAAAATAGGTGATTTTTTAATGGGATTATGATGGGATTTAGCCCAAAGCTACGGTGTTCAATGTCTTGTTGAAAGACAATTGCCCCGCCGCTTTGCTCAAGTCAGATAGACACAGTAATGGTTGAACAGTACTGCAACGGCCAAGTCCTTATGGACAATTGTGGGTTAAATTTAACGCCACGGTCAATAACCCTTAACCCCGTAGTGCACACCGGGTTTAACCCTTAGGTATGGGTGTAACCTGTCGGGATAACCCTTTACACTATATTTGATAAACCCTCGAAGGTCTTAACGCAGCAAGCGCTGGGGTCTCTTGACAGGGTTGTACGTATAAATTATATTCAATTTCTAAAACCTGTAATGATTTTGATGTTAGTTCTTGACTTCGCTAAGACATTTCCTGAACACTGCTTTAAGAATCAGCAGTTATTTATGCGAAATCTTTTGCGTAAAATAATTATGATATTTTAAATAGAAATATAACAAAAAAAACTATAAATTAGTTTATTAAATTCAGATTTCAGACACTTTTTAATAATTACATTTTAAGATGAAATGCCTTAAAATAAAAATTACTAACTAAATTAATAAAATATATGTACATATATATATATAAATTTTTATTTAAATATTACTTCACTTAAAGTTAGTATTGCTTATTATTTCGCAAATTGTATTCTTTACAATGACCTTTACGTGACCTTAGCATAATATTTTTGCCACCAATTTTTGCAATAATATGTTTTGTTATTTGAACTTTAATTTTATTTTTAGTGATATCTATAAACTATACAAGCTGCCGCTACTGACTTTGTATTTTTTACTACATTAAACCAGTAATATAATATGTATATGCAATTCATTTGCTTGCAGTCAAAACAAAGACATGCTTATTTTAGTTATTAAACTATTAGTATATTTTAGTACGAGTGAAAGTACGTCAAACCGAAAGTTTTCCTTCCATGCATCTTAGTATAATACACGTACTAATGCACAAAATGTGTAAGAGACTGCTAATAGTTGAAGATGCATTGTTAATCGCTCGACTAAATCAATCCTGATAAGACTTTAACCATTTTATAGGTCATTCATAAAAGAATGTCTATTGTAAAAGAGCTATTAATAAAATTTTCGACATTTCCATATGTTTCACAACAAAATTCACGGGACATCGTGACAAAAAAATAAGAATTTGTGATACTAGATTTACGTCCGGATTTCACTTATTTCTGGATAATAATAATAACAATTATTTTAATTCGCTATATTTTATATATATTATATGACCATTATTAATTGAAACTTCATTGCCATTCTATTATTACAAATTCAAGGCTCAATTCATTTTAGTTTAGTGTTGAAGATCGCTTATATTTATACACATATATAAAATAAATATACAAGCAAAACTGGGAGTGATAACATGTATGTGATAATAAAATTAAGCTATCTACATCACGCGTATTACACTCATGAAACGTGTTGACATCACGACAGGCAGATAAATATATATTTATATATATGTTGATAACATAGTGACAAACATACAACCAGTTAAAGAATCAGATCGGATATACAGGGTGACTGGTGAATTACAATCAATATTTAAGGAGCATACTCGGTACATGATTCTCATTTGAATTATGTAAAAAAAATAGGTACTTAATTTTTGACCAAATTTCCGTATAAATAAATAAAGTGTGAACTCGTTCCAAGTGTTCCAAGGTGGACGCGTGCGGCGGCGTGCTGATACAACACGCCGCCGCGCGCGAGTGTGTGAGTGTGTGTGTGTGTAGTATACCTAATCTGTAGGGTGTTCACACGATGCGTAATTAATTACATAACTTTTGGTTAATTTTACTTAGAAGTTTATTAATATTTATGTTATATTAATTTTTATTTTGTCATATATGATCGTCCAATATCACGTCCTCAAGTATCGATAGTAATTCACCAGTCACCCTGTATATATGTGTGTGTATGTATGTCCTACTACGATAATAAAGGTGTAAAACATTAAAGAGATTTCGATTAAACTTTGCAGTCATATATTTCAGATTTTCAGAGTATTATATTACAGTGTAAACTCTATATAACGACACTGAAGGGACCGTGCATTTTAGTGCGTTATAGAGAGTTGCCGTTAAATAGAGGGAAGAAAAATCAGAATTAGAAAAAGACAAAGTTTGTTTCAGACTACTGTTAGTACTTATGTACATAAAAAAGAATGTTATAAAGTCTGTTGTTTTTGTTTGAGGTGTTTTGCTGCACCAGTAATGATGTTGTATTTTTTACGTATTTTATTCATATCTTGCGATATTGAGGCATATTGGTGAAGAACGAATTTCTTAGAAAGTTTGGCATGCATGATAACGACAGTGGAGTTTATTGCGGGCTAGGATAACAAAGCGACAAAAAAACGTACACAGCTGCGCATTTTTTACTAATTTTAGCAACTGAAAGGGTACTTTTTATTACTTAATTTTGTCGTTATTGAGAGTGGCTGTGACGCTATATAGAGTGTATCTTTGTATGGTAGACAAGCTAAACCAACCAAAGTCAAATGATTTCGACGCTTCAGAGAGTTTGTCGTTAAATCGAGTGTCGTTATATGGAGTTTACACTGTATTTATAATGTATCCTTCAGTCAGATGAAGTTTGATAATAATAGCAACAAATTTACTACATTAATTTATAATATTAATTAAAATCTAAAAATGGCAGTCACAGGAAAAAATAGCGAATAAAATTAACGATGAGGTAAAATTATTTTTGTTTCGTTTCCATATATAATCTTCTTCCTGGCAATTTCCTAGCTTTAGCCAGGGTCTGCCTTACATGTTGTGAATAGTTTTGGCTAATAGTTTTTACGACCGGCCGCCTGCCTGACATCAACCCTCTTTGGGAATAATTCATTTCCATATATTCCATATATAAGGGAAAAATAATTTATGCAATTGTAAGTAGTTACACATTAAAAATTCCCAAAATAATAAAAAGAGGGTTGATGTCAGGCAGGCGGCCGGTCGTAAAACAATTAGCCAAAACTATTCACAACATGTAAGGCAGACCCTGGCTAAAGCTGGGAAATTGCCAGGTAGAAGAAGACACTTTAAGAGCTATTTATACAAATGTTTAAAACTGTTTAGTCGCGTTAGTTCATTACGAGCTTGCAATGTCTTCAAGCGTGACAAATGATAAAACAGTGAAAGTCGCGAAATATTTATATGTATATGTAGAAATAATAAAAAAAACTTTCCTCCGACCGCGACTTTATTTATATATTCGACTAGTTTTTGCAAGCGACTTCGTCCGCGTTAATTTCGGAATTAGTAATATATGTATAGCTGACCGGGCGAGGCCATGAATACGCAGATATTGGAAATTTATTAAGATTTTTTTTTTTCGATCAAATAGTATTAAATATCCTTAGTACATTCTATGTTCTAATCTATCTCTCCATCAATCTTCATCCAAACCGGTACAGTCGTTAGAGTTATAAATAGTGTAACTAACACGACTTTCTTTTATATAATACATATATTTAACTATTTCGTAGTTTTGTACATATAGATTGACTCGATAATTTACTTATTTAATTAAGCTCATGATTCATCACTATATATAAATGAAAACCGCACTCAATTCGTCAAATTCGTCTCAAAAACGCACAGACAGTAATCTTATAAATCCTTACTGTCCCTACTAATATTATAAATGCGAAAATAACTCTGTCTGTCTGTTACTATTTCACGCCTAAACCACTGAACTGATTTCAATGAAATTTGATACAGACATAGAGTTGACCTTGAGAAAGAACATAGAATAGTTTTTATCCCAGACTTTGAAAGGTTCTCCTGGAAACGCGATATAACCGAACTCCACGCGGGCGAAGCTGCGGTCGGTAAGCTAGTAGTTTATAAAGTACCCTAATAATAATTACATATACAACATCTATTTGAGATACTATCAAACTGTCAGTGTAAAGTTAAAATCAACTAATACTAAGGTTACAGAGCTATCTACACTTCTATCACCGCGCATCATCACAAAACATGATATTATTGTATTTTTACTTGAAAAACAGAAAAACACGATAATAAATATCACAATTGACGTATTTGTTTTGTTTGCATCAGGTTCGTTCACCTTGATATCAGAAATTTTATTTTCTTTACAATACACAATAAATATATAAATATTACATAGAATTAAAATTACGCTTCTTTTCGTGTGACGTCATACTTTCTTTTCGTTGAAATTCAATTTACTTTAAACAATAACACATAGTATATAATGTATCGTTCAGTCCGTGTAGTTCCCAGGAACACTTCATAACAGATGTATTGTATGTTGTAACGCGACACGCGATAGATGGCGCTGACTGTTGGTTCATAAATGTACATATATTGTTAATATGCAAGCGAGCAAAGTCGCGAGCAAGACATAGTAATTTACATAGTGATTTCACTGAGACAATAGGAGTACATCGTGAGAAGTAGAAAATCTATTAACAATGGCTTTTGTACTTTTATAATGAATGCACATACATAGTGGGATATGTAATAAATTCACAATTAATTGAACATAACCAAGCTTATATAAAATTTATTCCCAAAGAGTGATGTCAGGCAGGCGGCCGGTCGTAAAAACAATTAGCCAAAACTATTCACAACATGTAAGGCAGACTCTGGCTATAGCTGGGAGATTGCCAGGAAGAACCAAGATTATATTAAATATATAATATCGTTGTTTTTGAATTATACGGTCCATAAAATGGGAACAAAATTTGGCATAGTCGAGACGTTAATTTACACAGATGGACAGAAACAGCTGACGGCCAACGGTTAAATATTCGGGTGGTGCGTGAAAGAGATAGCTATATAGTGCGAGTGAGATAGACATAGCTGGCAGG